TGATGCCTGTAATATTCCTTCCTACTTCACACAATAAAAACAAACCATCCCCATCGTCCTACATGAGTTGGAGGAATACCTTCTTCAGCAAGGAGTCTGTTCTTATTGTGCGATTTCCCTGTACAAATTACAATCCTGGAAAATCAGAGTTCCATGCTGCACAGGGAACTAAAATTAGGGTTTTTGTTTTTTGTTTTTTAAAAAGGAGACAGAGCTAGCACACCCATCTTTGCATGTTGATTTAACTCAGAACTAGAGTGCTGTGGCTTCATTATTTATTTACCATATTTTTTGCTCTATAAGACTCACTTTTTCCCTCCTAAAAAGTAAGGGGAAATGCGTGTGCGTCTTATGGAGCGAATGCAGGCTGCGCAGCTATCACAGAAGCCAGAACAGCAAGAGGGATTACTGCTTTTGCTGCGCAGCGATCCCTCTTGTTGTTCTGGCTTCTGAGATTCAGAATATATTTTTTATTTTTTTCCTCCTCCAAAAACTAGGTGTGTCTTATGGTCTGGTGCGTCTTATAGAACAAAAAATATGGTACTTACTACAGTTATATCCCACCTTTCCTTCAAGGCGATGTACATACTTGTTGTCCCCATTTTCTCCTCACAACAATCCTGTGAGGTTGGTTAGACTGACTTAGTGACTGGCCCAAGGACACCCAGTGAGTTTCATAGCTGAGATTGCTCGATTGATATCTTAATTTTGTAAACCAGCCTGGGAACCACCAAGCGAATTCCCTTTAGCCTCTGGCTGCGCACAGTCTGCAAAACCAGTTCACGCAAGGTGAACAGAGAACCATTAGAAGAGACTGACCTGCTGTGGTAAGAAAGAGAAAAATATAAGAATCGATAGTTGTGCTCCAGAGCACAGCCTTGCCACCTGTCTCCAACAACAGCAAACCCTAGTAGTAGGAAGAAGCATGCAAGAGTGATTCATCCCCCATTTCCCTTGCAGCTGTCAAACTTTGAAGGTTGAAAGGGGCCCTAAGCACAATAACCACATTTCATGGTCAAATTGTTTAGGCCAGCCATGGAGAACCTGTGGCTGTCCAGTTGCTGGTGGTACTTACCTTCCCTGATGGCCAAGCTGTGCGGAGCTAATGGGTCTTCTGAGTCCAAAATATCTGGAGAACCACAAGTACCCCATCCTGGCTTATATTCTTCACATACCTTTTGAGGCTGCAATCTATTTAAGCAAAGCAAATTAGGAATTTCAGCATGCATAACTGCAAGCTAAATATATAACTGATTGTAACTAAGCTTACTCAGAAGTAAGTCCCACTGATTTTATTGGGAGTTCCATCCAAGTTAGTTTTAGGCACTGCAACTGTAAGATTGGTACTGGCCACCCAAGTCTTTGCTGAGTTGGTGCACAAGATTCCAAGAGGCTGAGTTACTTTGGGGGAAATGAGGTGTGGAGGAGTCTGCAGTGTCTTTGAAATATGATTTATTGACACATATTTGTACAAGAAGCTTTCAATGGAAAAGAGATTTCGCAGCATTCACATCTCAGCAGGAGCCCATCCTTCACAACAGCTCAGCACTGGTTTCCCAGACACCTCTGTGCCTCTCTCCCAGCCTGCCCAAATGGTTACAGAGGCAGATTTAGGGGATCAGAACCAGTTCGGTCGCATTGGAGCCTCAGCAGAGCCTCAGGGGTGCTGCAACTATAATATAGAATGGAAGGCGAGAGGAGAGGGGTCCCTGAATTTTGGCATCACACAGAGTGCTGCTGAAATCTGAGACTCCAAGGTCCACCACTGATGGTTCTGGTCTTCACAGCAGCTCATGAGAGCTCTCCCCCTTCTTCTCCAACTTCTAAATTTCAGAAGGACACATTTTTCCTGTGTGACAACATGACCTCTGCCTCCTTGGCAACCTCCTCCCCCCAACTCATCAATATTGGACATTGATGAGTTAATGACTTGCTTCCAACAGATTTTGTCATTCTTAATGACTTCTTTCTCAGGTGAGGCCCTGGCATCTTCCCTTCAATACTCATATTACTAAATTCTGCAATTTATTAATTTCTAACATTCACTGTCTCTAGCAGTTATGGGTGCCCTTGCACCCCCAAACTCTGCTACCTCAGATCTGTAACAATATTTTATGGACACATGATACAATATTGTATCCTACATACTGGCATGGGGGGGGGTGAATCTCACATGTGCCTGGTATGAGACCTGTTGGCTCCCCAGCACTCTTACACAACACCTGCCTTGGGAACTGGTTTTTGATCCAAAGGTGACCAAATATTAGCTTTAGAAATTAACCGTAACAGTGACATGTCATGCAAATCCTAAAGTAACTGTAGCTAATGTTAACTATGTTTTGTTTCTGAAGACTGTTTGGTTCAGAAAAGCCATAGCTAATATTAACTACAGTGTGTCAAGTTCAGATGACAAACTAAGCAAGACTGGAAGTCAAAACTTTTGTCCTTCTTGCAGCTGCACCAGAGTAGGAGGCAAAGCACATGAACCTACGGCTCACTGTGGCTTGTTCTCATCATGCTAAATTATTGCCATCCCAACCAGGCAAGTCTCTATAAAGTACAGAGAGGCAAGACAGTATTTTACCTGTTTTATGTGATCTGCACTTCCCAGCCCAATTTAAGGTGCTGAGTGGTCCTAAGTGATTTGGGGGCAAAATATCTCTTGTTATGTATGCTGACCTGGTTGCATTTTTGTACATTATTTTCAGCTATACATGCATTTTCATGCACACTTCCCCTCAAAATATGCATTTTGGTACTCATGACTTGACCAGAGCACTGCACTGCAAAATTCAGAGAAGTGTGAATTTCAAAGGATTTCTGCATTTCAATTCATGTATTGTTTTGGCAGGTTCACCCTCAGAGGCAAACTGAATTAAATCTGCCCCGCCATCCTTAACAATAGTAACAACACAGTCTGCTCCAATTCCCCACATCTGCCCACCCAGCATTTGTGGGGAACTGCAAGCTGAGCATCGCACAAATAGTGCTGTTGCCACAAGACCCTAAACGTATGACAATATATTCCTGTCCAATGCAGCAAAATACAGGCAATCCTGCTGAGCTCTCTGCACCTTCATTTTAAGGCAGCTGAGTATTTCAAACCCATCACACATAAATATGGAACTAAAGCACCTTTGTCTGTTTAATTTAAATCACTATTCATTACATAGCACACCGCTGTTCCTGGGTTCAAGTTAAATCATGAAGTCCTCATAATTTTACCAAGGATTCTCACATGGCTCCAGAGTCACAATCCTAAGATTTGAATATTGGACATAGGTGCAACTTGGGAATTCTTAAATCAATACTTCTGCACAGTTGAGCCTATCTTTAGGATGTTAAACATGTAGGCTACCTTTGAACTACAACTAATCCAGAATGCGGCAGCTAGACTGGTGACTGGGAGTGGCTACTGAGACCACACAACACCAGTCTTGAAAGACCTACATTGGCTCCCAGTATGTTTCCGAGCACAATTCAGAGTGTTGGTGCTGACCTTTAAAGCCCTAAATGGCCTCGGTCCTGTATACCTGAAGGAGCATCTTTACCCCCATCGTTCTGCCCGGACACTGAGGTCCAGTGCCGAGGGCCTTCTGGCGGTTCCCTCGCTGCAAGAAGCCAGGTTACAGGGAACCAGGCATAGGGTCTTCTCGGTAGTGGTGCCTGCCCTGTGGAACGCCCTCCCACCAGATGTCAAAGAAATAAACAACTACCAGACTTTTAGAAGACATCTGAAGACTGCCCTGTTTAGGGAAGCTTTTAATGTTTAACAGACTATTGTATTTTAATATTTTGTTGGAAGCCGCCCAGAGTGGCTGGGGAAACCCAGCCAGATGGGTGGGGTGTAAATAATAAATTTATTATTGTTATTATTATTATTGGCAAGGGCATAATGTGTGGTAGAATAAAGTACCAGGATTTATATATTATTATTATTATTAATAATATATGCTATGGGGGGGGACCTATGGATCCACTTTCACTGTGTTTTACATAAAAGAGTTTCCCTTCCTATACCTGCTTCCTCAAAAGTCTTAGTGAGCTGAATAGGGCTTATTTCCATATCAGCACGAGCATCATTACAGCATAGGAGAGCAGTCTTACAGATGTTTACTCAAAAGTGAATCCCATGGTGGTTTTTACAGCGTTATACTTGGAAGGAAGAGTTGCAGCTTCACCGCTTAACCCTATGCATGTCTACTCAGAACTCATTCCCAGGGAAGTGTGTCTGCAGGGTGGCAGCCTCAACAGCTTTACGCAAGAATATATTATGGCGATGTTGTAAACACGTCCCACAAAACAGGCACATACTCAGCTCGCCCGCCTTTGAAATGTACGGTGCCGCTTTTTTTACACGCGATTCTGACTACAAGAAGAAATAATGAGGCTATGCGAGTTCTGCAGCGATTGCACATCACAAATAAATGAAAATTGTGGACAAAACAGCGAAAAAAGAAGGAAAGCTACGACGATCCAAAAGCACAGCCGTAACGAAGGACAATGATCACAAGAAAAGAAGGGCGGGGGAGAGAACTGCGCTAGATCCAAAATAAAAAGCTGGTGAAATGCACAAACTGCGCTTCCAAAAAGAAAAAGAAAAAACACCCGCGACCCGCAAAATAAAAAAGCCCAGGATGAAATTGCCAGCAGGTGTCACTACAGCTCTCATTTAAGCAGCCGCTCTCCCTCCTCAGCCTTTTGTAAGAGCCTCGCGAAATACTGCAAAAATCCACCCTTGGTTGCTCTGAATGAAGCCTCAACTTCGGAGAGGCTTACGGCCGTGACGGGCGCAGTCTCTGCCCTTGCAGCGACGGACGTCCTGGCTAGCCAACCGCCTGCCTCGGAAAGGGAGACGGGCGGGGCTTCGGCCGGCGCAGCCAACCCCGTCGCGTGATTCGAGCCAGAAGCTAGGCAGCGACAGAGGAGAGGCGAAGGGGCGGGGGCGCGAGAGCGGGCAGAGTTCGGGCGCTTCTCGCGAGAGCTTGCCCCCTTCCCACTTTCCGCTGGGTGACTGCGCAGCTGCCATGTTGGTTGCTATGCTGCTGCCTGTCTGAAGGCAGGCTGGAGGAGAGGAAGGAGGGAGGCAGGCTCTGGGGTGGAGGAGGGGGAGGAAGACGGAGGAGGTGGCGGCGGCGGCGGCAGCTGCTGCTGGTTCTCGGCCCCCCGCTCAGTGCAGGCAGGCAGAGCCCCGGTGTTTAGCTACCGCCTCCCCCCCCCCCCAGCCTCGGCCCCACGGCTGCAGGAGAAGGAAGAGAGGGGGAAGCCTCCTTGCGGGGCGGGAGGGAGGAAAAGGTCCAGGGGTGCCTTCCCCTCAGGCAGAGAGGGGTGACTGCTGAGACCCCTTTCCCTCTCTCCCCCTCCCTCTATTGGAGGGGGTGCCCAGTGGGTGGGGAGGGGGGGAGGCTGCATTGCCTTCCCCCCTCCCTCCACCTGCTCACCCACCCACCCTTGCCTTTCTGTCTGCGGCAGGAATGTGGGGGGGCTTTGAGTTGAGAGGGGGCGCTCACTGCAACGGTTGCTGGAGACCCCCATCCTATTCGCTTGCTGCTGCTGCTGCTGCTCGCGGGGTGCAAGAACTCGACTGAACTGAGCCTTTCCTGCGGGTTAAATTGAGCCTTTTGTGTGTGAGGTGTGTGTGTTGGGGGGCAAGACCCCCTTCCCACCTCCACTTTACCTTTTGGCTTCCCTTTTCTGGGTTGCTCCCTTGCTCCATTATCATCCTCTGGAAGGACGTGGCTGTTATATGAAGGTAAGAGGATATTATTGGGGGTTTCGGTTTTAAGTTTTCAAGTTAAAATGGGGGACTCCCTCTCTTCCAACATTTTTATTTTTTAAACAATAAAATTGTTACATGCTCTCGTTTCAAATGTTGGATGTGTGATATCCCTTAGGTTAAGGATGTAGAGTTAAAAATTACCAGCCCACCCCCTAGATCGCTGTGTGTCTGAGTGCTAAATGTTGGAAGACCCAATAGATGCAGAGGAATGTGTGGCAACAGGAAAGGAGGTGGGTGGGTGAATGACTGTTAAGAGTTGCCAAATCATAATTATCCAAAGTATTGATCTGGGGAGTATAGCATTTATTTACAGTTTTGGATTTGTTGAATTATATAGTGTATATGGTGCTTCTTAAAAATGCAATATGCCTTCTTTGAGTGTGCTGTTTGCGCTAGAAAGGGAGTTAAAGCGATGGTAATGTTATTTTAGGTCAAGCTATTTTTCAGTTCAATATTGGTTCACTGAAGATTGGGAAGGTCCTGAAGTAAAGGGGGTCTTTTCCCCCTACCTTTGTTAGTCAAGCTGATGTATTTACAGTAGATGCAGACTGGTAACATTTGTATAAATGGTTTCTTAAACCCAAAGGTTGTGTATGGTTGACTGTGTTGTGTTTGCGTTCTATTATGTTAGCTGAAGAAGCAGCAGGATTACGTTATTCTTAGGGGGAGTGGAGCCATGACAAAATTAGGTTGCATGGAGGTGTGTAAGGGTCCTGTCTGGGTTCTTGATTACATCGGTATTTGAAGAAATGCTTTTCTATCACCAAGGCATTCAAATAGGTCCTGAGATCAAAATGTTGCTCTATTGTATTCCATTAATTTTTTTGCAGAATTATGATGTGTGAAGTGTTACGTTACATTTCTATATTTAAAAAAACTGAATAGGCCAGGCATCAGTTACTTTGAGGTGTATTTCCAAAATACATTCTGTAAGATAAAAAGTCAAGCTAGAATGTGTTGCATTGTATTTTCAAGGGGTAGTTGCCTGTATAAGAGGTAAAGGGACCCCTGACCGTTAAGTCCAGTCGCGGACGAGTCTGGGGTTGCAGCGCTCATCTGTATATGCATGTACAAAAACCGAGGTTCCACTGTAGTATGAATGATCTTGTATCTATCCTGCTTCTAGCAGCACAGTTAAGGGTGCATTACTGTGTGTCAATCTCAAATCAGCCATTCCTATCACTGTATGCATATACTAAATATGCAAGATAGTAACTTTGAAAATAAAGAAATTATAATTAAAGGCTATTGCAGCTTTCTTTTCATTTTGATGTAGTTCCAGATGATCTTAAGAACCCTAGGGTTACACTTCTTTGGGGGGATATGACACCTGACATATCTCATGTAAAACTCTCATTTGTCATCTTCCCTTTGAAAAAGATGTCATGCCAAATCAGATGCCACGGTTTAAAATGCCATTCAGAAGAACAATAAGGATAGTGGTAGTGTTTTCTATCTATTTCTAATTGATTTTGCAACTTGATTTTGCTTTCTGAAATTACTTTTAAAAGTTCATAGCATAGATTCACACTGATGAATTGGGCCAGGGTTTCATATCAATAAGGTGGGGGAGAGCTCAATTGCAAGTTACTTTGTTTCTAAATTAGTGTATACAATTATCTTATTGAAGGGGTTTATGTTATAATAAGCAATTGTTACCTTTTTTATATCTTCTGAATATACTCTTGTATGTCACCTGCAGAGGAAAGAATGTTCATGAAGTTTTTTCTACTGGCTAGTTTTTAAATGAAATATAGTTTGACATTATCAAATAAAGTAGCAATATTCACATAGAAATAAAAACAATAGAGTTATATGCATGTAATAAATTAATAAAATTTGCAAAATTAGTATACTTAACATTTCTCTTGCTTTTTATGCTTCTGAAATCTTAGGCTTCAGCATCATTCCAGATTGTGAAAATTGGACTTCACAATAGTTCTTTAGGCATTTCCTCATCTCATGAATTACCCAGTCTAGAATACTGTAGTAGATCTTTTTTTCTTCATCTTTGTTTTGTCAATGGTTAAGTAATGCTTTGTAATGCTGGATGCTAGAGTCAATATTTTCTGATACTGTCAGATGTTTTGTAAGCCAGTAAATCACCAGTGTATTACAATAATATGACTTTGTCAAATGAACATTTCTGCAGCAGCATAGCTTTACTAGCTAGCATGCTGCATAAAGATAACATAGCACTTACTATCATTCTTCTGTCCAATGTACTTTTGGCATCCTTATGCTTAATTTACTTTAGTCCCCCCCCCCCCTTCATACATTTTAATGGAATAACAGATGATAGGCCTATTCAGAAGTCAGTCCCACTGAAGTAAGTGTGCAAAGGACTGCACCCTAAATCCAGAATCTGGTATGTTATACCATCCCTTATGGTAGTATGCATATTTAGAATGTCTCACTTTTTGATTGAAATTCTGTCCTGAATACTTCATTTAGGACCTATCCTGGGTCTTGCATGCCAATCAATAAATGTTTAGTATCGGCTAAATTAATTTTTGGAAATGCACAGTAGTACATGCCATTTAAAAAGAACATAAAGACATTGAAAGCAGATATGTTGATTGCATGTGTTTAAGTTCAGTCACGTGCTACTTCGATCCAATAAGGGGTAATTCATATGTGCAAGCAAGTTTCCATGTACAGGATGCCTACATTGCATAGTCAAATGGTTGTTGTAGTCAGTGTTAGAAATTCAGGTAGACAAGTTTGGTGCCACATGACACCTGAAAACTAGGTTACGGGTGCACTAACAGAATGTCTAGGTGATTTTATTTATTTATGATGATGATGATGATGATGATGATGATTGTATAGCAAGATTACAGAGTTGAAAATGAATGAACTCCAGCCAAAATCTTATGTTAATTTTTCATATGATCTAGTCCTCATCTGAAGACCGCAGAAAGCTCCCCTAATATTCTTATGTGGGTCCCTTCTCTAGTCTTCAGGGAGTGGTTGTAAGTGGGAAGGCAGAAAAAGGTACTCCATTCCTTCCACTCTGCAAACAAGCTCTTGATTGTCCCTAAACCCCCTTTCCTTCATATTATGTAATCTTTCTGGCACAACAACTAACACTTATTGCAGGCCTACACAACTGATGGTAGAGACATCCACCTTGAGTGACCAGTTTACACAATCTAAGACTTCAGTGTCCCTCAATGACCCCACTCCAAATTTTATTTAGATTTTAAGCACTACTGTGATAGTCTGAGGTAAATTACACTTTAAAATGCACAACTTAAACCGTCATAAACTAACCAGATAGTATATTTCAAATTAAAAGCATATCATACATTATGCCCCACGTACATTAAACAAGGCAACTAAAACTTAACCAAAACATGTTGGGTTTGAAACACAAACAAAAGGTTCTGGAAAGCACAAGCTCAAGGAATGAAGTTTAATCCCCAAATACCTTTCCTTCTCAGCAGATGTTATCTGATATTGCTCCAACTTCCTGGACTCACCAACCATCCTAACACTGGGATGTTACTGGCAAAGACTGTCTCTCCCCACCCCCAATAGGTACACACATAGCTCTTACATGGCACCTAACCCCTACATCCAGTACTAACTTTTGCTTCTGCTAGAAAGCCTTTAGATAAACTCTTAACTGCTTCCCAGTGCAGTATCACTCCCAACATCCATCATGCCTACCCACGTTCCCTTTCTCCTCTCCAAGCTGACTCCTGGAATGCCAACATATCCCTTCCAGGGAGTTATTCCACATGTACCCCCCACCCCCAAGCTCTTTCTTTCTCACACGTGACAAGGCTTAACACGACAGATGATAGCTCAGTTAGTTAGAGCATGATGCTGATATTGGTGCTGGCAAGTAGTGGTGCCAAGGTTGCAGGTATGGGGCAGCTGCGTATTCCTGCATTTCAGGGAGTTGGACTTGATGATACTCAGTTTCCCTCCCAACTCTACAATTCTATGATCCCTTCATGTTTCTCCAAACCACACTGTCCCCACATTCTGATACTCTTCATTGCTCTTCCTCATGCTCCTTCCATGTTTTGTCATGTCTTCTTGGCACTTTTAATAGTTGCCAGTTTTAAGAGCCTTACCACCCCACCCCACAGAGGTGTGTGCCCCATGGGCCAGTATGGCGTGGCTGCAGCCAGGCTGGGTCCCCGCAAAAGTCCTGGAGCCGGGGGAGGAGGAGCGGACAATGCCGCCAAGGCAACCAGAGTGGGGAAAGGAAACCCACTGCAGCCAGCCATAGGGAGCTGAGCTGGGTGAGGAAGTGGATGGAGGCAACGGACATCAGGCGCTCCGAGAGCACCCCACAGAAAAAGAGAAGCGGTGATGACTGGCTGGTGGCACAGAACCAGCCTGGCTCCATCGTCAGAGCCCAGACTGGCCCTGCAATAGGGCAGGGGGAGGGAGGGAGAGAAGCACCTATCCGGGTGGCCTGACCAGTTCAGTGTGGCTGCTGTGAGGTGCCATTTGGCTCATGCTCATGCTTCGCCAGGGAAACTGGGGAAGTTTCCCTCAGCGGTAACAATTTTACTTGTGAGTAGCACAAGGCGGCATTTTGAGTTCTGCGCTGTCAGCAGTGCCATCCAGGTGACTTACGATATGGTGCAAGCGGGGGTAGTATCTCTCAGCAGCAATTTTACTTGTGTGTTGAGCAGGTCGGCACTTTGACTCTCACACCGCTCACAGCACCACCCAGGTGACTTGCGCTGCAGCAGGCGGGGGGACGGGACGTTTTACTCTTGAGTCTCAGGCGCCATACAACATGACCATGATGCAAAATGTCCTTAGCACCCGGGGAGTTTGGATGCTGGTTGTGGTGGTCCAGGATCTCCCTAATTCCATTGCCTTGTCCTGTACAGTCAATTCTGGACGTGATCCAGAAGAATGTGTAGCAGGAGATTGTTCTGCTACTGTTCTTGGGGAACTCCATTCCTTCTGTTGGAAGGAGGGGGACATGGTGCAAACGCCTCCTTCCTGCTATTCGTCTTTTTGGGGTGGGGAGGGGAGAGGAGAGGACTGCAAGTGCTGCTCTAGTCATAGAATTGTGAATCTATGGATGACTGAAAAACTAATCCCATTGATTTCACTTTGTGGTTTTCGTGCAGCTACAATATAGTGGAAGGATGAGTGAAGACAACAGTGTGCCTGGGGAATGCAAGTGGCTTAAAGCCAAAAGCTCATTTGAAGAAGCTGTGTATACATGGTTATTGCTGGCAACATTTATGTGCCTTTCTGGCTTCACGTATATCTTTTTTTTGGGGGGAGGGGGCTAATTTACCTTAGTGGTATTGTAGAAACATCTGTAGCTTCCTGAAAAGCAGAATGAGTGATGTTTTTGTACATGCACATTTCTTTCCCTATCTACTTTTCTGATATATTGGGCTTGGATAAATTTGTATTTAAAAACAGTTGCAGTGCTACAAAAATATTGTGCATAGTTTTGTTGCTCTAGCTTATGTTTACCTTTCTAATTCCCAGATTTTGTAGTTCTTCAAGCTTTGACATTAGAAGGGTAGAACTATCACTTGGTATAGATATAGCTCAAATACACCATGAACAATGTCTGGATTTTTTTAAACTGACATCACTTTCTAAACATGAAAAAGTCACTTAAGGTTGCATATTGACTAAGGATGTCTTTTTGGTTTTAGCCTCTGTATTGCAAAACTCGTACATGGTGTATGTGGATTTCATTACAGCATCTCCAGTTGGGTCTCTGCTGTAGGCACTCCTACATAAACAGGCTACAGAGATTCCCAATAAGTACTGACTTATGGGGAATCTCTCTGGCTTCTCCTTGTAGGAGATCAGGCTACGCCATAAGTGGCCAGCCTGCAACAAAAGCTAGTAAACCAGTATAGCATGGCCTGCTTGCCTGATACTGGCATGTCATGGCTAAGTGCTTGTCTGCCTGTTCATCTGGCTCAAAGAAACAGTAAGAGGCAGAATGTCAAAGGCAAATCAGGTTGCATATGTGCTTCAGTATGTTCATCTAGGATAGCATTATCTCATTGTTGGAGCCTGACTTGTGGCACTTACCCACACTAGTTGGATGGGGATGTTATAGCATTAACATCTAGGATTTGGTAGGATTGGGTATAAGCTAGCACTGTAAATACATACTTTTGTCTCTGTGTGAAATTTCATTGATTTCTACACATACACATACATGAAGTTGCAAAATATTAAGACTGATTCAAATATTATGTGTTTTGGTGCACAAATAGGCATATAACATGTTACTGCAGCAAATGTGTGTCTTATGCATATAGTCATCATGAATCCAGAATGGGCTGCAACTCCTTGTTGTATACACATGCTGGCAAACTAGTATATGGAATGGTCCACACCTAAAGCAGTTAAAGCCATTCCATGAAAATGGTGACTTACACAGATGTGCATTTTTATTCAATATTATATCATTTTTAACAGATCCTAGTAATTTAGAGTCATTGACTATGATAGTAGGTTGTAAACAATACACGAAACAGCATGAGCTATAAGTTAAAGTACATTTGCTAGGAGCAGTTCTGAATAACCATACAAGGGACCTTGTTTATAGCTGAAATATAACAATTCTGGTGTAGCTAGTAGATTGTGACTATTGTGTTTTAAAGGGGAGGAGCAATTCATTATATCTCAGAAAACTTTGCAATATTATTATTATTATTATATCCTGCCCACTCTGGACGGCTTACAGCATATATAAAAACACAACAAAACATCAAACATTAAAAAACAGAATATTCTATGCAGGCAACAAACCAATAAATCAATGGAAATCAATAATAACAATAATAATAACAGCAATAATAAACAGTTTACAGTTATACCCAAATTAAAATAATCGCCAACCCCAACTAAACATTTAAAGAACCCCAACCCAACAAAAACCAAAAAAAGGAACCAAAATTAGAACCGTCTAAAACATTGTAAAACATTTTGGCCATCTGCCCAAACCCAAGAGTTGTTCTAGCAATGTCACAGTGGCTTTCCAGGAGTCTTTTTTGGCTGTTCAATGTGAGTCTGGGCCCTGCTTCCTAGGCCAGGTAAAAATGGGCCTTGCAGCCGGGAGCAGTCTTCCTTCCAGCACTCATTGCAGTTGCTGTATTGGCCTTGGAATAAGATATATTTTAGTCATATGTGACTAACGCCATTAGTCTAGTTCCTCAATTTGCAGTACAGCTGCGAGGCCCTGTTTTTGGTGATCTGCTGCCCTAGCTACTTGGATTTCTCATCCTGAGTGCTTACATTTTGGTAAGGGATTGGGTGATATACAATATTTTTGATACTAAAGGCTAGGTATGCCAATGGTTGATAACTGGCCATCCTTCTTTCCTGGCTGGTTAAAATTCTTTGTAACTGAGATACTCATAAATTGATCCAGCAAAAGGTATTGCTTAACACTTTTTGTACTTGGCATTATTGGGTTGGATTCAGCTTCTACTTCTGGAAGCTGCCTTAGCCTGATTTTCAGGGCTTCTCCCTTCCCCCTCAGTCCCCATGCCACACCCCATCATTTTCAGCAGGTTCTGCTGACCTCTGGGAGAGGCTTTATAGTTTATAGGGAACTGATAGGGGAGGGGGGAAATCAGGCTAACATTGATTTTTCTCTGAATCCAACACATTCTTGTATTATTAAATTGGCTTAATGTGTATCTTTTACTAACAAATGTTCATATGCTGTAATGCTGCTTTTGTCTAGGCTGGCTGCTTGGCTAAGAAGAGTTTCACACTTCCAAAGTTAAAAGATGGCTTGGATTCTCCAGAAATAATCCATTGAGAGTAATAGTTTGAAACCATTGGCTTTAAACATATATGAAAACACACAATCTGTTGTTGAGGTTACCAGGAATTGATTTATGCCACCCTGCTTTTCACACCAGTCCTTTTCTGATTTTCTCATTTACTAATCATGAGCCTTTGGATTTTCTGTAGCACTTACTGTCCAGGCTCCCCCGCCCAAGCTACAACATGGTTGAACAAGCAAATCTTTCTTTTGAGACAAACAACTGTTCTTTCTTTTTGTACCATGTGCATTCTGGTGCCATCACTGCTTACAAAGTGATGGAAAGTCATCAGTTAGTTTCACCCTGCCTTTACTCAAGCTGCTGTGAAATTGTTGTGTACAGAAATAGTCATGCTGCAAGTGTGCAGCGGGAAACTGAAGAGTGTACTGTGGTATCATGAGCAGGGACAGGGTCACAGAAAGGTGTGGGACTAGTAAGCACAGCTGCTGCCTGTCCCCTAACACTATTTGATGGCATTGCTATAGCTACAGTTCGTATGGCACAGTGATTCATAGGCCACTTATAATAATGTAGTCTTATTGATTTCAGTGAAAGTGCATCAGAATAAATAGTTTGCGTATGCCAGGGATACCTTGTTAGCTCTTCGCAGATTTTAAAGAGTACAATATAGTGTTGGCCATTTGACTTGCAAAATGAATACAGTAGTCAGTAATTCAGTAAAATACTGGTCAGTTATACTGTACAGTACTTGCAAACAAGGAAGAAGAGGAGACTTCCTGATAGATTTTCTTACACCATCCTCATTTTTCCCACTGGGGTGAGGGAAGCCAGCAGCAACCTTGTATCAGCTGAGCAGGGTGGAGGGAGTCATCTTCAGTACCTTAAGGTAGAAAACATTCATTGTTTCCCCTTTTTCTGATAATGGAGGGTTCAGAAAACTTGACTACCCATAGCAGTTTACCAGTACTACAGTGGTACCTCTGGTTGCGAACGGGATCTGTTCTTGAGGCCCGTTCGCAACATGAGCAGAACAAAACCCGTGTCTGCGTGTGCGCTGGTCACGATTTGCCGCTTCTGTGCATACACGTGACGTCATTTTGTGCACATGCGTGAGCGGCGAAACCCAGAAGTAACCCTTTCCGGTACTTCTGGGTCGCTGCGGGACGGAGCTTGAAAACGTGCAACCTAAAACAAACGTAACATGAGGTATGACTGTATTGCTACTTATCTTAAAATTTTAAATTGTTCTTTTTGTCTATAGAGAAAGTATAGGTTTAAATAATTAGTGAAGACAACTCCCCTGAACTTCAGGTTTAACAATTTTCGCAGTAGAAGGAATTGTAATTATGACTTCGATGAAGAATGATCTGTAGCTGTACAGAGGAATCTGGAAAAAGAATTCTCATGAGTCCTGTGTCAGAATTCACTGTGGGATGTTTTCTTAACACAGCTCAGTAAAAAGTTGGTTTTTAGGGTTTTTTAGGGTGATCAGACTCTGCAATATTAAAGCAAATTGAATCTTTTTGACCGTTTGCCAGTAACTTGTGCAGGTGTTGTTGGCAGGTCTGTTGATGCTTTATCAGTGTATGAGGTATATATGTACTGGGAAGAGGAGTTCACTACATCTTTGTATCTCCCCCTCCCCTCACCAAATTAAATAGAAAAGTGGCTTTATTCACCACTTGGGTTGATTGCTAGTCTTGGGAGTTCTTGGCATCTCCTCATTCTTGAAAGCCTTTTTTTGCTTCTTTACATTTAGCTTTCCAAGTGCTCTACAGCATCTTCTTTTCCGTTATTTCTTTCCTCCCCCCCCCATTTGACCTGCCTTGTATTTCTCACTAAAGAAATAGAAAACATGTTGTGATGTAACTCACCTTTATTGTGTTAGCACACCAGTGACTTGTTAAAATTATTACTTTCCCCTGTGATAAGTAGGTATGATTTGGTAGCTGATTTTTAAAATACTTTGCTTAAGAAGCAAGGTCTACAGTTACGTTGTGATTTCTAGGAATATTTTCTGTGAACTTTCTTGCTAGCGAGAAGTTTAGTTGTACTCTCAAGTCACAAGTGAAGTGTTGTTTCAATTCATTCTTCAGTGAATAATCAATGGATTTTTAAGAGGATGCACATCTCTGGAACACTGTCAGACTTATAAATATTTATGATGTGGAGGGAAAGCACAGTGGTTGTGCTAGTAATTTTTAATTGCTTGGCTCATTTTATAGCTTAAAGTCTTCTAATTTCCAACTAATCAGTTAAAATTAAATATTCTTGTGGAATACCTTCTCTTCCAAATTTTACAGTGTGCTTTATTATTTCTAGACTGGTCCATTTCGGATTTGTTCCATTGTTTACATGTACTGTTTTGAAGTATGTACAGTCTTAGTGATTCTTCACTTACATGGGAGATATCCAGTTGGTGTCCCTCTGCTGGCAGAAAGCATCTACAAGTTGCATGGGGAGGGTGACAGTCTTCAGCAGTTTCCCTCCCCCATCTGCTCTGGATAACTGCTCAGCAGATGGAGGTTGGGGCAGGGAACTGCAGGAAGAGAAGGAATTGCCAGACATTGCCTCCTTTCCTGTTCCTAGATGCCTTCTATAAGCAAAGGGACACCAATTGGATATCTCCCTATCTGTCATTTCTCTTACTGCAAGATTTCTGGGGATAATAAATTTTGAATAGAGAAGAATAGAATGCTAAAGGTGTCTTTTGGTACATTCAGGATATGTTCTTATTAGGAAGAGCAGTGCTGATATAAACAGTATAAAATCCCCACGTCTGTATTTGATAGTTGAAAATTGTTTAAGAAATTTGCTCTTACTCCTACTATTAACCCATATGTGCACATCAGCATCTAGGTACACTTCTCTTAAATGAGTCACACTGATTTCACTTTGAAAGAATGGCATTCTAAATAGAAATAGCACGATGCATTTATTCATTGCTAGTGCTGATTCCACTAAAATACTGTGCAAAATAAATATTCAAGTAAAACTGCAGCAGGTATAATTTATTTATTCAGTTTGCAACCACCCATTAACCCAAATGTTCTCATCCAAAGCACAGTGTTAATATATAATATTGATATTTCAAGTCCTGATAGGTGATATCTGAAAAAGTAAGCTAGTGCAAGGACTTCTGGCTGTGCAACAGAACTTATTGTTCCTGCATGCCCACTAAATTTGCACTAGGTTTTCTCCAAGCCCTCTGTAGCAGATTTGAAGGGCTTACAGGGAGATGAAAGGGTGTAGTTCGATTTTGCAGAACTATTTTGTTGGGTACTTCCTAATGGGTTGATTATAGAGAAGTGCAGGTATAGTTGGGCTAGTGCAACAGGGATTTCCTGCCCCTTCTGCTCCACTGCACCCTAAAAATCTCTGGAATGACATGAGACCAGCAGCAGAAAGGGAGCTGTAAGAATTCCAGTGATGCAAGCCATCTTTTGCATTCAACCCATTTTGCCTTAAATTCTGGCTTTGGTATTTTTGTGTGTCTTAAAACTATTTATAGATTTGTGTAGAAATCTTAACTTGGTGCATTTTATTGAATTCAGATTAGTTTAAAAATATTATTGGGATTTCATAAGCTAATCACTTTCAGAAATGCTACCCTATCCAGAAAAAAATGCCAAATATATGGCTATTTGTTATGCTTAGTGCTTTTTTTCCTAGCAAAAATGGTGCTGGTACTCACTGTGAAGTTGTTACACTAAGTTTCACACTTTTAACAGTAAGTACCAGATTTAGCCCCAACCCGCTGCACCCCAGGGTTCATCTTTTTTCCTCCTTCCACACCCATTCTGACCAAGAAATACTGAAAGACAAATTATTCCACACCTAGAGACTTACAAGTATAAAGTTGAGACCAACAGGTTGAGACCATACATCAGCCATACCCAAAGTAATGTGCTTCTGCCATCCCTGATCATCTGTCATGCTGGCTAGGGCTGATGGGAGTTCCAATCAAAAACATCTGGATGGCTGAGGAAGGATACTGTAAGGACATTTATTTCTGTGGGTCTATTCTGACTACAGTGGTGCCCCGCAAGACGAATGCCTCGCAAGACAGAAAACCCGCTAGACGAAAGGGTTTTCCGTTTTTGAGTTGCTTCGCAGGACGAATTTCCCTATGGGCTTGCTTCGCAAGACAAAAATGTCTTGCGAGTCTTGAGATTTTTTTTTCGCTTTCCCCCCCTTTATCTAAGCCGCTAAGCCTTTAATAGCCTTTTAGCAGCTAATCCGCTAAGCTGATAAGCCTTTAATAGCCGCCAAACCGCTAATAGCGCTAATCCGTTAAGCCGCTAATAGGGTTGCTTCGCAAGACGAAAAAACCGCTAGACGAAGACACTCGCGGAACGGATTAATTTCGTCTTGCGAGGCACCACTGTATGGGTTAGGTGGCTACAACTCACATAAAAGTAATGTATTGGCCAGCAAGGCATTAATTCACAGCTTAAAACTCTCTCTGTAGTGTGTTAATTTAAAAAGAAGTGTCTATGATTTATAGTTAGCATGGCAGTTTATGAAAATGTTAGCGCAGACAGAACAATTATATAAAAAAATACATTTGGGGACAAGAGGAAATTGCGCATATGCCTCAAAATGTGTTAAGCAACAGATTTTTGGATCCTCTTTCAAGAATGCAATATCAGTATCAGTTCATTGGAAGTCTGCTGTTCAAATAAAACTGTTCCAACATAAAGCAACCAATGACTTATCCTAGTATGCACTTGATTTTTCTTAGAGTAATACTGGCTCACTCACCTAGTTGCTATTTGTCTTTTTGCATCAATAAAACTAGTAGAGGCATTCTATAAAACATTTGAGGATCTGATGGTCCCACATATGACTAAAATATATAAAGATATTCTAACCTGAGGACCCATTACCATCAATCTGAAAACAATTGAGAATAGTAGCAATCCCCAGACAATACAAGGAACCCCTCAAATGTAGAATCTTACTGTCCAGTTTCCTTACAGTCATACCTTGGGTTAAAGTCGCTTTGGATTAAATCTTTTCAGGTTGCGTCCCATGGCGACCCGGAAGTAATGGAATGGGTTGCTTCCGGGTTTCGCCGCATGCGCAGATGCTCAAAATGACGTCATGCGCAGAAGCGGCAAATCATGATACGTGCAGACGCGGGTTGCGTTCTGCTCAGGATGTGAATGGGGCTCCAGAACGGATCCCATTCACATCCAGAGGTACCACTGTATTTTATTTGGATTATAAAATTCTTACAGCAATCATGGTCAACAGAATAAAAAAGGAAAATATATTCACCTGGATCAGGCTGGTTTTGTTCCAGGATGCAAGATTACAGACCCAGTTAGGAAGCTAGTAAACATAACGTATTATAGTAAACAGACCACTTCACTAGCATGCCAATCATTAGATATATTTAAAGCATTTGATTGTGTGGAATCAAAGTAAATTTTTAAAATGGATTTGGCCCTAAATTTACTAAATCATTAGGGAAAATTTACGATACAGCATCTGCCACTATTGGAATAAATAATATAGATTCACCAAAATGTCTTCTTGGCTGTGGGACAAAACAAGGCTGCCCACTATCACTTCTCTTATTTGCTTTAATTTTAGAACCTATAGGAATAAGGCTGTACCAAACTTTAGCTGGAAAGGGGGTAACCATTAACAGATAGGAATACCTATTCAGACTTTATGCAGATGATATTATTTTATGTACATCTGATCCAATCAATGCTGGCAGGATATTAAGGGATAAATTAGAGGCTTTCCCCACTGTTTCTCAACTTAAAGTAAGTTTTCAAAAAAACAGAAGTAATGCTTTTCCATTCTTCACTACAGAAAGAATTATAATTACAACTTGGCACATTGTTCAGATGACTCTTTTCTCTTGGGTTTGAATTTATTTGCTTCTGTAAAAGGAAATGGCTGCAAGGTGCCTTTGTAGTGTGATTATTACTACAATGACAAATAATGGTTTTTGACTTTATTGGGAAGGGGGGAGAATAAAAATATGAAATGTGTTACATGATAGAGTAGGTAGACTATGGCCATGAAGAGGTTAATGGCAAAAGCAGCTTGTATGGTGAATTTTGAATAGCTTGATTAAAATATGGTGGGAAGTGTTTAAGAGAAATTTGCAAAAAGAAATTTCCATCACAACAAGTTCAAAATATTTATTGCTTTTTAGTATGTGGTATATAAACTGCAAAGTTCATCTTCATAACCAAGGGTGTTGTGAGGTCATTTTTAAAATGAATGATTGGATATGCTTATACTGTTTCTGTCATAGAATCAAGTACTCAGAATAAAATACAGATATACAGATGAAAATGTACAGGTCTTTCTGCATGGCCTGTATATTTTCAAGAAGGCAAATGTTTCTAACGCATTTGTTTCTGCTTAGGTTTTCTTCCTTGTAGCTTAATAGATTGTGATGAGGAAGAAAGCAAAGAGAGGGGATAGATTAGAATATAGTGCCTGTAATCCAAACACTTTCATCTGAACTAGAGAAATTTCAAGTTAGACTGAGATTAAGACAGGCATGTCCAAAGTCCGTTTCGGGGTCTAATCCGGTCCGTTGGTCGGTTTAATCCTGCTCCTGTGGCAGTTTATTTTTTTGGGTAAAATCCTTTAAAAACCCCATAACTTCAATCTAAAAAAGCTCAACAAACTAACTTCAATTTTTAAAAAAGCTCAACAACTTCAGTCCTAAAAATAAGTCAACAACTTTGGTTGGCCCTTTGGCCGGCCCTCACGGCCCTTCACTTCATCAAATCTGGCCCTCTTTGAACACCAGTGGATTAAGAGCTTTATTCTGATCACAACAATTGAATCAGTTAACACATGTGTATAGAGGCCTGGGACTTCATCTAAATATCTAATTCACCTGATATATCCAGTTATATCACTGTTGCTGCTTTCAAGTGATAGTGTTTGATCAAGAATCTAGGGCACAATAACAAATTTTTGCATCAGAAAAAGTATCCCAGGAATTAAGGATATGTGTGGAAATCCCGTAGTTGGATTCTACCCCAGATTAAAATGAAACAAAGCAAACAACCCCCACCCATTCTATGTGACAGGGAGATGTCTAAGTACGAATTCCTGCCCTCGGTATGGTAGTTTGTTTCTTGTAGGTGAATTTAACGGGGGGAGCTTTCAAACACGTGCTTCTTTCACCTGATTTTAAAGCAATGATGAGGGAATTGTTTGGCTTGATTGGTAACTGGGTGTGGCAAAATGTTCTCTGGATTTGTCCCTTCTTTCGTGGCACCTTGACTGCTGTAGTGGCAACAATCAAAGTACTTTTGGATCCCAGGAAATAATGTTTTACAGTCCACCTGATGTCCATGTTAAGGATTCAGACATCTTGAAAACTACATTTATTCGGGCTCCTGGTTGTTGGCATGAGTGTAGAAATGAAGCAAATGACTCTATTAAGATTTCACTTTTGGCTCCCTTTTTGAAACATAGTCAAGCATTGACTTCTGAGTTGCAACCTAAAACGAAAACTTTGGGACACTACTATTCCAAAATGGAGCTGTTGCTGGAAAGTAGTATTACATGCATATTTCTTCTCCATGAATGTTTAGATCAACTTTCAGGTACTGTACTATGTGTAAATCAGCCTATCATAGCTGGTTTTTGTTTTTTAACCAAATACCAGTATCTGATAGCTTTCAGTTTAACCTTTTTATTAGACTTTCTCCACCTGTACAGACATGCACAGTCCATCCGCATACAGATTGCATACAGTCTAGACACCATGAAACATCAAGTTTATCCATCAGAATAATGATATTATTAAAAATAACCCAAAAGGAACATGTATGTGTATGTGAAAAGACATCCTGCTGTATGTATGAATCTTAATGATTTGTTTAAAAAAATGTTATTTAGGTGGCATTTGTCTCTGTTTAGGTTGAGCGATATATACAGAGAACTTTTTTCTTTTCTTTGTACAGAGGAATTGTACAGAGAATTGTGTGTGTACATGTTGGACGGTTTTCTCAATGGAACATTTCAGTCTGAATGTTTGCACAGGTCACAAAGTCACTATACAAATGTGTTTTTTCACAATAAAAGGTTTCTAGGTATTTGCTTAAATTTATTCTTTCTTTTCAACCTATTTACAGTGGTACCTCGGGTTACATACGCTTTAGGTTACATACGCTTCAGGTTACACACTCCGCTAACCTAGAAATAGTGCTTCAGGTTAAGAACTTTGCTTCAGGATAAGAACAGAAATCGGCCTCCGGTGGCACGGCGGCAGCAGGAGGCCCCATTAGCTAAAGTGGTGCTTCAGGTTAAGAACAGTTTCAGGTTAAGTACTGACCTCTGGAACAAAATAAGTACTTAACCCAAGGTACCACTGTATTTGTTTAGTCATTCCCCACTTCTCCCCCTGACAGGGATTCTGACATTGTATACCTTCACAAGTAACATGTTTAGCAATCCTGAGATACAAATTTGGACTCCTACCATATGAAATAAACTTTTCAAAGTCTTACATTGAAGTCCTAGTTTAAATGATTTTTTTTTTATTTCTCTTTGTATCAGAAAGCACATCAAGCACAAGCTGTGATGTATGTTTCCAAGATCATATAGAGTTCACAGTTCATACTAAATCTGTCACTTATCCCTGCTGAAACTAAAGTGATCTTACTATCTTTTGTTTGGTTCTTAGTTTTTTTAATAGTTGGTGAGCAATTGCCTATTGGTTTGTGCCCGTCCCCCGCAATAATTCATGGGATTTAGAATATCTAGTGACATGCAGATATTTAATTACTCAAATTTAAACAATTCCATTCATCCTGTGAAATATTTACTAACATAATTGGGAAACCTTGTAATAATAACAACAGGTTAGATTAGGAACAGCTAAATCTCTTTTTTTACTTGCTCTCTACACCTTCAATTTTCTCTCACCAGTTGAGTTCTTTCAATAATCTATGTTAATGGGAATAAGAAAAATGAACAGTAATTTAAAAAAATTGGGAGAATTGAAGTCTTTATAGTTGAAATTCTAGAATACCAGTATAATTGGATTCTTCTCCACCTATGAAAAAAAATCTCAAGTTTTTGAACAAGGCCATAATTTTATGCATAATAACTGGCATAACAAGTGGGAACTGAAAGTGCACAAATATTTTGAAAGCCCAAAAGGAGGATTTACATATGTCATGTACCATGCATATTGTTTTCAGATTCCCAGCCTTCCTCCAGGATCTCAGGTGGTGATTTTCCATCTCATAACTCTGTGAAATAGGTTAGACTGAGAGGTAATGACTTGCCCAAGGCCACCTACAGAGTTTCATACTGTTCAGGGATTTGAATATGGATTCCCACAAGTTTAACATTAACCACTACATCCCACAGTGTCCCAATGTTATATTGCTCAACAGGAATAATTGAGGAGTAGATTAAAACAGAAAAACCACTCTTTGACTATTTCATAGAACAGGAATCCTATGTAGAGAGAATCATATGCTTAAGTATTATAAACGTTCTCTCACAGCCTTACCTTGTACTGCATGTTTAATGGTAACTACTAAAACAAGAAACCATTTCCCATATGGTAGTGACTCTTGCATGGGAAACTTCATTTGCAAACCAGTCTCAAGATGTTACCTTTGTGTGCAGAATTGGGTAAAATAGTCTGCTGTATTCATTGTTTTTTATCTGCAAGTATCTGAGAAGTGAAGAAAAGCCTGCTGGATCAGCCAAGTGGCCCATTTAATTCAGCACCCACTTCTTATGGTGGCCAACCAGGTGCCTGTGGAAAGCTCTCAACAGCACTCTCCCCTCCTGTGGCCCCTTGCAACCAATATTTAGAAACATGTTGCTTCTGACAGTGTGGGTAGAATATATCCATCATGGCTAGTAACCTCTGATAGCTTTATCCTCCATGAATTTGTCTAATCCTCTTGACACAGCAGGAGCCAGTGTGGTGTTCCACAGATATTGCTTGACTACAGCTCACATCATCCCTGACCATTGTCCATGCTGGCTGGGGCTGATGGCAGTTGGAATCCTATCTACGTGTGGGAGGTACCCATTCCCATTTAATGCTATTAAAGCAAATGAAATGGAGCTGCACACTGATCTTTAAAATTGTAAACCACCTTGAGTGCCTTCGGCAGAAAGGTGGTATATACCGTATTTTTCCCTCTATAACACGCAGATTTTTTCTCCTAAAAAGTAAAGGGAAATGTCTGTGCGTGTTATTGAGCGAATGTGTGGTCCCTGGAGCCGACAGGCGCGAGTGAAGGCAAAAATCAGGCAAATATCAATCGTCCGGAGAAGGGAAGCCTTGAAAAGAGGAAGCTGCTGCTTTCCTGCATTCTGCCTCAGGGTCTTACTGCCCACCCGCTTCTGTTTGTTACTGTGTTTGCTCAAACGGAACAAAGAGCAGAGAAAACCCCTCCCCTCCAGGCAAGCAGAGGGGAAAGCAGAGCGTCCTTCCTTCTAATTCCTCTCCGTGCTCCAGTGCTGCAACATGCAGGTGGGGGAGAGAGAGAGAGAGCTGGCTGGCTTGGGTGGGTGCGTGGGGGGAACTTTTGCCTTCCTTTCCTCCCTCCGGTAAAACCCCTCTCCTGCATTCTTAGCCAGCTGCTTCTCCGCACACCCCTCTCGGTGCTCCTTGTCCCTTCTATGTTTTTCCTTCCCTCCCCACTTAAAACGTGGTTACAAAGCACAGATCCACATGGATCCTCAGGATCTTTGCATAGGGTCACCCCAAATTCACCATCAGATCACATAGCAATGATCTGATGCAAAAACAGGGCTGCAATGGTGCAAAAACGTGGTTACAAAGCACAGATCCACATGGATCCTCAGGATCTTTGCATAGGGTCACCCCAAATTCACCATCAGATCACATAGCATGTCCATGGCTACAGCCTGCACCAAAAAAATCACGCACCCACTGTTGCCTGGGGCTGCAATGGTGCAAAAACGTGGTTACAAAGCACAGATCCACATGGATTCTCAGGATCTTTGCATTGGGCTACCCCAAACTCACCATCAAATCACATGTCTGTGGCCACAGCATGAAGCACAAAAATGATACATCCACTGTTTCATTCAGAATTTTTTCTTCTTGTTTTCCTCCTCTAAAAACTATGTGCGTGTTATGGTCAGGTGCGTGTTATCGAGCGAAAAATACGGTAAATGGAATTATTAACTGAATGAATGGATGAATCTTCAGTTAACACAGGAAGTTTGAATTTTGTAATGATTGCAATATATGCAGAAATAATGTCACATGTGTGTGAAGTGGTTCTTAACTGAAGCAAAAATATGTGCCTGTGTCAAAATTATATCAACCACTAAATCATAGAAGTATAGGCAGGAAATGCAAGGTTCGGGCACGATCCCTATGCATATTCATTTAGTTACATGAATGGAAAATGGGAGACTAATCTCTATACAGATGTAATGTTCAAAAATTTAAAAATCACAAGATCAGCGAAACCTGACATCTACAGAAATAATAGGCTTTGTTTGTTTGTTCATGGTAAATAGAAATATGGACTGCTTAAAGCACAATGGCAGCAGAAGCACTGTTTCAAGAACTCATGACAACAAACCATCTGTAGCTTAAAATATGCAAATAAAAGCATGGTTTATATCTGAGGCTTCAAATCACTGAATTTGAAGACTTTGGAAGAATAGAACTTGGAACTGGCATTCTAGTCAGTGTCTCGTTATTTAAGCAGACTGCACTAAAAGTGAACATGCCCAACCAAATGTCTTAACTGAGAGCATCATGCAGCAGAACCTAAGATGTAGGTTTATTTTCTTGCTTATTGCCTCCCCCTTTTTGCTTTCTTGTACTCCTATCACTTTCCTCATTACTTTCCAGGTACTGAGTTATGCTTGTTCTCTAGAAGTGCAGAGATAGGGAGGAAACTGCTAGAAAATTAAAATCATGATTATGTTCAAGGGATGTTAATGGAAAGAGCTTAGATCACATTTTTTGATCAACTGAAATGCTAAGTTGCAATCTGAATATTGGCTAATCATATTAAATAACAGGAGATAATTAGTTCTTTTAGTTGTAGCAGGTCCTTGTAGCAAGCGGCTGAAAGGAACAGCAACTTGTTACAGAAATATCTGTGTTTCTGGTCAGGGAAATCTAAGGCAAAATTTATTGAAACCTGAAATGCAGAAATGAGAAAACAGAGGAGTAATTTGTGTTGTTTTTAAAAGAGAATTTAATCCTATCTCTGTACATGTGCATGTCTGTCCTTAACTTTGTTTTCTGTTTGATTTGATTTACAGGTTATAGTTGACAAAATTAATGTTATCCTAAAGCATATACAAAGCTGGCAAATATAAATAGCTATAGAGCCATGTTTACAGAGTAGTTTAATAATAGTCTGACCCTTGGCTGCATGCATGGCAGCTTAGATCAGCATCACACACATTTTAGCCTTGAGTTTTACTCCTCAGGAGAAACCTTGAGCCATGTTGCATTACTTCTGTGCCTTGCCACATGTTGGCAGTCTTCAGAATCTTGAAAATCTGGATTTTATTAAGTATGTAATAACTGTGATTAATATTAAATTAATAATTTTTTAAACACAACAGGCCTGCTTGTCTTTTTAAAGTGAATTTTGAAAGTGTTAAGCAAAAATACAGTAAATGATCTTCATTTAGAGTTGCTTGAATAGAAATTTCTTCATTGTTATATGTCATCCTCTCATGTAATATATCTATACTTTTTGAAAGGCAGGCATTCAAATATATTTATTTCTGTTAAACATCATGTTCCATAGCCTCAAGGAAAATGGTGACCTTATTCTGCTTATTATTTTAGTTTTCTTATTACATACATTTGCATATTAAAAGGTAAAGGGACCCCTGACCATTAGGTCCAGTCGTGACCGACTCTGGGGTTGCGGCGCTCATTTCACTTTATTGGCCATGGGAGCCAGCGTACAGCTTCTGGGTCATGTGGCCAGCATGACTAAGCTGCTTCTGGCAAACCAGAGCAGCACACGGAAACACTGTTTACCTTGCTGCCTGAACGGTACCTATTTATCTGCTTGCACTTTGACGTGCTTTCGAACTGCTAGGTTGGCAAGAGCTGGGACTGAGCAATGGGAGCTCACCCCGTCGCAGGGATTTGAACCACCGACCTTCTGATCGGCAAGTCCTAGGCTCTGTGGTTTAACCCACAGTGCCACCCGCATCCCTATTTGCATATTATCTTTGCTTAAATATATTTTTCTCATAATGTTGTTTTTCTGTCCTTGGCTTTTAAATGGGTCATTTAACATGGGTTCCAGGGAGCTAAGATCCACGCATTAAACACTTTTAAAAGAAGCTAAGAAATTTTCATCTTCCAAGTAGCACTTTTATGGGATACGAAATTGCGTGTCCGTCATGTAGTCCTTCCTTCCTTCCTTCCTTCCTTCCTTTTGTTTTTGGGGGCATGTTAAGCCCTTATGAAGTAGCTTATGATTATGTTTACCTTCTTTTGACAGAGGAGCAAATTAAGCTCTTATAACTCTTAAACTCGGATATAATTTTAGGATTTCACACAGATTGCTTATGGTTGTACTTTTCAGAATCCTTATGAATATTTAGTTTGATTGCCATAATATATACTGAAGAAATGTGCAACATTTGCCTCCCTCTCTATTTCTGTTTCTTCTGTGTGCTGCTTTCTCTTCCCCATCACCTTTTTTATTGGCTGCAGACTTTCCTTCATCTCCCATGTTGAAGGCATACACATATTTGGGCTTCCATCTAAACAGCAGAAAAAAATAACAATTAGCTTTGAAGTCTGTGTGTCTTTTAGCAATATATATATATATAATAATTACTTTGGTCCATCTTTCCTTTTAAAAATAAGTATAATCTTTGGCCATTATAAGTACAGTAATAGCAATAAATATATTCATTTCCTAGAGAGATGTATGGAAGAGAGACCTTGCATAATACATGTGGTGTTCCTTCCTTTGGGAGGAAGGCAGGGATATAAATTTAATAACATGGCCACAAAAACATTTAGGTAAAAGAGACCCCTTTTAGTAACACACAAAACATATGTAACCATGTTGTCCTATAAGAAATATATTCAAAAGCTGGATTAGGCCAACACCTTTCTTAGGGCCACCAAAAAGTAACAAATAGTGAGGAAGCTTTTGAGTTTTCCAAAACACTCTTATCAGGCTGCATGTTAAACAAAGCCAGTGGTGAGGTCGGGGAAGAGAAGAAAGTTGCTGCTATGTGTATAACTCAGAATCACTTATGGCAGTGAAGGGGTGAGTACTGTGGGAGTGCACATAACATAGATTTCAGTCCAGATCATGATTTTGCTCTTCTGAAAACAGGCAGTCTCTGCCCAACATGCTTGTTAGGATGTCTGTTTCATTTTACCTTGATTATTCACTATTGATTTTTTTATGGCCATAGCTTTTTTTCTTCAGACAGGAATTGATAAAATTTGCAGGCACACCAGCCCCTCTGGAGTGAATAAGGCTTGGCAAATTATAAACAAATATGTTCAGGGACTTTTGTGCTGGGCAAAGTTTAAAGTTTTAACTTTTTAAAAAAGGAAATTTCTAACTTTATTTTGGGGTAGAATTGAATGACATTTGCAGGCAAGACCAGCCTTCTGAGGGCATGAATCCTCTGGACTGATTTCAGAAGGATAATGGCCGTGGTTTCCTGGAGGGGCAGCGATTACAGTTTTAGGAACCCTCCCCCCAATCTTATCTTACTTACTGTTCTGTGGACATTGGTGTGAAAATTGCAGACTGGAGGGGTTTTCCTGTGTAAGAAACCTGCCAAATTGTAAGCAAATAGGTTCAAGGAATGTTGTTCTAGATTTTATTGAGGGAGCTCAAAGGGAATCGCTTTCTGGGTGAAATCATTCCCTCTTATTAGAAGTTTGACCTGTTGGACACAACAGAGCTCTAGTGTTTATTCTCCCTTCCTCCAACATTCATCCCTATCATTGTGTTAAGCTTAGAAACATTTATTTTCTTTCAGCAGAAGCTTGTCTGTAGTGCTTTGTTCTTATGTTTGGGTCACCAAAGCACCATGGTCCTTGCTTCAATTTGTACCACCTTGTATAGCTCCCACTTCACCTCAGACTAGCCAAAACCCCTTGAGTTGGTACCCCTTTCCCTTGAAATTCCACATTTGCCTGACTCCAGTGTAAACCACTAGTGAACATACAAAGGGTGAGCACATACAAAGGTGAGACTTCTCCAACTATAAATGCTTCTCTTTTAGCAAGTATGTAAGGTACTATACAATATTCTGCAAATAGTTCATAGTAACAGTACAGGGTGCCAACAGCTTATACTTATTTGGGGATGAATGACATCTTGTTTTCTGTAGCATTATCTGATGTGCTAATGCCACAGAACTTAGCTTTTGGGGGTTTCTGCTGTGATAGGCATCACAGATGATACATGTCTCTATTGTTGCTCACAATATATTCATAATTCATAATGAATAAAATGATGATACCTCTGCCTCATCATTTTCTGTCTTACTTATTCCAAACGGTGCCATGAGAGCAGTGACTTATATAAGAAGTATTGAAATAGCTGTTAAACTAAGTTTGCTGTGAAATAACCTTGAAATCCCAATGTGAAGTCCTTGGGTACTTTAGGGTGTGTAAACTTGGCAGCCAAAGAAAGTCAAAACAAACTTTCTTAATGAGTAATTCTAGAAGACTAACCTTGTATGCAGAAGCAGAAAGATAGTGCTGCGGTACCAAAGGACTTGAACATGGTCATCCGTCATCTACATTTTAATTTATTCACTATACTTCTGCTTGTACATGCAAACCTGTCTGCTTGTATTTTATATTTCTGAAGGATAAATATGCTGTAGCATACATGAGGGGAAAGTGTGAACCTCTTCATAAGAAATAATGCAGTAAACAGTTTACATAGCAACAAGGTCTGGGTGTATGGACCACATGGATCAAGTGTACATAGACTGAGTTCTACACTACCACTTTGGGAACATTGAATTAAAAGTATGAATAGCAGGAGCTTGGTACTGCCTTTAGCACAATCTGTTTGGCTACCTGTTGTGTGGTTTCTAAAAATTACTAAAAATAAAAATAAAAATATGTACACCAGCCAGTTATGATACACATGGAGACTCCTGCAAGCAAAGTGAGCTGACAATAACTTACTTCCATAGATATCTGACTTCATCATCAATAATGGATCCAAAATATACCAAGAAAATAGGATGAGGGAAAATGTAGAATAAACCAAGTTATAGATAATGAAGCACCAAAACAAACACAGCAGCAAATTAAAAATTAAAAATAATGCTTGCTGGCTCATTCCCAACAGAGACAGATTTCTTGTGTACCATACTCTCTTTTTTTCAGCATCCCTAGAAAGCACACCAGTGACTCATAACCTTCCTAGTGTGTCTCCCTCTCGGCTTCCACTGCCCTGAGATCTGATCTCAGCAGCTAAAATGCAGCAACTAGGATTATGCTTACTTCCAAATCAAATGGGCCTTTTGGCAGCTCCAAATGGACCTTTTGGCAGCATGTTGCAAGATACATGTGCCCCAGCTTAAGTCTGTTGCACCATCAGTACAGAGAATTTCATTCAAACATTTGTTCATGTGGCTTATTTTTTTAAGCCTAGACTCACTGCACTATATTGGATAGTAGTTGTTACTTGGTTGCATTTATTTTGACAATATACTTCATGGAATCTTGACACAGTATATCCAGATCTACAGCCTGTGTGTTGCATAACCTTGAACCCTGTAAACAAGAACAAGTTATAGTACAGTTGGACACTACACATTCAAATGAGTGTCACACAGGTCGAGGTTCATGATGGTCATTGCATGTATTTACAGTGGTACCTCGGGTTAAGTACTTAATTTGTTCCGGAGGTCCGTTCTTAACCTGAAACTGTTCTTAACCTGAAGCACCACTTTAGCTAATGGGGCCTCCCGCTGCTGCCGCGCCGCTGCTTTGCAATTTCTGTTCTCATCCTGAAGCAAAGTTCTTAACCTGAGGTAATATTTCTGGGTAGCGAAGTCTGTAACCTGAAGCATATGTAACCTGAAGCGTATATAACCCGAGTTACCACTGTATACACTTAGGACGCTAGCTTTCATATACATACACACACACACATCATTTGTATACTGTCTCTGGGCAGTCTACAACATAAAAATTACATTAAAATAACAAATAAACACAACTATTAAATCAGTCAATTGCAAACTGAGTAGAATGAGCATTTTCTTAAGTACAAAATTAAATATAGGAGGGACTGAAGGCACAACTGTCTGCTGCATACAGCATTATGTAGTAGAATCCGCCATTACTTTTCTGTACTGTATACATACTCCAGGCAGGTAGAAATTGCTGTGCAGAGCGTTCTAGCTCCAGCTAGTAAACTTTGCCCCTGCTGGCTTTGTGATCACTCGGGTGTTGTGATCTGGAAAAAGAATCAGCTCTTTGCCTTTAAACTGCTCTCTTGCAGGTCCATGAAGGGAAAATAATTCTGTTGAATTTCCAAGGGGCTCTTTCCTGAGCTTTGTGGTTCCCTGCCAACAAGCATCAGTGTAAACTTACGGCGTGTTGACTTTCATTTAAGAACAAAGCAGTGGTGCTTCTTCACAGATGGGTGTTTGTGTGAGAGTGTGTGTGTGTGTATGTGCTTAAAAAAGCTTCATTTTAAAATGTAAGTATGAGTTAATTTATGTAGTTTTGAGCTGAATTTAGCATGTTAGAACTGAACTTTTAGTAACTAGGGAGGAAGCTATTGTATTTCTGAAATTATAATGGAGGGATAGCTTTAAACAAATCCTTTTGGAATTATTATGTCAAGGCTACATAGAAATTTTAAAAAATGTTTTACTCTTTGCTAATCTAAGTATGGAAGTGTATGGAAGTGAGAGCTGGACCATAAAGAAGGCTGATCGCCGAAAAATTGATGCTTTTGAATTATGGTGCTGGAGGAGACTTTTGAGAGTCCCATGGACTGCAAGAAGATCAAACCTCTCCATTCTGAAGGAAATCAGCCCTGAGTGCTCACTGGAAGGACAGATCCTGAAGCTGAGGCTCCAATACTTTGGCCACCTCATGAGAAGAGAAGACTCCCTGGAAAAGACCCTGATGTTGGGAAAGATGGAGGGCACAAGGAGAAGGGGACGACAGAGGATGAGGTGGTTGGACAGTGGTCTCGAAGCTACAAACATGAGTCTGACCAAACTGCGGGAGGCAGTGAAAGACAGGAGTGCCTGGCGTGCTCTGGTCCATGGGGTCACGAAGAGTCGGACATGACTAAACGACTAAACAACAACAATCTAAGTTTAAGCATAGGACTAAAAAACTACTTTTGGTACCTGCAATGTATCTCTCTTTTTTTTTTTTAAGAATAATTTTTTATTAACCGACCAATCACATCAAATCAAACCAAATTACATAAATTCCAAATTACACAGCCAAATTTTAAATTTTTGTTGGGGGTACCCATATTTCAAGTTCCGAAGGGGATCCAATCAACTTCTGTTTTAATGTCCACAAATCTAACCATATGATGTTCACAGTACTATCCAGTCCTTTCTTACTGTTTTTCCACATCTCTTGTTGTTATTTTCATATATTTGTCCTTTCTCTTTGTGACCTCTGATAGTCTCCAAAGCTGGTTAGAACAGTTTGTAATCCTGCGTGGATATTATTATTTTTTATCCAGTAGCCATATCCAGACGTTTTCCATATAACATCACTTCCATACATCAAAACAGTCTTAGCGTCATTAATCTTCACCAATCTGCCTCCTTTCTCAAAACCTCTGAGGAGATTCACCAGGAATGCATTCTGAAAACAAGTCCGTTCCTCCTTCCGGTTATAAATCCTTTGGCAAGATGGCGACTCTGAATTAATTGCTGCGCCATTCCAAAAGCTCTTATTGCTTCTCGATCTCCATAAAGCATACTTTTGGTTAAAGTTTATCTCCACACATAGTAAATCACATAGAAGGAAAGTAAAAAAGGTCCCCCCCCCATTCAGTCCCGTTGCCGACATACCCAGCCTTTGGTGTATCTTCATTGTAAAATATTCCTGTTTCTCCAACCCGTCGTCTTTTTTCGCAGAGGTCACTTAAATTAGCAGACTTCACTCCCCTTCTTCACTTGAAATATATGCATTTGCTTCTTTTGTAATTAATTATTCCAAATTGCTGCAGCTAGTGCGCGATCAGAGACAGCATCCAGGAGAGCCGAGGTCCACACGGGGGCATTCTGCCTAGTGCCCTCACCCCCTTCTTTTGAATTTGGGGGTGATTTATGGGCACAGCAGGCAAGGGCAGTGTTCCCCATTCCCTTGGGGCAACAAGGGAGGCTGCCTACTCCCATAACAGCCTCTTAATTACCTCGTGTGGGTCGGAGAGATGGTATTGTCGGCCATCTTCCAATGCACCCCTAGTGGCCCCCCCTGCAATGTATCTCTTTATCTTCTTCGAACAACAGATCCACATGCCACATCACAATTTTTCTTGGTTTTCAAAAATGGTTCCCTTATGGCATGGGGGGCTGCTCTTTGAGCAGCAAAAGTTTGAAGACTCCTTGTGCTTATTGAACTAGTGCTGTGGTACTCTTGTCCTTATTCTCAGTTTATAACTAGCAGGGAATAAAACCCATTCTTGGTTCTACAGACGTTCTTTTAGCTTCATCTCTATTTAACTTCCTGTGGCAGTTCTGGTTCTTCTCTAGTAAGAGTTCTTTCAGCAAAGCAAAAAATGTACTTAGCCAGTGCAGAACCTTTGATCTACTCTATTGACTTTTATATTTTGTTTGAAGATTAATCTGTAGTTTGGCATGACAAGCTTTGCTTACATTTATATTTATACTGTTTGCGTTATAACTTTATAACCTGCATTTCTGAAAGCTTTTTTAAACTCAGTGACGTTTACTGTTGCAACACTGTAAAACTTTACATTTGGGTACTTGGATTGTGTTTGATGTTACATACACTAAAAGGAGTTAGCTTTCCATGTTCATTGTGTTAAGTTTGTTTTCTGTCTTCTACACTATTCATAAACCTTTATAAAGCAGTTGTTTGAAGAAATGAGCCCACTAAGTTTGCAAAATACATATTGGACATAGTACTTGAAAACCTGGTCTCTAGAAAGGTGGCTACTTAAAATTCCACCTTTCAGAATTAGATGTCAAAGCTATAACTTAAATAAAGGAGAGAGGTGGTGCTTAGGATTGCTTTAAACATTAATTTTCTGCTGTGAACTAATGAGGGGAAATCATGAAGTGTGGTGTGGCTTTCATTCTGTTTAGGACACAACTTCATTCTCATTTCCATTATGTTGCATAATATATAATAAATTTAAAAGGATAATTTACATTTTACGAGCACATACAGATTAGAGTGAGATGATTGCCATCAGAACCTCTTGACATATGGCTGTGTATGGTTGTCATAACACATTTCATAAAATCTCCATGGCATTGCTAGCAGCTCTTTCAAAGGTGCACTTCTGCCATGATTTTTTCATAGGTAGATGGGTGGTGTGAGATTTGCTTAAAACAACAGTATGGATCCATCACCATATGGAAGCAGTACTTGGATTTTACACTACATACATGAGGTTGGCCCCTCAAAGACAACGAAGGATTTTACAGAGATTGCCCTGTGATCTGTGCTTTGTTTGCTCTTGCCTGCATTTTCCTCCAGAACGTTTGGATCTATTTTACAACGCAGACTTTCTTGACTTAAAAAAATAAATTTTAGAATTTATAATTATGGGTGGCTGTGAGATAATATTGTAATGTTCTTTCCTAAATAAGAAAGGGTCAGGTTAAAGTTGGCACTCAAGGATGGCAGAAATTTGCTAGTTTCAACTTGAAAGGAAAAATACATTTATTCTGTAAAACTAAGTAGAATATATTTGATACAATAATTGGGATTAGCTTTTATTATTAAACCCAACTTCTGAATTATCAAGGGTAAAGTGTTTATGATCTTTGTTCCCCACTTAAGACGTTGTGTGGACAGTAATGACCGCACGTTTCCGATTGCCTGCTGGCAGAACCTACAATGTACGAGCATCTGAGCTGGCACGAGACAGACAGCATACAGAGGTGGTCTGCAATATTCTTCTTCTGGACAATACTGTACAAGCTTTTAGAGTTAATGTAAGTATAATATTTTAGGAAACATGTTGTATCTCATTTAGAATTGCCTCATAGTAGAGTCCTAGGCTTTAGAAAACATGCTCTTGATTTTGCATATTTATTTAATCAATAGTATACATTAGCCATCCATTTACTTACATTAACATGGTCATTAATTCAGAGTCCTTTCCTAAGGGCCTCCTCTTGTTGTTTTTTTGTTGTTTTTTTTGAAGAGGCTTCTCAGCAGGGAATGGCCTGAGGAGGATGTGGGAAATTCACCTTGCATGAGTGCTGGCACTAGGTACATCCATGTATACAATGTTTTAAAGACTTTGCAGAACGCACTATTTTAATAGGAACCTTTGCAACAAATAATATAGCTAAAAATGTTTTCCCTCTTATTATACCTTGAAAATGATTCCTTGCTTAATTAAATACAATGAGACCTAAATAAAGGTCGTTATTAAGCTAGCATAAGAATAAATTTGAATGTTATACATGTTTTATATTAGTACATTCGTACAATTTAGAAATTATTATTTATTATTAAAAAGAGTTTAAAGCAACTTACAGTTACAGAAATAAGGTGGGTCTTAATTCATATCAAGTGTTAAAAGCCAGAGGTGTGTTAAAATGCACTCCTTCGGACATTGTCCCAAAGCATCTTTTACAAAAGACATTTGCAGTACAGTTCTATGCAGATTTTCTCAGAAGTCCCACAGTGTTCAACAGGACTTACTCTCAGGGAAGTGCACATATGATTGCTGCCATAATGGTTTATTTTGATTATTGTAACCTTTTTGCATGTATTTAAAACAAAAGCATATAACTACAAATAACTCCATATTTAACATTTTTATTAATGCTCCTTGTGTTAAAAATCAAATGGAGGCACTATTCTCCCTGCCCATTGAGTGTTGGATACACATATATTTTAAGGTTGCTTTGCAAATAAATTTGAGCTTTATGAATATGTCAGCAGTAGCCAATAATTTAACCTGTCTGTCAGTAATAAACCTACAGAGATGACCTTGATCTTTGCTGAATGGAGGCAGCTTGTGACTGATTTAGACCAATGATGGGTTTTACAGTTAAAACTTAGGAGCTGCTTTATCAAAACACGTGTCCAAATAAAATATCTTTTTGTAATGAGCAAGCTATAGAAATGCATTAACACAGAGATTTGTGGAAAAACAAAATGCCAAAAGGCTACTTAGGACACTGTTCAGACCCCTCAAATTTACAAAGGAAAAATGTGTTGTGAAATAGCTTTTCCGTGTCAAATGTTTCTCAACTTTTTTGGTCCTCGGCATTTATTGTGCACAGAAAGGAAGTTCTGCATAAGTAACTTGGCCAACAGGCCAAAGCATGCAAGGTAGCGTGAAAGGAAGCACATAGTCTGGAATGCGTGAAAGAAACAAAGGAGTGGTTAGGAAGCAAACCTATGTGGTTTCGGAGGTAGAAACATGACTAAAGTATTTTAGGCAGGGGCAGACTTGCTTAGCATTTTTATGGCCACAAGGCTGCATTGTAATATGGTGGCAGTAGACAAGTCATCTGAATTTGAGACATATAGGAACATGTCATCTTTTGAGCAAGCCAAACTTGGCTGTCACATTCAGTTATACTTTGCAAATGAAGACATGTTTAAAATAAATATTTTGAAATATGCATGCTCTTTTGTTTTTATCAGACAGTTTGTATTCTTGGGCCATGAGTAGCTGACAAGAGAAATTGTATGTCAATCTGGTCCTTTAGCTTTAAGTAAATTAAGAGGTTCTTTTCAGATGCTGTGACTGATAAAATTTCAGGGAACTGTTTTTAGAATTGGCATCACTTTGAAAGTCTCAGCTCCTTGCTTCACTGGCTTTATAACCACAAAAGACAAGGTAAAGCCTGTGCCATGGAAGCATAATGTGTTTCAGAATTCAAAGATCTGAAAGATTCACACTAGGTTTAAAAATGCATAACTGGCATATATATAGTCATGTACCTGCTTTGGTTTCTATAAATGTGAGTTTTCAAAATGAATATCCAAGCCACTCTTCCTAAATTGTAGTCCAAAAATATAAACCAAGAGACAATGCAGTTGAAAAGTGGAACTGGTCTCTTGTTTACATCATAAAACCTTCCAAAGGACCAGAGTAGAAGTCTGGTAAGGTTTGTTTCAGCTTAAACAACAAGAAATTTCTGTATGGGTTATTTGGGAGGAAGGGCAGGATATAAACTGAGTTTAATTATTAATGATGATAGTAATAATAATTCATATCCCACCTTTCCCACAATGATCTCATTGTGGTACACACACACACACACACACACATCTTGTTCTTGCAACAGTCTTGTTAGGCAGAGAGAATGACTGACACAAGGTTATCCAGTGAGCATCATGGATGGCAGGAATTTGAACTCTGATCTTTCAGGTCCTAGTCTAACTTTCTCAACTACTTGAGCATACTGGCTTGAAAGTGGGAAGAAGTCAAAGTTGAAATGCAGATTTTCAGGTTAAAGACAATAAAACTTTCCGATTTAAAAGTCTTAAGGTTTTCTCAGAGACCCAGTTTCTGTCTCAATTTTTCCAGGATGGGTAGCGATTAGAAACAAAGTAACCTGCTTTGGTGGTGGTTGAATCATTTTGAAAACATTTTCATTTGCTATTTTCTTCCTACAGAAACATGATCAGGGACAAGTTCTGCTGAATATAGTTTTCAAGCATCTTGATCTGACTGAAAGAGACTATTTTGGTTTACAATTGGCTGATGATTCTACTGATAACCCGGTAAGCTGTGTCTGTTTTCTAAACAAATTCCTCTTTGAGGAGTTTGAGATTGCAAGTTCTACACTTCTAGATGCTTGCACTAAGTTTAGTTTGCTGAGGGAGAGGCTGATGTTGCAGAGTCATTTGTAGGAGAGCTCTGTTTCAGAACTAAGCACTTACTTACTTAAAAATGATTCATTAATTTTTTGGAGAGCCTGAAAAACCTGATAAAGTCTCTTGGACCTTACAAGGGATAACTAGGTGTGGCATCCCACTTGAGCAACAGAGTTTTGATTCTGCAAATGGAACTTACCTTTCCTTCTCCCTTACAGCCCCCCATGACCCCCCCCCCATTTATGGGGTTGAAAAATCCTCTGTTTGTGGATTGGAAGAGTCATGGGGGCTGCATGGTACAGAAGAGGAAGCGCCATCACATTCATTGTCATGACATTGGATCTCACCCAAAATGTTGACACCTCTGCTACAGAAAAAGATGAAGAGAATCTATTCATTTCGCTAGTCTTTCCTTCGCACCCCTAACTTTTGATTAATACATGACAAGTTGCAGATTTGCTTACATGCTCTAGAAGGGATATACTGGAGAGAAAATGATCAGTACAATCATTCAGTATGCCTCACTTGGTTTTATTTCTGTCACTTTTATTTGTGACTAGTGCCTGACATGCAAAGCAATCATATTTACCAGCAGAAGTTTGGATCTTAGGGTATAAATACAAGTCATTACCTGGTTCTGTACCAGATATTCTGCAGATATCACAATCCATTGTAATGCTAATGCTAATTGTAGTTTAGTAGCTAGGGAATGTTATTAACTTATCATCTGAAGGCGGGCATTAAATTAAGTTTTAGTCTCCTGGTTCTCTAGAATGGTTTTATACGTTCTTTGACAATACTTCAGATAGTTAATATTTTGCTATAATATAGTGGTTGTAATGGGAACTTTGAATGTCTGGTTTTGTTCCAGCTATTTATAATCATTAAAAAAGCTTATGCAAGATCTTATTTAATCACTTGCAAAGTGATTAGTGATATAAGATGATATATGCTCATAGTATCATACAGAATTTCCAAGGTTCAATGGCCACACCAGAGTGACCTTTTAAAAAAACCCCAAGGCTATCAACCTGCAGAATAGTCACAACTTGCAGACTTGCATCATTAAGATAAATTCAACAGTGTAAATATGTTTTGATAGATGTAATAATGGAAAACTGATTGGTATAGTTTTTGTAAAATATGCAGGGATATAAAATAAGTAAAATGAACCAGGGAAAGAGAAGAAAGGAAGTCACTGATAATTTAAATATGCAAAATGTTTATCTGAAATTGAAAAACAGAAAATTTAATTAAAATCATAATTTAAAAATCAAGGCTGATTAAAACTGGTAGATCTCTAAGCAGATTTACCCTTCTTCAGTTGTCTTAGTAAGGTTGATAACAATCTGTTGCAAGAAAACTTGGTGATAGTATTTTGTAAATGAATGCTAAATATGCAAGTGTGCTGTATTTTCCTGGTTTTGAATATATTTTTTCTCTTTAACTGATTTGAAGTTTGGAGAACCATGCTAAAGTTAAGGCAATGTGTGTCATGGAATTTCTAGAGTTAAAACAAAGCATTTTAGATAGGAGGAAAAAAATAGATGTTAAAATAAGCTTATATGAAGCCCTTTTTTCTTACAAGGAGAATGGTGAAAGAAGTAGGCTTCATTTATTCACTGCATTGAGGAAAATAAAAATTGTATACCAAGACAACTTTGAAGTGAAATTCAGATCCGTGCATCAGCGTCTGACAAATAGCAGTTCATAGAAACAGGTCATTCATTGTCCTCTGATATTGGTAGCATTCAAGTGGCAGCTATATAGTGTTCCAGGCAGGTTAATGCCAACTGAATTCAGAAAGGGTTTAGTTGGAAATTGGTAGTGTTGAGGGGAATAGAAAAACAGGGCTGATCCCAGATTTGAGGGGCCCTAGACAAAGTGTATTCTGGTGTGCCCGTTCTACAGTTGATGGTCCTTGCTTGGCTTACTTGGCTGTGACGGCTTTAAGCAGTACCAGACATCCTGGGACCCTGGCAGCTGCCCAAGAACACCAGATGCTAATGCCTGCATTGTGGGAAAGTCATATTCCTGATTTCTGTTGCATCCAGGCTGCTGGACATCCTTCAGAAGGCATAAGCTGAACAACTAAACACTTATTTGTGGATGCATATTTTTGATCCTATCTGTTCCATCCAGATTGTTAGGCAAGCTTTTTTTCAAAGAGAGAGCGAGTGAGCTGAGAATATCGGCAATCTCTGTGTTAAGTGGAATTTTTTTCCGTGGCAAAGACTACATCCCTGCTTCTTGCCCTTAGTTTGATTCTTGTCAGCAAGCTAGCATTGCATTTGGTAGGAACCAGCTTTCTTTGAACTTGTTTTAGTTTTGGTTATTATTATGCCACATAAGGCAGGGTTTTCAACAGGAACAGTTTTCTTTATTATTGTTGGCACGTCCACGTTTCTATTCCTGTTCATTTCCACAACATAAAGCTTTTTTACTGTTGTAATATTTTTACTGTGTTGTAGCATTTACTTCAAATTCTCACAGATTGTAAGAACACTCACAGTACATCATACATTCTTTCCTGTTGCACCATCAGGTGACATGTTAGAACAACGTGGTCCTTTTGTTTACTGGTTCTTATAAGAATAGAGTCATACTGATTGTGCACTAGCTTAGATGACAGATCCTTTGTGATGATAAAGCATCTTTTCCAGCTTGCAGAGCCTAGAAATCAGTGGCCTAGAAAGCAATTCTTGAATGTTGCACATATGGTTGGTAACACACCCCTTGGCTCAGTGTTCATGCTGGCTGTTTCAGAGAGACAGAATTGGGCAAGCTTAGTTTCCTAAAGAAAATATGGCTATTTTAAACAGGATGCATGTGGCCTTTTGTTCTTTCTAATATCAGCCTGCACATCTTTAATAGGTGAAGTCTGGCAACTGATTTTTATTTTCATGCTTGTGACACCATTTATATTAGCTCATTTTCCAAACCCCTGCTATCTCTCCCCTCAGGAATTAGTGAGTGTTTGTGAAGTCTACATCTTTGAGAAAAAGTATAGACACCTTCTTTAATTGTATATGCCAATATATGTTAATACTTGGAGACATACTATATTGAAAGCTTCCCTGGAAACTGCCCGGTTTTGCTCTGTTAACATGTGAATGCTTCTAACCAAAGCCCCTTCCAAATAAAACTACTTAACTTTATTAATCCAAAAACGGGGGTGGGGTGGGGAAGAGATAGTTTCATTTCAGAATTGAAAAACAGTTCTTGGAATAATAATTGGATAAATGGGATATCTCATGCAAGGTGTTAAACTTAGCTACAACATCTGGAATTATCTTACCTTATAGGCTACTCATTATGCTCCCTCTAGTGTTGAGTTCAATTGCTAATTTTTATAGTAATGTGACAGATTGTCCTCTAATTCTTAAATAAATTATTTTAAGTGCCAATCGTCACTGCTATAGGGTGTACTAAAAATGTGTAGTGCTCTAAATAGAAGTCTATAAATGTATTTAAGGACTCAGAACAGGGTCCAAAGAGCCCACCTTGGACTAGTCATCAAGGAAAAGTGTGTTTTGTATCTAGCAATTGTGACATACGGTAAAAACATACATATGTACATTTGTTTTGTTAAGAGATGTGTTGCAATAATGCTTTGTGTTGCTTTAGAAAAACACATAATGAAGTAATCTTTTCATTCCCCCAGAGGTGGCTGGATCCAAACAAGCCAATCAGGAAGCAGTTAAAGAGTGAGCAAAAATATTTTTTATCTATTTTGAATGCAAATGTTCATTAAATAATGATAAATAATTACTAAATTAAAGTTGTAAAAATCTAATATGATATTTTGGTTAATTTTAGGAGGATCTCCTCACAGCTTGAACTTCAGAGTCAAATTTTTTGTAAGCGATCCTAATAAGCTTCAAGAAGAATACACACGGTATCAGTCTCTCTCTTATTTTAATAAGATACTTTGATGTTCATTGCATAGGAGTGTCTGCAATTGATACAAAAATGTGTATACATTTTGATTTCATCTGAGGAAATAGGGATTTTTTTTATTACCAGAATATCCAAAACTGAAAATTATTCTTGATTAGCATGTATTCTGTGTAGCATATATTTTGAACATACTTGAAAACAATTCAGTTGTGTAGTTCATGCCTATATCTGGATTTAGAACTTCTACATGCTCTTGAACCCAAGTCATGCACAATTTGACAAAAAGGCACAGTGTTATAAGTTGCATTGTGTTGAATATAGTCTGATCCTTACCCACTCATCCCTCCCAACTCCTTGTGCGCTTTAATATCTATATATTAGGGAAAGCTGTTGTTTAAGGGACCAACCAGATGTATGCATGTTTGTTAAACATGGGTTTAACCATTCATTTATAAAGCAGGGTGGAGAGTGCAAGGAAGTAGTGAAATCTTCTACTTCTCCACTTTATCTTATGGTGCTTTCTTGCTTTACAGGTTTTATTCTTTGCCTCCCATGCTCCTAGCATGAAAAGTTAACCCCCACTATTCTTACACTTTATTAAAAATGGGCTTACATCTGATTTTGTCCTCAAATTGCAAGTTAATTATTTTAGGGTAGATAAATATGTGTCCAAAGGCATACTTCAATACTATACTCAAGTGCCTTGCTAATGAAAACCATATTTTTACATTTGAATTAATCTGTTTTTAACACACACTAAGTAATGTAGACCAAAGGTTATTTTTGTTGAACTCTTTGTTCACTGAAGAGTTGAGAGAGCTGTTGCAGCAGTTTTGCGAACGCTGCTTTAAAATCAATTGGTTTTCCAATGCAGAAGTGGTTTGCAATCTACGTTGTAAGTGAAGTTCAGGCAACAACTAATTAAGCTCCTTTTGTATTTGAACACACACAGAGCTGCATTCACTTCATCTGACCCTATCCTCCCCTTGCCCCACAAAAATATCTCCCAGGCAGCAGCGTCTTTCAGCCTATGATTACAACCAAACAGTCTACATACAGAGCAGCTCTAAATTAAGTCCCTGCAAAAGTGTAATGCTACACTTTAAAAAGCACCCCTAATATTTTTAAGTTATAAATAACAGCACTGCAAATAGAGAAGCGATATTGAAGAATACAGTTTGGGTTTTAGCAGTACAGATCACTCTGCAAATCAATGTTGATATAGTTGATGAAATTGGTATATAATTTCCAGAGTTCAACTTCCATCATCATGAAACAAGAAGTTGGGGATTTGGGTATAACTTTTTTTAAATTGTCAGTTTATTTTCATTTACATCCTGGGGAGTTTGAGTAATGCAGAATAGTTGGGAGGACTGATTTATGTGTTACTCGAGGACTATTTTAATGTAGCTAGAAATCACACCACATAGGGGCACCCACCTGTCAAAATCCCTCCTGCCGCTTTGCAAGTCTTCCCATGCTTCCCCTTCAAACCCAATGTCAGAGGTTTAAAAGAGGAGCATGGGGAGATTTGCAAAGTGCCCTTTGAAGCAGCATCCATTCCATTCTTTAAAGGATGGAGTCGAAGTTGCTTCAAAGGGCACTTTTGTCAAGTGCTTTAAGATGCTTTAACTCTGGTGGATTGCTACTTGGAAAGAAGGCAGAGGGGGGAAAGCTCTCTTCACTTTCCTCATTGCCATACAACTGGTACTATTATGTACTCTAGTATATGTTTGCTTGTCCTCACAGCAACCTGTGCTCTAGTAATTGTCAAACTTGTTTGTCACCCAAAACTTCTCAGAATGCCAAAGAGCAAACCAGGCCCTGCAGCAACAGAGAATGCACTTAGATACGATCTTATTGATAGCCTGCTGCATCTCACAGTTCCATGGCAAGATCAGGCCTTTGACAGGATTGTCATCTCTGTCCCTTGGAAAATCACTCAGAACTGTTGCTGGAAACTTTGATCTGGCCAGCCTAATGCTGCACTGCCATTCACCTCTGCCAGAAAACTGCTGGAAAAAACTACTTTGCAAATTTCCTGCTCCCCTCTTTTCTGCTTTTCAGCACATGTGTGCGTGGACACGCAGACATACAGAGATAGAATAAAGAGGGGGTGGATTGTTCCATCTGCCAAACCCTGAAAGGAATCAATAGGGGTGCCAGGGTAGGGCTTCCTAACTTAATACTCCTGGACTGAGCTTTGGCTCTGAGAATCTGCTCTTTAACTACCAGTTGAGCTATTTGTCATGCACGCCCACCAAGCCACCCTCATCCATATGTCAGATGGAAGAAGAAAAGAAGAGAGCAGCCTGGATAGGACAGAGGAGAAAGTGTTGTGCATGCAATACGAAGCAGTGGGAGAAAGATAAGGAGCAAGGGGCTGATGAGTGCCACAATTAGAGGCAGAGGCCAAAAGAGACCCAGGAAGAGTTACTAGCAGCACTAGAGAGCCTTGGCTGGTTTGGATCAAGTTCTGAAGACTTCCGTGCTTCATAGCAAAACCTGAAGTCTTCAACATGACTTGATCATTTGTTATTGGTTTGTTTAATATTTTTTAGACTGCTTACACCTGAGTGGTTTAAAACTAAAAACCGTAAAAATCAATAGAATACAAATGAAAATGAAAGTAATAGTGTCAATAGAAGTCCAGAAACATACCACTGAGCAGTGCAATGTAAAAAATAAGTAAATGTCTAAACAAGCAAATGTATTTAATAGGCAGAAACAATGTGTCACAGTTGACTCCCCTTGGCTTCCACGGAGGAGGGTGTTCTTGCACTTTGGTCCTCCAGATGTTGCTGAACTACAACTCCCATCAGCCTTAACCAGCATGACCGAAGGTCAAGACTGATGGGAGTTGCAGTCCAACAGCATCTGGGAGGCCAAAGGTTCCCCATCTACTGCAGAAAAGACCATGTTGATACTAGCCATGGTGCAGTGTGCAGGGCTTCCTTTGGTGGTGGTTAATCCATACAAGGAAGACACATACCTTGCTCCTACGTTGTTCGGGGCTTTATATGTTAACAGAACATAGAATGTGCCTTAGTAGCTAATGGGCAGCCAGTCCAGTTCTTTCAACACAGGTATAATAAGATACCCCACTCATCATGCTAGCTCCTGTGCTGTGTACTAGCTACAATTTCCTAAGGTCACCTTACCTAAAGACATTGCAGTGCATGGACCTCAGTGGGCAGGGTGTAGTAGCTGAACCAATTGAAGTTGGTGGTGGGTGCTTCATTCCACCAAGGTCAAGTGGAGTTGTAATACCCCAAGAATACCCTCAGATTAAGTACCTGCTCCTCTCGAGAGTGTCCATGTCAGTTCAGAACAAGTGAACAGAATTCCTGTGGCCTGGGAACCACTCACTCATAGGATCTCTGCCTTACCAGGCTCAGTCCACTTCCATCATCCTTTGCAAGTTTGAATGGCAAAGAAAAGTAGGGCACATTGTAAATAAAAAAAAAAAAAGAAAAGTAGGGCACATTGGAAAGCAAGGCTTGCTTCAGGCTCTTCATCCTTCTTTATTGAGAAAGCCTTTTCACCCCACTTGTGGCTGGATGTAAAGATGGCTGGAGCTTGTTTCACTTCATAGCACACCTGGCTGTCCTATACTTTTAAAAAAAATGTTTTTAAAAGGTCACTTGGGGATCCCCTGGACTGTGAGCCTTGGACTTCTGACCTGAAATCCAGCCTTAATGTATCTACTGCCATCTCCTGTTCACTATTGAGAAGCACTCCTGAAAGAAACATTTTGGATCCATGCCTATGAATCCCAAGTGTGAAACCAGGATATGCTTAATCCATACAAGTTTATGCAGGGGGTGGGCACAAACTACTATATAAAAGTAAATTACAAATGCATCGCTTAAGAGTAATTCACAGAGAAAGAGAAATAAAATAACATGGCTGTGTTTGTGGGTAATTGCAATAAAGTGTGTCATTCCACAACCGTTGATTTAGAGGATCAGCTTCCCTTATGGAAGTAGAAGGAAGTCTCTGTAAAGGCCCATAAGATAAAAACACTGCAGTGTCATACCAGAATGTTTGCTACATGGAAATTCATGCCTTTCAGATTTTATTGGTGACTAGAAATACTTTAAAGGTAGATTAGAATTCTAAACCAATTTCAAACCGTCACTTCAGGTAAGACATCTGAGATGCAGGGGCCAGTATTAATACACACTCATCTCACAAGGCCTATTTGCTTGGAGGTACATTTCAATAGATTGTTGGTATTCATGGGTATTATTATTGTTGGAGGCATGCCAGTGTGGCTAATCACATTCTTTTGGCATGGGTTAGAGATGGCAAAATGGAACTTGCAACAAATGTTGCAATAGGGAGGGATGAAGAGATAACAATCAGAAATTGTTTTCTATTAATTTTTAAATATGTCCTATCCCATTAGTTTCAAAATACCACACAGAACAACATTTGTCAATTGAGGCATGAAAATATGATGTAGATGTACCTGAGTCCAATGAATGGATCCTAACCTTTTATTGATTTTATAAATTCTAATGTAAACTGCATGTGTTACAGCAGCACCAAAATATTTGGATTTCTTATGTTTATATGACTTTGAACTCAGTTTAATTTCTGTGTCTTGCTAGCCTGAAATAATGGTATATGGTGAAATGCAGATGCTGAAGTCAAAAGGTGATCTTAATTTTGTTAATTAAAAAAACAATAGTAACTTTGTCAACCTGTTGTACTGTGTTTACTTTTTCTTTAAGGTACCAATATTTTTTGCAAATTAAACAAGACATTCTTACTGGAAGGTAAGATTTGCTTGCCATGAAGACTTGGGAACCCTTGCAGACAGTTATGCAAAATTATTTAGTAATTCAGGGAGAGGGTGGAGATAAATAGTGTGATCGAATGCCTCAATCAAGTTATGAAAATATGTATGTGGCTGCTGGCTTCCCACATGCATCCCATGGTAATTGGCAATCCTATAATAAAGCCTATAGGTGTTATGGATATGGTTGCAGTGTTACGGGTTGTGCGTGCAATATTTTATCAATGAATCAGGAACTATGCATGCAATGCCAAATGAGATTTGGATCTGCCTCCCATCCATCTTAAACAGGTGATTAGTGGAGTCAAAGCTGACAGTGCCAGCCATTTATGTAAGCTTTTGTGATTGCATACCTCTAGGTTGGTATCCAGATGTTTAACTCTCTTTGGATACTAATCTAGAAGCATGGTTTCCTTTGTAAAGCAAATATGTAAAAATAACAGCTGGTGTGTTTTTAGTTGTGTCATTACATATTTGCCTGCTTTAAAAGGGAAATCTCTATTTGATGCTTCAGTGTTTTTTTGTTATGTAATTCAAATACATGGGTAAAACTAATTGGCTCTAAATATTACTGTATTGAAGTGTGTTGGTTATTTTCCCACATAGATTGCCCTGCCCTTATAATACTGCTGCACTCTTGGCTTCCTATGCTGTTCAGTGTAAGTAAAATATAAAAAAAAAAAGTTCTTATATTATGCTTATAATTTTCCTGATGTTGTTACTTTTCTTTTGTGTTAAGAAACACTAAACCTTCAGGAAAAATATTTGAATAGACTGTGTTGTGTAAAGCCGATAAATTTATAAAAACAGTTTGTATCTTACCCATGTACAGTAGAATTCTATGCCTATCTACTTAGAAGTAAGCCCTGTTGAGTTCATTGAGGCTTATTCCCAGCTAAGGTAGTATAGGATTGCAGCCATAATATTACCTCTGAAATGTACATTGAAAATATGAAACTGTTCTTTATACCTAACATGTAAAACATATGACAAGATCTTGGCAGAGTTTATCATGGCATTTGTCATCAAAATATGTGTGGCTGTTAATGTAAAGATTGAGTGGATTTCCCACCTAAACAGAGTTACGATAAATGTATATACCTTGAAAAACATTTTTCTCTTGGTTATGTTAGCTTATTACTATCAAATTGACATGCTTTGTGAACTATTATTGCTAAGATGGGAATTTAACAACCTCTAAAGCTTCAGTTCTAAAGGGGAGAGGGAAAGAGTACTCAAAGTGGTTATTCCATCACATCTAGCAGTCTGCTGGACTTGCTCTGGCAGGGCGTAGGTAAAGGCACAGCAGCACATTTCTGCTCCTCTGTCCTTTTTATTTTTCTTGCTTTAACTATTTCCCTATTCTCATGAACATTAGGAGCAGAATTAACCATGCCAGCTCCAGAGATGACATAGCATCCTCCCTGATTTGGGGGTGTGGTGGGGGATTGAGGTGTTTCCTGTTGACCCTACCCATGTTGGAGCTCCAGTGTCAACAGGGCAAAGACTGTGGAAGCTTCTGTGGTGACAGGGAGGAGGCATCCAAGGTTACACCTCTCTCTCTGCCATCCAAGAGTGAGATCCCATACTTCTTACTGGGGAACCCTCCCAGGGACCATAGGATTTTAAGGTTAGGGTGCCTTTGCCCCCCCTTTTTTAAAGAAGTGATGCATATTGTTGCTTCTGAACAGTTTTTGATAAGATTTTGTATTTTGTCAGCCCTGAGTGCCTCTGTACAACCATTAAAGTGGTAACGGTTTCCACAGTTTAGCAAGAGTTTGCAAGGGTTTTTGGAAAAACAGCTGAAAAATCTAGCATACTGCTAGGTTACAGAACCTGATTTTTATTTTTGTTTTTGTAGAAAATGCATTGCTTCACATAAAAATATATCACCAGTACAAAAATAAAATTCCTTTTCCAGAAGTAAATCACATCAACAAAAGTATCCGTATGTAATAAAATGGTACATGTGTAATCACACTGCAGTTTGTGTGACCGCCAGTAGGAGCCTACCTGACAACTTTTATCTTCCCTGGCAGGCCAAAGATCTGGCCTTTGGGCCAGAAAAACTTCTTCATCCCAGTCTAAGGGGAAGATGGGTGTAGAGAGGTTTGGCAAACTATAAGGGGGGTAGTGGTATGGAGTAAGGATGTGTGTGGTTTTGGGGAGAAGGTGGCTTTGGTGAGAGGAGGTGGTAGGTGGGGTTGAAGAGTAAAGCAAGCAGGGGCAGCAGCCCCTAGTTGTTATGTTTCTTGTAGTCAATCTTGTGGAACTATTTAGTTCTCTAATCTTGAAACTAGAGTGCTTTCAGTTTATACAAACAACATTAGGTGCTTTTGTACAGTTTTAGACTGAAGTTGTTTAATATGTAGTAAAGGCTGGTGGATTAATTATTATTATTTTTACCTTTCTTACACTGCATGGATTGCAAGGTGCTGAAATGGGGCTGTTGCTAAATGGTTTCTCTTAACTTTCAGCTGAACTGGGAGACTACAACCTTTCAGAGAACTTCCCAGGCTACCTCTCAGACTATTCCTTTATTCCCGGCCAGCCTCAAGAGTTTGAAAAAGAAGTGTCCAAACTACATCAGCAGCATATGTAAGCATAAAAGAAAGAAGAAATAAGGTTGCAGTCTGAAGAACTGCATGACCAGTTTAATCTATCCTCAGCTGCTTCTGTGTGTGTAAATTAAAAGTAGCTCCTTACATTATAACCCCAGGTTACTGCATGTGTGTCTCATCCAATCCTTTTGTGGAGAAATGACTCATTTAAGATCAGGTAACTGCTACAGAGAGAACTAGTGGAGAAAGCTCACTAATACTGTTTAGGTTTTAGACTTAAAATGAATTCATGCTCTCAGAGTACATGCATCTGAAAATACACTTTTACAATCATAATTGTATTTTGAATATTAAAACTATATGCTTGGAGGCGTGGTGTGACTGCTCCTCTTTAGCGAGAGAAAAACCAGGCAAGGAAGCAGGGGCAGTTAAACTGCTAATTGCCCTAAAGCCGGTGTAACTCCCTCTTGCTCTTTGGGCTCCAGTAAAAAAAGTTTTTAAATAAGAACCCTCAAGTTACCTTAAATATATTTTAAGCTATTTTATGTTCTTATTTCGTCATTACAGAGGTCTGTCTCCTGCTGAAGCAGAATTTAGTTATCTCAGCACAGCCCGGACCTTAGAACTCTATGGAGTTGAATTGCACTATGCAAGGGTAAGCGTCAATTGATTAGTATTAATCACGCAAATAAACCCAAAACAAAACATAGCATTGTCTGAATGGTCAATAGTTCTCTTCTTAGAAATTAATTTTTAAAATGTATCATAATATTCAACAAAATTAAAGTAAATCTGATTTCCATAACGTTACTTTGAAAATAATATATAGTTCTCTATTTAATGTTGTTGATGGTGGTGGTATCTGTATGTCTTGGGTGACAATGGGGTGTGGCTCCCGGGGTGAAGTCAAACCACTGGAGCATCACAGCACCTGCTATGGCTGCAGAGACCAGTAACTCATAAATGCTGCCTTCCATGTTCTTTTTGCTGTGTTAGCAGCACTGAAGTGAGCTCTCTGGGGTGCAAGCCTGGGCAGTGTGTATGGAGGTCCTGGGCTCCCCAGATGACAAGACTCTTGGCCTCGCTGATGTGCTGCAAAGGAAAAGCAGAGCAATACAAAAGGCACCAGCTTGGCTGCAAGACCTGCCAGAAAGTGGCGTACAAGGCACCATCCAACCACCTTAGCCCTAATTAATTGGACCCATTTCCCCTTCCCTTCTAAGTTTTTTTTAAATTTAAAAATGTATTTCAAGCATTTGTACCCTGCTGTTCAGAGCTGCTTACATACAATCAAAACAAGTCAGTCCCTGGGCGTACAATCTGTACAGTGGTACCTTGGGTTAAGTACTTAATTTGTTCTGGAGGTCTGTACTTAACCTGAAACTGTTCTTAACCTGAAGCACCACTTTAGCTAATGGGGCCTCCTGCTGCCGCTGCACTGCTGCTGCACGATTTCTGTTCTCATCCTGAAGCAAAGTTCTTAACCCAAGGTACTATTTCTGGGTTAGCGGAGTCTGTAACCTGAAGCGTATGTAACCCGAGGTACCACTGTATAGGGGAAAGGGACAGGGAGGGAAGAAGAAAAGCAAAAGCAAAATTTAGGCACTAGTTTCTAAACAGTTCTTCCTATACTAACCAGCTGGCACAATTCAGGTGCAGAAGGTACCTGATGTTGCTGGACCTCAGCAGAGTGAATGGAATGAGCCTTCCGCTTCCTGTCTCTCCCACTGAGGCAGTCTGATGGAATGGCTGCCTGCAGAGGACAGCTGAAGGGAGAGGAGGCCTCATGGAGCTAGCCTGTCACAGCAGAGCCCATGTCTCATTTTACTCAGCCTTTCTTTCTCTGTCCCTGAGGCTCCACACCTCTGTTGCCATTAGTTCTTGTTCCTCAACCACCCACAGAGTGCTGAGGTTCTTAATTCAAGTTGCTTTGTTGCATAAGATTGCTCGTTAAGGTTGGGGTACTGAAATAGGGTCATGAGAAATCTTTGCATGGGTGTCTGCTACACTGAAGAGTCCCCTTTTGATTAACAATTATTTCTCATCCATTCTAGCCATTGCTCTAGTCTGTCTAGTCTCTCCCTTTGTTGCTCTGTTGTATAGTAGAGTTTCTGTACTGAGGAGGGATTGTGGGAGGGCCTCAGGGATGTTAATGGAAGGATCAGGATGCAAGGTGAAGCAAAGTAAAGAGACAGGAAGTGATTGTTGAGGCAACAATGTTTCCTTCCTGTAAACATTCTAGAACTTCATCTTGCATGTTTTCGGGCAATAAGATCTGCAAGATAGCGATATGAGAGAACAGAAGACACATAAGCATTCATTTTTTCCCTGTTCTTTTTTTATAGGATCAAAGTAACAATGAAATTATGATTGGAGTAATGTCGGGAGGCATACTAATTTATAAGAACAGGGTACGAATTAACACCTTTCCATGGTAAGGATGTGTTTAAGGGAAACATTTTGTTTGCCACACACTTTCTTAAATCTGAATAACTTCATCATAAATTGCTAAGTGTACATCAACTCTAAATTAGACACTCTAAAATGTAGCCTTTGATATGTCCAGTGGTGTCTCTTGTGTGGCAATTAGCTTTTGAAAATATCCCTACAAAGTTTGCCGCATAATTGTAATGTGATGATTGTAATGGAAAATTTAGTGCACTTAATTTTTATTCAGCTAGAATATTTTGGATTATCCTTTATCACACTTCCAGAGTTACGATTCAGTATAGCAGTATAGCAGTACATGCACTGTCTAGAAAAGACATGTGCACATCCAATTTATTATTCAGTGTATTCTGTATAGGATGTAGGGATGACAGTAAAAAGACTGTCCAGATTTAAGACTGTCCAAAGAGATGTGGACAGGGTTCTGTTCATGTAGCAGGGCTTTTCCACCACTTCTTCCTGCTGCTCCCCCAAAAAGATTCACTCCTGAATGGTGGAAATCAGCAGCTCTCTGTCCAAGAGTCACTTGATGTACCTCTGATGTTGAGGAAACCCAGATAACATCTGCTGAGGTGGATCTGTATGTATTAATTTGAAAATCTACATACCGTCTTTCACACTGGCATCAAGACAGTCACAATGTAAGATTAAGTACATTAAAGTTCCATAAAAATATAATAAAACAACAGGCTCCTAACTACTGAACAGAAAAGAATTAGGAACCAGTAAATGCTCAGGGTCTGATTCTTAGGTTTATGTATCCCAGAGGCCACTCCAGAGGCCAACTTTCACAGGTGAAAGAATACTGTTTACCATGCAGTCTTATTTCAAAAGCCCTGAATCTTGCAAAACTTTGTCTTCTTTAATTGATTTTAACTATGGCATTTGAATATTAGACTGAGAATGTTTTGTGTGTGAGCCACAGTGATGTATCTAATTTTATGGTGCTTTCTTACTTACATGCGACAAACTTTTTTTTTTTTTTTTTAAAGTTAGGGGGAAAGTAACATGTATCATGTATTCCCTGCAGAAACTTACTTGCTCAACCAACAGAGGCTGGGAAGCACTTGTCTGAAGTTCTCATTAGCATGCAAAGTTACAGTTACACCCATGCATGGAATCCTATTTAAGACTGCATATGTTTTGCTGATGAAATCATTTGAATGGGGTGAGGTTTATCATGAACAGTGTTTATTTAGCAGCACTGATACGTTTACAGTGTGACAAAAAGCAGAGCCCAGGTACCAAGGAGATTACAATCTAGAATTTGATAAGGAGAAGACCTATGCAGTCAGAGCAGTTGTGCATACTTAAGTTGGTTTTCAAGACCTAAGGGGTTTGTTAAGTCAAAGGTTCACAGAAAAGGGGAATTTGGGGGGAAGATTTGAAAGGAAAGAGAGGCAGCAGCATTTAGGATGGGGGTGGGCAACCTTTTTCTATTGAGGACCACATTCTCACACGGGTAATTATTGGGGGCTGCTTACTGGCAGTGAGTGGAGCTAGAGCAAACAGAAGATGGAGCCAGAGAAAAATGTGTTTCAAAGTAATAAATGCTTCAATTTTCACCTCAGCTTAGAATTTTTGTGGGATATCTCCAGCAAGCATAAGAGAATGTGTGTCTCTCTCTCCTCCTTCCCGTCCCCCCCCCCCCACATGTCCTTTAGATTTTCTCCTAACCTTTCAGATAATATTTCAGGGCAGTGTTAGAGTTGGGCAAAAGTAGTTGAGCTTTCTTTCTTCTTCTTTTTAAGTAAAATTGCCCAAAACAACACTGCCCACATGCATTGCATGCATTCACCCCAAACACTGCTTTCCATAGCAGTATTCTGGGTATGTCCGGATGTATGGCAACCCTAGGCAGTGTGGGAGGATAGCTCAATTAGTAGAACCTGAGACTCTGAATCCCAGAGTTGGGGGTTTGAGCTCCATGTTGGACAAAAGATTCCTGCATTGCAGGGGTTGGACAATATGTCCTGCGTGGTTCCAATGCTTCCAACTGATTCTGTGATTGAAACAAATCATACTAAATATTGTCATAACTTGGTTATTCACAGAGCAGTGTGGGAATATAGCTTCTCCTTGGGAGGTTAGAACAGTCCTTCAGGGTGGATTGGTTTGGCCTACTTATTTTATTTGACGTCCCTGGGAAGTGATACAATCTTACAAGGGAGTCAATATTTGGATAGGTGTGATGCTATCTAAGCTGTCTTGTTGGCCACACATGTAGTAAGAACAACTCTGGATCCCAACAATAATTTGATACTTTGATGTGTTGTCATTCATTAATAGCACAGCAAATGTGCTTAAAATAAGGAATGCATACTACACAGAGACTTGCTTTAATTGAACAACTTGATTCTATAATCATGCCTGCTTGATTGCAGGCACACCACTTTCATCATCCATGCTCATCAGTATCTTATCCTTCCTTGACAACAGCAGCACAATAAATATGTTAAAAGTAATGTCGCAGCAGTAACAACCAATATTGTCATCTTGGTTACAGACAACTCTCCTAACTGTATGTGGAAAGTGCCAATTGTCTTACAGGTGCATCACAATTTCAGTACTGGCCGTGCTTAATCAGTTCCTTGAACCTCTTCCAGAAGTTGCATTCTGATACTCGAGGATTCTTGTATGTGATCTTATCATATGCAAATCTTGTGCAGGAGGAGAAAGATTATTACTCTTGCTTGCATGGCTGAAATCACCCTCATTCTGATAAAAGCCAGACAGGCGCTAGTTTTGCAGCATTTTATTCGATTTTTATGAAACAGATACTCATAAGCTAAGATTGCTATGTTTTACAAAGGATAAGGGAAATATCCTTTGGCCATTTGCTGAGATTAATTACCCATTCCTCCCCAACCAGGCTCTAGTGAGTTTGAACCTCCCTCCACTTCATTCACTTCATCAACTGTAGCAATCATATATTGGGATCATTAATGTTCAAGGAATATCACTTTCTGATTGTTTTGCCTTTCTGGTGGCTGTTTTGGGGAACTTCATAATAAGCAGAACTGATCTTTATCCTCTCCCATGGATCGTAGTGGCATTGGGCAACAAATACGTTTGTCATAACCTGTCCAGATCCCTTTTGGTAGATCCCTTTTGTGCATTTTAAAGAAATATTACAGCATTTTGATTTTTTATTTCACTTAGGTTGAAGATTGTTAAAATTTCTTTTAAGTGCAAGCAGTTTTTTATTCAGCTTAGAAAAGAATTGGTAAGTACTGATATTAACATTTTTATCTGAAGTTGCAAAGTGCTTCACTGTTGTCAGAGGTGGTTTCATGCAAGTTACGTCTTTGGAGCTTCATACATGATAACACTACTTCAGTAGTGTGTTGTTCATTATAGAATTATCTAGTGGCAGATACTACAGTTTAAATGGTCCCTATTTTCTGTCTTGTTTTTTCTTTTGTGTAATTTTTTAAAAAAAACTCTTTTTCCAATAAATATCATTTAAAAAAAAATGGTCCCTATTTTATGAAATAGTATATTAGATATTTTAAAGTTAGAGTTGTAGTCTGACTACAGACTACAAGGTGTGGAGTATAAGAAATTGCAGCAGCTGCTAGGTGTGACCTTGGGCCAGTCACACTTCTCTGAAGTCTCTCAGCCCCACTCACCTCACAGAGTGTTTGTTGTGGGGGAGGAAGGGAAAGGAGAATGTTAGCCGCTTTGAGACTCCTGAAGGGGAGTGATAAAGTGGGATATCAAATCCAAACTCCTCTTCTTCTTCTTTTGCAGACTGAAAATGGGAGGTGCAAATTCTTTTTCTTAAAAGTTCTTCATATAGGGTTGCATGAGTACAGATCCTCACGTGTCTTTGTCTGTGTCTGCATCTGGTGGGTAAAGGGGAAAGGAAGCAGGGATTGAAGGCTGCATTAAGACAGCAATGCTATGATTTGCTTGTCTGCTCACCTCCATCGATTTGCAAGTGCGATTCAGATGCCAATAACAAACAGGTTCCTACCATCATTCTGTGCTATGAGAAAGGCAAAACTCTGGTTCTTAGCTGCCAGTCAAGTAAAACAGCTTCCCACCCCTTCAGTGAGTGGCTTAACAGGTTGCCTTTGGCAAATAAGGTGCAACCATGAAAGAATAAACTACATGATGTAAGAGAGTTAGCAAGCACAAAGAGCACTAGCCAATGCCTAAATTCAGCTTTATTTACTTTTCTGGAGCTGAGCAGGTAGAATATTCTGGGTTAGTGTGCATCAGCCAATCCTGCCTTAGCACTGGGGGTGAGATTGAAGCACAGAGAGTATTGATTCCTTAAGAAACATAGACTGTGCTGCTGCTTTCTACCTTGCAATCCACTTACCACAGAGTCAGTGTGAAAGGGCTGGAGCGAAGTTTGGCAGGACTGCTATAAAGATTGAAAAACTGTAGTGTAGAGCATCGTAATCTCATTGCAACTCTACACATTTTGTCATGCCATAAGTTAATCACAAGATACAGACGGATGGAAATGTTAGGGAGAAGATGCACACACTGTGTGACTACCCAGATAATACAACAAGCTAATTTTATATAGAAAAATGCCAGAATAGATGGGAGAACTCTTGAACGTGGAGCATGGGACACAGAGGAATGCAATCCAGGTTTAGGAGGGAAAGTTGAGACAAGGTGTGGAGTATAAGAAATTGCAAGAGAAGAAAGGCAAAGATGGGGATTGTCCACAAGGATTTAAAGAGAAGGGGTAATGAAGGAACATGGCATGTCCTGGTTGCATATTTTAGGCCTTTTGTCAAACTTGCGGGAAACCCTTTTGTTCATTTGGAAGCCTTTCTGAAGTTCAAAGGAATATCAACAATGGTGGACACGTTTCTCTTAAATGTGGATTTCCTAGCACTACTGATGATCTCCTGTAATGAGTAATTTAAGGAAGAAGGTAAATTCAATAGGTTTGGTCAGCGTCATATATGAACTGAGTATGTGTCCTAGAACACAGGATTTTTATGACAGACATGCAGGTGTTCTATAGCAAATAGACCAATATGAAAAGGCTTTATTTAAGGCAGAGGGTTTGAGAACCACCATGGTAAAGAATATTGTCAGTTGTTTTGTTTTGTTTTAATGACTTGGAGTTGATTTAACAGCCCGGAGAGAGAAGGAATAGATCCCTAATTACAGTGTTCCCTAGATAACTGGAAGGTCCTTTTTTCTAGAATATTTGTATTTGTTTTTTGAAAGAGAACATTTTATAAGAACTGTAGCCTCAACTACATTTCAGAATGCAAGGCTAATTTTATTAAATTTAAATCTTTTTGTCCCAGCATGAATCTAGAGAAACGTTACTAGGATTCAACATGGTGAATTATCGAGCATGTAAAAATTTATGGAAAGCTTGTGTAGAACACCACACTTTTTTCCGGCTAGACAGACCACTGCCCCCTCAGAAGAACTTTTTTGCACACTACTTTACTTTGGGTTCAAAGTACCGGTACTGGTAAGTTTGGGCCATATTATATGTTTTATGTAAAAAGAGGGACGGATATCAGCATATTGTTAAAGAATAACTTACTGATAGATCAGATGAAGTGCCTATTGATTTTTAAACATTTAATACTCCAGATTTTCATGTTGCTCTACAGCCTGCATAGGCGTCTGGTTAAGTTAGCGTTCTTTACACTGCACTGTGCCAATTTTATTTTGGAAATGTGTGTTTTTCACTATAAAACTGTTGTTTGAAGTATATCCCTGCCTCCCATAATTTTTTTAAAGGCTTAAAATGCTAAGTTCTATTAATATTTGGGGGCAGATACAGAAATGCACCAACTCCATACAGATTGAAGCGAACATGTAGAAAGTGTCCCAGATAGCACACCTTTCCTTTTCTAAAGGACAGTCAAACAAATTTCCTGGTGAGAGAAAAGTGAAACCGAGGAAAATAAAATAAAGGAACACAAGGATTGTGAAGAAACAAGAAAAGGACTGGAGAAAACCACAGCATCTTCTATAATGCTATTCTTGCAGGTTCCCTGCTTTCCTTTGGCACAGCATTGAAGAGGAGAGCAGAAGCTTCCACCTCCATTTTAAATTAACCACAGTATAAGAATACATCTCAGCCCTAAACCGTGGCTAATCTTACTAGGATTAGTGAAAGCAAGTCAGCTTCCAAAATTCTGCTTTGAATTTGGCTTGTTTGCATTAAGACTAAATGCAATTTTTTCCTGGGTTTGGATGTTGTAACAAGTTGTAATTAGTCTGAAGCAGATGCAAAAGCCTCAAGGTGATGGGGGAACGGACCGCATGAGCTCAAAGCTCATGACAACTAGCCAGGATGGCTGTGTTCTGCCTTTGAATATTAGTTGCTGGTAATCCCAAGAGCAGGAAGCACTAGTACAACTAATTGCTGCTGTTAAAACAGGATGCTGGACTAGATGGAACTTTGGCCTAATCAAGCACAGTTTTTCTTATCTTTATGTATTCACCAGACAGAAAATCTCTGTTGTTAATCCCTGATTACAGTGTATTACTATTTGACATTTTAAAGACTTGGAGAAATTTTGTGGCCAATGTAGTATCCTTCAGTATCTGATAATAGTGTCAGTTCAGGTGAGAATTGCTTGGCAATTAGTAAAAGTATCCTAGAATATAGAAAGCCCCTGGTTTCATCAGGTCTAGCATGCATTCACTGTTAGTCTAGTAATTTTACTGTTGGACTTGGATGCACCGGTGTGCTCATATTTAGGCAAAATATTTTTCCCCACACTTCCACCACTATTTTCTTGACAATCTCAATATTTTATTTCAGCGGGAGAACAGAAGTCCAGTCTGTACAGTATGGTAAAGAAAAGGCAAATAAGGACAGGGTATTTGCCAGGTAAGCAGTTTCAAGTTATTTGCATCCTTTACTATTGTCTGTGGATTGTTACAGTAGCTTATTTTACCTGTTTTGAATTCTCTTCTTCCCTCAAAATCAGCAAATTACAATAGCTTTGTGCAAAAATTACTGTGCAGATTTTAATGTATGGTGCAACATACTACAAATTAATTCTGTACCAAAGTGAAATACATTAATATGTTTTCATATTGTATCATCATAATACATATTCCCTTAATGCAAATTCCCTTTTTATGCATACTTTGAATATGTAAAGTGTGAAGACAGGCTATGCTTGTTGTAATAGGCCTTCCTTGGTGTCTGTGCGTTCATCGTTATACTGAATCTGTTACAGTGATTGGTCTGAAAATCTGATCAGCTAGGTTTCTGGATCACACAGTGGAACTGTAAACACATGTCTCTACACACATCTGAACCTATTTTCTGTGTTTGGTGGAGTCAGCTCCTTGAGAACAGCAGATGAATGGGAAATTTAGTCTTGTGCTAGGGGGATTTCATGTCTCTGTGGCCGCTAGTATTGTTCTAGCCGAAGGACAGGCCATGGTTAGTTCCATAGAACTAACATGATTTTCAGTTCAATAGAAACAAGAGTGGATAACTTTGGAGTCTTTGGTCCAGCTACAACAGGGAGCAACAACAGGCCGAGGCAGAGCATTGAGAGAGTGAAGGGGTAGTAGAGAGCAAATAAAAGAATGAGAGTTTGTCCTTCAGTTTCAGAGAGATGCAAGGGGGAAGGAAGGGTGAAATGGATCCTCAGCAGGATAAATCCAAGAGTTGGGGAAAGCGGGTTTTCCCAAACAACATCACTGGGCAGAATGCAGAGGTATCGAAACAGGCAGCAGATTGGGAGCTTCCAAAAAGATCTACATTGGCTCCCTGTAGGCGTCCGAGCACATTAAGTGTTTCTGTTGAACTTTAAAGCCCTCAACTGCTTTGGCTCTGTATACCTGAAGGAGCGTCTCCACCCCCACCATTTAGCCTGGTCACTGAGATCTAGCTCCGAGGGTCTTTTGCTGGTTCCCTCACTGCGAAAACTGAAGTTACAGGGAACCAGACAGAGGACCTTCTTAGTAGTGGTGTCCGCCTTGTGGAATTCTCTCCTATCCAATGTCAAGGAAATAAACAACTATTTGAGTTTTAGAAGACATCTGAAGGCAGTCCTGTATTGGGAAAATTTTGATGTTTTATTGTGTTTTTAATATTTTGTTGGGAGCTGCCAAGAGTCAAATGGGCAGCAAATGAATAATTGAATTGAATTAAAGTTGAGCATAGTGTTTGCCTACAAGATTGGAAAACAGACAACCTGGGTGTCTGCTGAAAGAAGTTTCCCAGAAGGAGAAAAGGACTAGAGATGTCAAGGCTACTTCTTGAAAAGGGCAATAGGTGCTTTATGCTGTGTTTTGGTACTAGGTAGAAGATCACAAAAGCACTCAAGGCTCAGGGGGTGGCAAGGTGTTGCCTTGATTGCATTAGGTTTCATTAGGATGCAAGGGAAATTGGCTTTTGCATCTCCAAGCAGCTCATAACCCAGGGCATTTAATGGTTATTTTTTGTTGGGAGCCGCCCAGAGTGGCTGGGGCAACCCAGTCAGATGAGCAGCATATAAATTACTATTATTAGTAATATTATTATATTTTTCCATTTCTGTGGAGGATGGAGGCTAGTTTGGTTAGATTATTTTCATTTTGTTTGACAGACCTTGCCTGCTTAGCAACTGTAAACAGAAAAAGAAGAAGCTGAGGGACAAAATGGAACTGATACAGCAACAAAGGCCCATTTCCCAAACACCAGTCTGTGAACTGCAGGCACTATTAAATGTCATCTTCACACAAACTTTGGGTGCATCTGAAGCATGCCTACTCAACAGTTCGAAGGGAATAATTATTTAACTCCTTAAAAGTGTTTAGGATGGTAAACAGAATGACAGCATGAACTTGCTTCTTCAGTTTTCAAGCATTCTGCTGTTTGTACCTTTGCAACTTTTTGGTGCTTAAGCAAATGTTAGACTGGTGCTTGGAGGTATTGGGCTGAATGGGGCAAAAAAAAAAGTGAATAAAGGAGAAGAAACTGAATCCTTAAGAGATAAAAGTGTTGTGTATCCCAAATTCTCACATCTACAAATTAGGAAGATGCCATATTCTGGACAGGTTGTACTCCCATGGAAGGAGCAGGCCTGCAGTTTGTGAGTGCTCCTGGATTCAGCACTGTCAGTGGAGGCTCAGGTGGCCAGGAGTGCCATTTTGTAGCTTCAGCTGGTCCACCAGCTAAAAGACAGAAATGACTTCACCACCATACTCAATGCTCGGGTAACTTCCAGATTGGATTATTGCAGTGTGCTTTATGTGGGGGTGTCCTTGAAGACAACTCAGAAATTTCCATTGGTACAAAATGCAGTGGCTAGATTACGGGCTGTGGTTCCATTAACATCTCACATAACCCCTGTTTTAGAATAACTGCATTGGTTGCCAATTAATTTCTGGGCCCAAGGTGCTCACATTAGTGATTAAATTCCATTAGTGAAAGACCATCTCCTTCCCTACAGTCCCTCTTGGGTGCTATGAGCAGCAGAAGAGAGCCTCTTGGTAGTTCCACAGCCCTCAGAACCTCAGGTGGTGGTGATGTCCCAGGAGGAAGCATTCTTTGTAGTAGAAGCTGCCCACAGAGATGTGTCTTGCAACATCAATATACAACCTTAGGTACATTCTGAAGACACACCTCTTCACCCTGGCTTTTGATACAGGATGTCAGGGAACTGCCATCAGGTCTGAGACGAGAGGGGGAAGGGCAGTTGTGTTATAGGGAACCTCCGAAGATCTTGCGAAGCAGCTCCTCCTCTGGTGAGGAGGAGGAAAGCCCCACCTCCAGTGGAGATGAGGTGATGGGACCAAGGGATGCTAGGGAGAGCCTCAATGCAGAGGCTGAGGAAGCCAGAGAGGAGGGAAGTACCCCTTTGCCAGCGCCCAGTCTGCGCAGTAGGTTTCGGCGCAAGGAAGGAAGGAGAAGGCTGGGAATCACGCGACTGTTATGCTGGGGGAGGTACAAGGACCGGCCACTCCCAGATTCTGCTAGCGACTGAGCCGGACATGAACTCGCGACTCTCTTCACTGTAAATAGTTTGCACTAATAATAAAGCTTGGAAAAGACAGGTTGGAGTCTTGCCTGTTTGCTCTCGAGCAACCACACCACCACCTGACACATGAGAAGTATGTTTTTAGCATACCTTAACCCTTGGTGAGCAAAGCTACCTCTTATTTGAGTGTACCTCTTCACTAATAGTGCATCACTATCTTAAATCTATTAATCCTCTAAAATACAGTTGAAATTTCAAAGCCAAGACTGGTGTCCTGAGTTGTTTGGAAATTTATTTTGCCCCCTGTACTTGTTAGATAATTTCCCATAACCTAGTTAATGTGCGATGGAATTGAAATTAAAATCTCTGCAATGTTTGGAGTTACCTAAAAGTAAACCATAGAAATGAAGCAGTTAGTATTTTTTTGACATGGGCACTTATTAGAAGAGGAAGCCCTGGGAAGTGTATTGCTGCAATGTGGTGAACGTTTCTTTGAATTGCCACAAAGAACAGGAAGCTTAGGTAACATGCGTAAGTGGGTGGGTCTCCAAGGTTAAAACAGTTAATAATCAAATGTTCAAAATACAGTTTGACAGTTAAATGTTTCTGCTGTGTTGGCTGCTGAGGGGCACTACTACAAATACAACTTTTCACTTGGTAATTAAGGTGAGTGTTTCTAGGAGTTGCAATGTTCCTAGAAAGAGAATTCAAGCTCATTCAACCTACAGAAATCCCTTTTAAATGCAACACGTCTAAAGCCATCAGCATTTGGATGTTAGCATTCTTATAAAGTCTTATTAATCCTTACAGGATTAATTCTTTCCTAGACTACAATAGATAGAGTTGGCAAAGTATTTGCTAAAGTTGTCTACCATACACCTTTTTAATTCTGTTCCCAATCTTTTTTCTTTAAAAGCCTGTGAAAAGTTTATTGTATTTTGCAGTTAGAATCCTGTTATATTTGCAAATTATTTTGTTCATTTTAATCTAGAAATCATCTGGCTAAGTCGCAGAGAAGTCTTGCCTATTTAAATTTCATATAGATGTACCTCTCTCTCTCTCTCTCTCTCTCTCTCTCTCGTCTCTCACACAGTTTGCTGTAGAGATGGTTGTTTGTTTCATTAGTCTGGTTGTGTTTCTCTTTTGATAAGAAAAGTACTTTAATGCAGCTGTTTAGTTTAATGTCAGAAACTATGAACTAGTACACATAGTTGCATAAAACATAGTAGTGTGTAACAAAATCTGATTGTCGTTTTTGAGGAAAAGCAAAAAAAGCAGCCGGGAAAGAGAGCAATACTTAATACTTTTCTGCTTGCTTGTGTTTCACTGTCATACCACTCCCACAAACCCTTCTCCTACATACACACACACACACACACACAGAGAGAGAGAGAGAGAGAGAGAGAGAGAGAGAGAGAGAGATGTTTTCCTACTGGAACCTTAATACCCTCCTTGTGGGCCCTGCTCCAAGTGTCTGTGAAGTGAAGTGGGGCAGGTGGCTGCCAAAGAGAGGGCCTTATTGGTAGTGAACTGGCTATAGAATTTACAGCCCCAAATTTAAAACAATCTTACACTGCTTCAGTGCATGGATGTTTTTTTGCTGCCTTCTATTAATTGTTGTTGGCTTTAATTATTATTGTACACTGTGTTTTTAATTTTTTGCCTACCAAATGTTCATTTGATGGGCAGCTATATAAATCTAATAGCAAAGATAAATAAAGTGGCACATCTGAATTCATAGTGATTCAGTATTGTAGTGAGAAAGACTTTGCCACAGCACAAGCTATGATTTGGTTGTTTATATTCATGAGTTTAGTGTTCTGCATCACGTTTCTTTAGGTGCTCTGAAACCCCTTGCACTATTTGGAAGAAATATTTAAATAACAAGTCAGTGTATCAGCCCCTGTATAGGGGAAAGCTAATGCTGTTTTCTTGTTCGCTTCAATTCCCAATTAATTTCTTCAGAGAACTTCCAGATACATATTGGTAATTTTTGTATTGTTTTAGATCCCCAAGTAAACCTCTGGCTCGCAGATTGATAAGCGGGATGGACTGGGAGGTTGTCAGCAGGAATTCAATGTCTGATGACAGGTTAGAAACTCAAAGTTTACCATCCCGCTCTCCACCTGGAACCCCTAATCAGTAAGTAAAATTGAATAGTCCCTGAGCCACTAGTTACCTCTTATTTTTATTTTATTAAAGAAGGGAAAGTACTTGAGATCCGGATTTTTGGAGTGATGTGTGTTGAACCATAGTTATTTCCATACTAAGCATTTAAAAAGAAATTGTGAGGCAACACAGAGGCAGATTGACCAAAGTGTATGTTATAATAATCACATATAAAGAAAAACAAACAAACCTTAAATTAAGTTATATTGAAGGAAAAGCAGTTGTGAGTTTCAGGATGTGCTCCCAGATTGAGCCCTGCACTGGTTGTACCTTCACCCAGGCACTATTTTCATTGCATCAGAAAAACAGGCCTGGTTCTAAACCATAGTTTATGGCTATTGAATGGCCTGAGTGAGGCTTGAACTAGCATGCCTGTCTCTCCTTCTTCCTCATTGCCACGAGGAAGGGATTGGAAACATTCATTTCCACATCACAGACTATGGTTAGTTTAAGCTTTGTTTCTGATCCTTGCTAATTTCATAAACCGTATATCAAATGCACTGTAATTTGCATTTCGGATGTAACACAAATTGTTACTTGTTTAAATCGGGAGGTGGATTCTTGCTATCTCCTTCTTGTGGCTGTGCTGAAGGAGAGGGATGTGTGACCAGCCATTCACATAGCACAACACTATGGTTTACATCAGTCTGTGTTACTATTGCAGTGAAACCTCTAGCTCTCTACATCTTGAATGTGTGTGTAGGAAATCTAATGTGACCCAAATGAGAGGGAAGTCATGTTTCTGAGTTAAGTGCTGTGTGTGTGTACATATGACTTCTTTTATAAAAAACTAAACCACAGTGGGGACCTTTCCACATAGGTGGAAAGTCAGGTTGTGTCAGAAGAGGCCTTTTGCCTCCATTTATATCTTGATTGCTGGGTTCCTACAGGAAGAGAAGGCAGGTGCTGTATCCAGTGCTAGTCCTGCTCAGAGTAGACCCATTGAAGTTAATTGACCTGAAGGTTTGAGCCAGGTAGCCCCACCCTGTTGCTGTTTCCAGGCAGACGCCTATTTATTTGGAGGCTGCTGTGGGTTTAGAGGCAGCAGATAGCAATAATAGGACCATTGGTGGCTTGAAGGTGAATGCCAACTTTATCCTTGCTCCTGTTCCTGCACCTGGAGAACTGCTGCCTGTTGAGGAGTCAGGAATCTTAGCCAGCTAGCCCTGCCCTGGAGAGCAACTGTAAGAACTTTGCTTTGGCTGTTGCTGTTTCTAAGGAGGAAGCAACTGTGTAAGCAGTTGTTTGTGAAGGGCAGCTGTGTCTATGGGGAGGACGCAAATGCAGCTCATGACTGTAGAAAGTGTGATTCATGGTGTGCCTGGGTTACTCCATATTTCAAATTTTTCCTGGTTTATTTTATTATACTTTTGTATTTGTATTTGCTGTAGTTTTATTGTGTGTTCTTTAGTACTAATCTGTTCAGTGTTTTGGGGGCCTTGACGAAAAAGTGGTATAGAAATAAACTGATGATAACTAACTTGGGTACATGAATTTCAATAGGTCTATTCTATATAGGACTAGCACTGGATTCAACCCAACGATTTTTTATTAGAAGCCTTTATGTTGATATTTGTGAACTTCTTAATAGACAAATATACAAAGTTTTAAAAAACTGTACAGTTATACCTACTACACACTAAAGTTGACTTGTTGGAGCAACAGTGGTAATAGTCAGGATTTGTGATGGTCGCTTATTTGTTGATGCATATTTTTTTCTTTCTTCCATGGAAATCTATAATCGGTGTAATATATTTCTATGGTGCTTTAATTCATGCATTTAGGATTACAGGCAGTGGCTTTGATCCAAACCTGGCCTTCATGGAATGGAAGGATTCTTTCTGTCTACAGAAAGCTTTAGATCCTCTAGTGGGGGGTTATGCTGACAAAATGGGGGGAGCAACTGCTGCCAATTTTTTTCATCCCCTGCAGCCTCCCTCCCAGCCCTTGGGATCAGAATTTTGGAGGACACACAGGGCTGCTGGGGGAATGGGTAAAAATCACCACTTTCCTCATCTCCCTTCTACCAGTGATAATGTCTTCTAAACAAGTTTGATTTGGGGTATGTTCCTGCCAGGGGTACTGTGTCCAAGACAGAAGAAATTAGAGGAATAGATAAGTTTTAGAAGCATTTTTTTAAAAAAGCATAAATCATCTAAGTCTTGACAAGCATACCTGCAATTATTGAACAAAGTGTTCTTTTCCTGATTAGTCGCAACTCTGCATTTACTCAAGAGGGAAACCGTTTACGGCCATCTTCAGTTGGGCATCTAGTAGACCATGTGGTTCATCCTTCGCCAAGTGAGGTTTTTGCAAATCACCGATCTCCTTCTTCCACCCAAGCCAACAGTATCATTCTGGAATCATCACCGTAAGCATAGTTTTTATAATGCTTTATTTTATAGCAGAACAACAAAAAAAAGGTTTTTAAAGGCTACACCTAAAAATAATCTACATTTTGTGTTTTTAATCTATTTTATGTTTTGATGTTAGCTGCCCTGAGCCCGGTCCTGGCTGGGGAGGGCAGGGTATAAATAAATTATTGTTGTTGTTGTTGTTGTTGTTATTTATTAGTTGACAGCCCCATTCTTTAGTGATTGCTTTGCAAATGAAAACTGATGTAGCACAATTGTAGCATTTTTAAGAGAAGCATAATATAAATAAACAACATGTTGACAAAGACTTGGCTACAAATCGGGAGTTGCTTGTTCATATTTCACCTAGGCTGTCAGGTGGCCTTAGGCAAGCAATTCTCTGAGCTGCAGCGCACACACGCCCACCTGCTGCCATTAGTACATATTACACCATTAGTAATATGGGAAGAAGAATACTATTCTGACTTAAACTGGCATGCTGTAAGGATCTCAGTAATGTACATGAAACCTTGTGTTCCTTACACTATATACATGTTAAACATGCAGTGAGTAATACTTATTATTTTTTATAACTATTGTCCATCCTGATTCTTGACAGTATAGTTGGCCATAACCAGTGTCAGTTTGTTAGAAGTTCCTGCATTCAGTTCCTGGCATTTCCAGTGGAAGGGAGTTTAATTCGGCCCTAGTTCACATTAAAAATCATATGCCCTATGTGTACGAATAGTTGTGTGGCCATTCCAAATGATTTTTGTCAATTGAAAGGTATGTGTAGTATCTGTAATTTTTTATTCATGAAAGTGGCAGTAGGAAAAAAAACACATGCATAGCAAGCAATCCAAATGTGTTTTTAAGAATCCTTTTTCTCTCTCTCTGTCAAATATGAAACTATGTTATTTTACACAGCAGTTTATATATATTTAACACAGAGCTTATTAGAGTAGGGGTTTTTCCTTTTTTATTTGATTATGCAAATTGCTGGATGCAGTAATACAGAGGGCTGCTTTGACTGCAAAATAGTCTGCTTTCACATCTATTGTCTAAGCATTCATAAGGAAATTCAAAGCTGACTGGGCAAATATAAAGCAGGCAAGGTTTTGCCCAAAGCTTCATCCCTAGTTCTCACAATTCATTATGGTAACACATTACAGTATATTACACTCACAACCACTGTGTTACTTTACCTAGTTTCAATGGTAGCTTATTACTTCACATAGTCTGTTTATAAACAAATGTATAGTTCCTTTATTGCATTTTTTTAAAAGAAATAACTTTATTGTGACTTTAGTCATGCACATTGTGTTATAACAAAAGTGGGTACTGATCAGGAGTTGGACAGACCACAGATGAAGCTAGGACTTTCTTAGGTAACACTGACTTGTTTTGCGTGAATGAGAACCATTAGTCATTTATCAAATTAATTTTGTATGTTTGTGGATTTCACTGTCCCAATGGTGATTAATGCTGATTTCAAATGTTTGACAGTGATTCAATGACAGCTGCAGTTACTATTAATTTTTATTCAAAATACAAAGTAATAATATAGCAAATCTGTCACATTTGCAAAAGTTCTGTAGAAATTTCCAGTATGGATAAGTACCCAATTAAATTCATGTACTGTAAATTGATTATCCACTTGAATAAGTCACTGACCAGTGCAATTGGGTTTAAGCAACATCAGGTGTTCAAACATGCAATAAATATGGGCTTCCTGCTTCCACATCATGATTGAGGATCTCCTCCTTTCTTGTCTGTAAAATTTGTGCCAACTAGTAAGTGGGAGAGTTGAAATTTTAGAATGAAATCCCTTATATAGGACTGCTCTGTGTTTTTAAGAGGCTCAAAGCAACAAATGATTGAGATCTCCTTTGTTGTCCTTAATTTGTCATCTAAGATTTAATTTGGAGGCCTTGTGAATTAAATACTTAAGGGAGAGGTGCATAACATTCTTTTTGAAATGATCCTATATATTAATAGCAAATTCATTCTCTCAGATGTGAACCTTGCCAAAAGACAACTCTCCTGTCAAAGAGTAATAGCAGGCTTGGGAAAACCCCAACTTTTGCAGAAGTACGAAGAAGAAAAAAAATAAGTCGGGGAACCATAACTGAGGTTGCAAGCCAATGATGTCCAACGCACCAAAATTCCAAAGTCTTTTTAGTGATAGTTTCTCTTTATTTAGCATGCAGTTTGGAGTTTTAATGAGATTTCTTTTCATTTTGTTTGTAGATCTCAAGAGACCGCTGTAGATGGGCAACCACCTGCACTGCCACCTAAACAATCTAAAAAGAATAGTTGGAACCAAATTCATTATTCACTTTCTCAGCAAGAATTGGATAACCATATCAATGAAACATATGATGATGATTCTTCTTCATCGCCTGAAAAATCTACAGTAAGAAGCTACTTTAAATTTGTTTGTCTAGTTTGAGTCAATATTCTTCGTGGAGGGAGGGGGAAAATTAATCAGTATCAGCAGGTCTGATGGAAGTAGATTCAACTAGAGTGAATTAATAACATATAAATAATGGTCCTCAGGTTCTCTACCCCAGTCCATCATGCTCTTGGTGAAATGGAACGTGAGTCCGAAAAACCGCTTTTAATGTAACTCTTATTTCTAATAGAGCTAAAAGTATAGACACAATGGAAAGCAAATCCTGTGTAACATTTTCATGGTGTAGCTCTGGGATGTTTTATAGCATGTATTAATTTGGAATGGTATTTATTTATTTATTTGATCTATTTATTTTCCATCTGAAAAACCTTTAGGCAGTATAATAGTTATGAGATGTCTTTGCAAAATATTTGCATTAATCATATTCCCAAACTGTATCTTTATAGTACACAATATAATTCCCTTATTTGCACATACCACATACCCTTTCAGTGAGCCACGCAACTTTCATTATACTTATGCAAACCAAGATGGTAGGTACTTGGAGCACACTTCCTGGTAATGAATGCACTGCTGGTACTTTGGTCATTTTTGCATCAAACAAGTCAGTAGTAAAACCATTATCTTTCAAGAAAATTCCAACAATGTCTCAAGGAAATTGAAACTTGAAGATATCTTCTTATATGAATACTGGTTTTCAAGTAGATGTGTTTTAGGATTAGCTATAAATTTCTAGTCTGTCTGTCCCCCCTCCCCGGCCCGCTGTAACACCTTTCTTTCTTTTCTTTCAGTCTTAAACAGTTATGTGCTCATTGTTAATAAGAGACATTAACTAGCTATGCAATAGATGATGAATTATGGATCGCTTGGGGTTTCAGTAGTGCCTAAAGAAATTCAGGTATGGAGAATAACGCTATGTTTTCATTTACAGCCCAATGGTGGGATTCCCCATGACAATCTCGTTCTGATCAGAATGAGACCAGATGAAAATGGAAGATTTGGTTTCAATGTAAAGGTATGAAGACCTACCCTTTTAATATATCTTTGAATACAGCTCGAGCTGTACGTTCTTTAATTATTGTCCTTTCCTTTAAAGGGTGGATATGATCAGAAGATGCCTGTCATAGTGTCCAGAGTGGCTCCAGGAACACCTGTAAGTTGTCAGAGAAAGTATGCAGTGATGTCTACTTAGATATATTATTTCAGAGTGCTTTTTATTTACTTTGCTTATCCCCTGGCTGTATGTAGCAATCTAATGTTTGAAACATGCTGCTATCATAAATAGTCTTAGAAAAGGACTCTAATAGAGAATCTCCAGTGCCTTAATATAGAAGAATTCATGATTTGCTGTAGTATATATCTGATCAAAGATAATTTTCCTATCCTTCACTTTTCTCCTACAATATATCATGTAGAGGTTGAAAAATCCTGTTTGTGTGTGTCGTGCTCTTCTTCCCAAAAAGTGTATATTGGCATATTTAAAGCTTAGTTTAAATTGAAAAATGAGATCTTTTAATTTGCAGAGATAATAATTGTTTATAGGATAAAAAAATTGGAAAATTTAACTTTTATCTTACCAATGACAAAATGGTTGCACTGCCAGAATTCGGGTTAAACCAAGGTTCATAAATTATTTATCAGGTCCGAGTCTTTATTTTTTCATATATTCAGACCCTAGTGATTAAATCTTCAGATCAGAACCACCACAGTATCTTGATACTGAGTTCTTCGTTTCTTAAAAACAAGACAGCAAGCCCTATTTGTAATATCCACTGCATTAAACACTTGTTTCATGTTGCAGGCAGATGTTTGTGTTCCTCGTTTGAATGAAGGAGATCAGGTTGTACTGATCAATGGCAGGGATATATCAGAACACACCCATGATCAAGTTGTTATGTTTATTAAAGCTAGCTGTGAGCGGCACTCAGGGGAGCTTGTGCTCCTAGTTCGACCCAATGGTGAGTAATTTTATCAGTGGAAAGCATGCTTGCTTTTTGCTGTTTTACCATGTTCCTTTCACGGCGTTTGTTGTGTCTCCTACTATCCTTATACTGGCTATACATTTTCTACAACTGTGTAAAATACCAGAGAGAGGGTCGTGTTAAATGAAAGTAGTCAAAGCATCTTTTAACAAACATTGTATGACACAAGCTTTTGTGGACTCAAGCCCACTTCATCAGATGCATGAAGAGCAATCTTAGTTAATATGTATGTTAAGAAGAAGATTGTAAGGTGGGCATTGAGTGGTAATGAGATTTTAAAAATGTAGTCAGTGATAAAATACAAAGTTTCCCTGTACTAACAACAAGAATCCAGTAATTATTTCCTCACTTCCACATTCCCTTCCCCAATGCCCTTATCACTCTTGTTAGGTATAAGAGGGGTACACAAGTGACATAGCCTCATATACCATATGGAATTTCATTGGCTGACCTTAAATTCTAGTATTACGAAAGAGGAAGTAATAGTTTTCTGTCTGCTTTCTCTGTGCTGTTCAGGGTGTTATACGTGTCTTGTCATGTATTTTGTTACTCACCTTTTTCCTAAGCTAAGAAAGCCAAACATTTTAGCTTTTCCTCATAGGGAAATTGTTTCAACATCATTGATCAGTTGAGTTCCCTTTTCTGTTTCTTTTCTTACTCAGATAATTAGTTTTTATTTTAATTGGATGGCCAGAACACAAAATTTCAAATTCAAGCACACCATGGATTTAGGATACTAGTGGACTTATTTTCATTCTTTCTTAATTTCTTTCCTTTGCCAATTTATTTCAGTCATCATTTTCTCGTTAGTCACTACTAATTCAGACTCCACCTGTGTATATGAAACTAGTGTTTCTCCTGACCTCCCCCCTTGTTTATCTTTCTACTCTTAACTTACATTGAATCTGATTTGCTATTTTGTTGCCTATTTAACTACTCTGTAGAGATTCTACTGGAGTAACTCCACCTGGGTTTTCAGCAGCACTAATAGCTTGGTGTCATCTTCATACTTGGCTTTCCTGTCTTCAAATCATTTTTCAAGAGGCTAAATAGCACAAGGAACCCCCATTTCCCTCTACAGTGATACTTTGGTTTACGAACTTAATCTGTTCCGGAAGTCCATTCTTAAAATGAAACCATTCTTAAACCGAGGCGTGCTTTCCCTAATGAGGCCTCCCGCTGCCGGTGCCCTTCCACCATTCGGATTCCATTCTTAGACCAAGGTAAAGTTCTCAAACTGGGACACTACTTCCGGTTTTGCAGAGTTCATAAACCAAATCATTCATAAACAGGACTGTTCTTAAACCGAGGTACCACTGTATTGTGAAAATTCCTGAATTTTGCTTGTAGCTCTTCAACCAGTTAGATTCCTAAGAGGAATTGCCCTTGTATCCTATGACATAGTCATTTACTTAGGGCCCTTTGTGAGCAACTTAAAAAAACAACTGTTTGGAGGTCCAAATATATAATGTCTGCCAAAGTCTAATATTTGTTTGATACACGCAGAACATTCTGAAAAGCTTGGTGTAGTAAGAGAAGTCTTTTGTAGTTGTCAGAGGTATTCTCAATTAGCAATCTTAGTTCTGTATGTCTTAATCATGTGAACTCTTAACAATGTTGTCCACCAATTTATGTGGGACAGATTAAACTAATGAACCTGTAATTTCCTGGGTTTCAGATTTCTGGCATAGTTACTGATTTTAGTGAGTAGCATATTTCCCCCATTCAGGTTCTAGAGAACCCTTGAATTTTTGTCACCCACACTCAGAGACAGGTTGGTTTTTAAGTATTCAGTTATCCCCTAGAGTTACCTTGTATCTTAGTTCTTCAGATTCCCTCCCCTACAAAAAAAAATATCATTTGGGTGTGTCTGTCTTAACTTATTCACAGTGAAGAACAGCATAAAGTTCATTTAGCGTCTCTGCAGTCTTTCTGTTCTCTCCATAATAAATCATTTCACACATTGTCATCTAATGGTCTGACTTCCTCTCTTGCTCATTTCCTGCTTCTGATGTATTTATAGAATTTTTTGCTGTAATGTTTTTGTAGCAATATAATCTTCAACATAATATTTTTACTTGTCTTATCAGCTTGAATTATTCTTACCAAAGTTTGTAGTCCTTAATTTTTCTATTGTGGGCAAAACTTTTTAAAGCATGCCTTTTTATATAGTATCTTGGTCTCTGTTTTTTAACTCGTGTTCTAAAACTAGCAGTCCTAGGCCCACTTCTTTGGGGGAATTGGTCTCATTTAACTTAGTGGGACTTACACTAACAAGGAAATGATGAATTGGATCCGACTGTAGGTGTCACAGTTGTAGCTTTCTTACAAGCCTCTCCTGATGGTTAGGAAACCTTGTTTTATGGAATGTGGTGCAAGAAACCGAGGAAAAGCTCATGGAAGCTGCCAAAAATCAGACACTGAGGTGTGTTCTACATTTATGGAAGACGCCTCTGCCTGATTTTCAGGGATTTTCGCTGAACCTTAGAAAAGACTTTTTGGAGGCTGTTTGGAAAGGATGAGGTGGAAAAGTAATCTTTCAGCTACTTCTGTGGGATGGTGCTAAAGCTCCACCTCTGTCTGTTTTTGCATGCAGTCAGTAAACATTTATTATGGAGGTATTTGCACAGGTCACTGTGCAAGTGCAAAATAAGAACCATGTAGCAAAGAAATGGGATAAATAAAAGTTCTTAAGCAGAACAGTTGAAACTGGCATAAAAACCTTATTCATTTTTTTTTTAAATCATACATATTTTTAGTTCACCTTTATTGCATCCTAGTCCCAGAAAATAAATTAAGTAGGTGTTTTGATTTAACTTGCCAAGCTGATGGGCTCTCTATGTTGATTGTTGTATTAGTTTAAATAAAAGACCTTGAAATTGAGAATTTAGCAGACAGCCATGATTTCCTCCTCCGATTTTTTTGCAGATTTATTTTAGTTACAAGCTTTACTAATAAAATATGTTTGTATTCGGCAAATACTGTCTGGTATGTATGTATATAACACATGTTGTTTCCGGGCAAGAAATGAATGCAGGGTGATTGTTAAGTCATAACAGCATGCATTCTAGTAAAAAATAAATAAATGGCCTTTTCCATCCTTAATTAACAATCACACCACTGGATAATAAAATGTAAAGCCAAATGTTTTCCAGGTACAAAGGAGAAGGATACCAGAGTTTTTTAATTGATTTAAATGTGTGGATTGATATTACATAAACAAATTCAATCTAATACATTTTGTATCAATAAACCTCTTGTTAAAATTGTAGCTAGCTTGGGGTTTTAGCTCTCTGGTGCAGGGTATTTTGACAGGAGTTCGTTTCCCATGATGTGATCGCACAGTAGTGGGAGAAGAAAGCAACCACCTAGATCAGTTGCTTGGAATTTTTGCACTCAAGCACACCCCATCATGCAGAAAAGATCCATGCATGCGTGTTTCCTTCATGTGCTCTCCCTGGTCCTGAATGGGGGCAACTGTGCCCCTGAATGACCAGGTGTGCAGCCTTGGAGTCATTTTGGACTCTATGGAGGCACAGGTCAATTCTGTGTCCAGGGCAGCTGTCTACCAGCTCCATCTGGCAAATACTGTCCGGCACTGGCATACTGGTGCATGCTCTGGTTATCTCCTGCTTGGACTACTGCAGTGCATACTACCTGGGGATACCTTTGAAGGTGACTTGGAAACTACAACTAATCCAGAATGCTGCAACTAGACTGGTGACTGGGAGTGGCTGCCAAGACTATATAACACTGGTCCTGAAAGACCTGCATTGGCCCCCAGTATGTTTCTGAGCACAATTCAAAGTGTTGCTGCTGATCTTTAAAGCCCCAAACTGCCTTGGCTCTGTATACCTGAAACAGCATCTCCACTCTCATCATTTAGCCTGGACACTGAGATCTAGCTTTGAGGGTCTTCTGCTGGTTCCCTCACTGTAAGAATGTGAGATTCCAGGGAACTAGGCAGAGGGCTTTCTCGGTAGTGGCGCCCACCCTGTGGAATACCCTCCCATCAGGTGTCAAGGAGATAAACAACTATGTGACTTTTAGAAGACATCTGAAGGCTGCCCTGTATCAGGAATTTTTTTATGTCTGATGTTTTACAATTTTTTGTATGTGCTGTAAGCCACCCAGAGTGACTGGGGAAACCCAACCAGATGGGTGTGGTATGGATAATAAAATTATTATTAATTTATTAATATTAATGTTATTTAATGTAAATTAATGGATGAAGCAGCTGTCCACAGTTTTGCAGAGTTCTCTTCCTCAGTAATTATGCTACGTCTTGTTTATTGCAGCTGTTTATGATGTGGTAGAAGAAAAGCTGGAGAGTGAGCCAGACTTCCAGTACATCCCTGAGAAGTCCCCACTAGATGGTGCCCACCAGGATGATATTGCTCTGAGGGAATCGATGTTTCAACTAGCAGAGGGGCTTATCACGGGAACTGTCCTGGCTCAGTTTGATGTAAGTAATGTATTTCCTGGGGAGTGTGTGCTTCTTGGTTTGCTTTCCAGCTGAAAATCCTTTACTCTTGGGGCTAGGAGATAACCTACAGCTAGATCCACAGTACTTTGATTAGGTCAAGCAGTATAATGGCAAACAGTTTGCATTCCTCCCTTGCCTCTTTTCTTCCTTCCCTCATAAACATTTGTGGGCTCCATTTAAAAATCAGTGTTATTATCTAATATCTGTTTTTCTGAGTGAAGTTGAGCCTTTCTTAATAGCTATAGGCAAACTCCTTCTTTGTGCTTCCTGGTCAGCTATTGCATCTGTTTCCCTTCAGTACCATGGCCCAATAAGAGTATGTGGGGTAAAACGCTCCTCAATTACTATTACATACAGCTTCCATTTCTAAAATGTGTGTAGTGCTAACCATATAACCAGAGCTGTAATCCCAAACGCACTAGATAGCTTTTGGCAGTGATGCTCTCCCTCAGTACTCATGTATAGACTGTTGGCATGGTCAGAGATGGCACTGACCATATGCTTGGAAGGTGCAAATGGAGAGATCTGGTTCAAGTCTTTGCTTTAGACCAGGCTTCCTCAACCTCGGCCCTTCAGATATTTTTGGCCTACAACTCCCATGATCCCTAGCTAGCAGGACCAGTGGTCAGGGATGATGGGAATTGTAGTCTCAAAACATCTGGAGGGCCGAGGATGAGGAAGCCTGCTTTAGACTAACGCTTTTCTTTTTTCTCAGGGACAGCTTTTTGTCAACCTGATGCCCTCCAGAAGTTTTGGAGTACAACTCCTATTAATCCCAGCCAGCATTGCCATATTGTCCAAAAATCTGGAGAGCACCAGATTGGTGAAAGTTCCCATATGGAAATAACTAGTTAATTGACTCTCTTTGTAAACTATACCAGGTTTTCAGTCTAATCTGTTATGAATGAAATATTAAACATTTAGCATTACATAACACACGCCATTACACGATGGATTGAAATATGTACAAATGTAGGTCAAATTTTGGTCTGCCACTCATTTTTCTGTCTAATCTAAAATGTGTGAAAGAACAATAGTTCTTTCAGCAAAGATTACTAGAATTTTGTCAACATCAGTGAGCTTCATTTTCTGTAGATCTATTAAAATAATCGATTTAAGGAAATTACAGTGGTACCTCAGGTTACATACGCTTCAGGTTACAGACTCCGCTAACCCAGAAATAGTACCTTGGGTTAAGAACTTTGCTTCAGGATGAGATCAGAAATTGTGTGGCGGCAGCGCAGCAGCAGCAGGAGGCCCCATTAGCTAAAGTGGTGCTTCAGGTTAAGAACAGTTTCAGGTTAAGAACGGACCTCCGGAACGAATAAAGTACGTAACCAGAGGTACCACTGTAATTTCATTTCAAGTATTCTTTCTTTTTTGCATCAACACATGCATATACCGATTAGGCACTACACTTTAATTTTATAAAGAAACAAAAATGAAAATAGTAGTTGTTGACTTTCGGGTTATTCCTAATTTTGCTGGTGAGTTTTTTTTCTTTTGTCGCTAAGTAAGTAGAGGAAGTGAATTGGGTTTATATTGCTTTTCTCCAGCTGCTGCCATTCTTTTGTTTCAGAAACATAACTGAGTATATAATTCCTTTACCTTCAGAGCATATTGCTCATTTTGATTACTTTAGTAATGCATTTCTCTTCTCCGGTAGCCCTAAGGCATTAAGAGGAATAAACAATATGGTTTATGTTCTGCTTTATGCTGCATAGGGACTCAGCTGTCTCTCATTCAGGCTTCTTCCTATGACTGTATAAACCCACAAAATAGGGTGTTACTTTCAATTTGTGTGTGGAATGGAAGAAAACATCTTTCATGCTTTTTTGAAGAATCTTGTACTGGGTGCTGTCACAGTTCTCATGACTAGGTGGGCTATTATTTGGACGAAATATGCTATTTCTTATATTCTCCTTATATTCTTCTTTCAGCTTAGGGAACCATCACTTTTGTGGTCTCATTTGCATGGCATGATAAAGCAAACCATGGGTTATGGAGACACTGCAAGTGTGTGGCCTCCTGGAGAGGAGCTCACTGCCACTTTGCTGCTGTGCCACATAGAGTTAATCTAGGTTTGACTTAATATGTATTCATTTATTTGGCTCCCCAAAGCGGTTTACAAGCTAATAACATACATAAAGCAGTTATACAAAAACAATTTAAAACATTTATAAATATTTTTTAAAAAACAGTTTAAAACAACAGCAGCACTTACATAAAATCAATTCAAAGCTCAAGACAGCTCTACCAACTGGGATATAGGTTTTAGAAGGTTTGTAAAAAGAGAAACATCTTTAGCAGGAACTTAAAAGACAATAAATATAGCTAAGGGCATAGAATCATAAAATCAGAGAGTTGTAGAGTTGGAAGGGACCCCGAGGAGCATCTAGTCCAACCCCCTGCAATGCAGGAATATGCAGCTGTCTGAAACAGGGATTGAACTTGCAACCTTGGCGTTATCAGCACCATTCTCTAACCAACTGAGCAATCCATCTGTGTGATACACAATGAGAATGAGTTCGAAAAGGTAGGTGCTGCCTCACTAAAGGTCCAATTTCAATATTGTGCAGAATGGACCCCCTGATATGATGCAGGATGCTGTCTCTTGCAGAATACAGTGACTGGGTATGTAGGGGAGCAGGTGGTATTTTCAGTAGCCTGGCCCCTTTGCACACCAGTAGCTAACCGGCAGGGACGTGAGTGACGCTGTGGTCTAAACCACAGAGCCTAGGGCTTGCCGATCAGAAGGTTGGCGGTTCGAATCCCCACAACGGGGTGAGCTCCCATTGTTAGGTCCCAGCTCCTGCCCACCTATCGGTTTGAAAGCACATCAAAGTGCAAGTAGATAAATAGGTACTACTCCAGCAGGAAAGTAAACAGCATTTCCATGCGCTGCTCTGGTTTGCCAGAAGCGGCTTAGACATGCTGGTCACATGACCTGGAAGCTGTCTGTGGACAAACGCCAACTCCTTCGGCCTATAGAGCAAGATGAGCGTGCAACCCCAGAGTCATCAGCAACTGGACCTAACGGTCAGGGGTACCTTTACCTTTACTAGCTAACCGGCAGCCAGTGCAATTCTATCAGGAACGGCATAAAGGATGGCAGTATTACAACCCAGTGATCAGTCAAGCTGCTACATTTTACATTAACTGTAAATCATAGGTCACATAGAGCAGATTGCAGTACTTCAGTGCGGAGGTTACCAGCACATGGATGACAGTGGTCAGCCTATCCCAGTCCAGAAACAGCCATATCTCTTTTACCAATCCAAATTGGTAAAAGGAACTCCTAGCTAGCGAGGTCACTCTAGCAAAGGAGGTGTGTCCACGAGCAGCCCCAGTCTATGAAGCTTTAGGAGAGCATGTCCCCGTCCAGTTGACAAATTATCCTGACTTTGGAACTTCCCAACCACAGTGCCTCTGTTTTGTCAGGACTGAGTGAGTTTATTGTCCTTCATCCAGCACACCACTGAATCTAGGCATCAGGATCGTTAACTATATAAACCAAGAACTGCAGCTTGTAGCTGGTGCAGAGATAGAGTAACCATAACCTTTCGTTCGAAAGACACAGCAAGCCAAACATTGGTGTGGCAGTAAAAAGGACCGAAGAGGAGCAAAGTGGCTGCAAACTCCTCTCCCATTCATACAGTCTCAGTAAGCCACAGTTTGGCCTACTGTGCCATGTGAACTAGGTCTATATATATCTTGTCATTTCAGGTAGGTGACTCCACATTGCCTTTTGCTCATGGCTTTTTCTCTTAAAGCAAGGATTATGCAGTTGCTATACATGCCAGCCTTCAGACATGTTATTTGATGCAAATTTTAGGAGTAAAGTTAGCTTACTGAAAAAAACTGCAAAAGTGTAAAATGCATGCGATGCTTCTCTTTTCCAAGCAGGGAACAATATGTTTGTGATAAACGTGTTTTGTTTTGTTTTTGTACCATGTCTCATGATTACTCAGATTCTGCTTGTTACAACCTGCCATTTTTGTTTCTGTTCAGCAACTTTACAGGAAGAAGCCTGGGATGACAATGTCTTGTGCCAAATTACCTCAAAACATTTCCAAAAATAGATACAGAGACATTTCGCCTTGTAAGTGCTTACATGGATATCAGTTAATGCATTTCATTGGTTACCATTTGGAGAATTTTACATAAGTGTTTGTTTTCTTTTTTTCTCAGATGATGCTACACGGGTTATTTTAAAGAGTAATGATGATTACATCAATGCAAATTATATAAATGTGAGTTGGAGATTACCATTTCTCTTCATGTTAATTCCATGTTTGGATTCAGCAGTGAAACAATTAGGCCTTTGGATTTTAAAGACGAACAAAGATTTATTTTAAAATTTCATTTGATATTGCTTAGATATATTCTAGTTGGTTAATGCAGTTGTAACATAGATGGAGAGAATCCTGCTCATGTAGTTCCTCATGTCTGTTGGAAACAGAAAAGTTAATAATTTTTCTGGGTATTCCTTCCCCAGGTGTTAAAAAGTCCTTGAATGAACTTCCAATTAAAATAGTGGTTAAAGAGGAAAATATCTTGATGTTTGGTCAAACTGTTTTAGAGTAGCAGTTGACAGTTAATTATGCAGTAAAACAAATTTCTAGCTTTCTGTTTATTTCTAAATATATGCTGCAATTTCATAAAGCACTTTAAAGCTGTTTACATTGATTATATCTATACAATACAAACCACATTAAAAAAAACTAAATTCACAGATCATCAGTTGACTATTTACAGAATAGGTTTCCTTAATCGTCATCATAAGCCTTGTGGCATAGAAAAGCTTTCAACAAGCATTTAAAGGTTAAAATAGAAGGCACCTGCTGAAGATTACATATGATTTAGGCAAGAGTACACAAAGTTGTGAAGTTACTAAACACATTCTGCAATTTTATTTTTAGATGGAAATCCCTTCTTCCAGTATAATAAATAAATACATTGCTTGCCAAGGTCCTTTACCAAACACTTGCCCTGATTTTTGGCAGATGATTTGGGAACAAGGCTCATCTATGGTTGTAATGCTAACTACTCAAGTGGAACGGGGAAGAGTAAGTCAGTCTGTAATTTTAACTCTTAAAAGCTTGTAATTCCAATGCAATGCATCAGGAAGAAATTAATGTGGCCCATGTTTTAACCAACCTAACTCACACTTCCTAAACCAATATGTGAACTAAATATTCAAGAGGATTGTCAATCAATTTCAAAGGATAACACTATTCATAGACTAACCTGTACTAGGAACAGCCTAGTGAACTGGAAAGAGAAAAGTTGTATGTGCTGAGAGAGTCCCTGTTTGTTCTTGTGTTGTTAGGGAGTCTACTTTAGCAGTTCTTGTTTAGATAAGATTTTTTTGGGGGGTGGGAATAAATGTAAATATATTTTATTTCTTGCATTTGCATGCTGCATTGCAAAGTACTAAAATAAAGAAATGTTATGAAATAAAAAACAGAGTTTTCTCAGACTAAGTTATGTGGTTCTACTTTTTATAGTAATCATGGAGTATCTATTTCCATGGTCAAAATCGGGTTTAAATATGGTGAATGGAAACAAAGGAAGTATCCTAGCTAAAATCTTTCTTTGACAATTTTTTTTTAAGGGCTGTTATTACTTCCTTAAAACAGTGTACAAGAAATCATCTTGTTGCATGTTTCAGATAACAATGAGAAGTAGCTAAAATTGATCCAAATGCAACTTTTGGAATCTAAGCAGAAACTTTTATTTTTTAAAACAAAAACCTGTTGACAGGTGAAATGCCATCAGTACTGGCCAGAGCCCACCGGAAGCTCCTTGTATGGGAATTTTCAGATCACTTGTCATTCAGAAGAAGGAAATCCTGCCTATGTCTTCAGAGAGATGACAATGTCTCATCTGGAGGTGAGACAGACCATTCACTGGCTATTTATGTAATTTTGTGAAGCCCTTTAAAACTAAAACCATCTCACTGCAAAAAGTTCACTGCAACATTAATCTTTTGATTGTTCTTTTTAGACTCCCTAGAGAAATGGCCACTGTGTCACTATTCCTTGTTACCTTTTGTTGCCGGGTCAAACTTTTGTTACATTCTATTTGATCCAGTGCATTAAGCTTGGGGGTGGGCAGAAATCCATGACACTGTATGCTAATTAGCTATCGTAAATACATTTTAAGATAATGAAATTGGTGCTCTTTTTATGATTTGCAAGGCTGTCATATAAAAACTAAAAAGCTGGCTGGGGTGGATGGGAGTCCAAGTCCAATAACACATGTTGGCTACTGCTGGCTTAAACATTTATCACTGTGAACTGTAACATAAGAAAAATGTAAGTTTTATTCCAATTTTGTTGTTGCTCATGGAGCTAGCACAGCTGCCTTTTGGATCTGTTGATTTTCCGCATACTTATTTGTGTCGAATACAGCAACATATTTTTGTGGCATTTCAAAGACTAACAAATTTACTATGCCATTAGCTTGTTACTAGTTATACACTAGCAGCTCAGGAAAGCACTTCACACATCAGTTGAAGTGGACTCTAGTTCATGAAAACTTATGCCGTAATAAATTTAAGACTTTAAAGGTGCCGTAAGAGACTCTTTGTTGTTTTTCCTGCAGCAGACTTAATATGTCTACCCCTATGGAAATAGATACAAGGCAGAAATTAGGTAAAATGGTAGACTAGTAGTGCTTTTCCTCAGGAGAAAGACTTCTGCCTGATGCATGTGAAACACAAAATCTTGTATGCACTTAGGTCTACATAAAGTGGCTCAATAAAATATGTAAACTTACCTGTTTTGTATCTTTAAAAGGGTGTGGGGAACCGTCCAGGTGCTGTTGGAGTCCACTTCTCAGTCCCAGCCATGATCAATAACAGTCCAAGATTATGGGAATTGTAGTCTGCCCACATCTGAAGGACCACAGGTTCCCCCATACCTGTTTTAAGGATTATCTTACCATTAACCTCAAATCAGCACAGCATATGGCCCATGGGGTCTATTTTCGAAAATCCGCAGGACACTTTTTAATGATCTTGCACTTGGTTTAAATGGCATGAAGCATCCAGATATTTATTTTGTGACACGTGAAAGTAGAAACTTGAAACCGAGATAGGCTGACTTTGACAATTAAACTTGTTACAGGAAAACACTGAAATGATCTATTACATTTGAACAAATTTTGTTTTGCTAGAAAAATGAGGACCGTCAGCTTACTCAAATCCAGTACATAGCATGGCCTGATCATGGGGTTCCTGATGATTCCAGTGACTTCCTGGATTTTGTGTGTCTCATCAGGAAAAAAAGAGCTGGCAGAGAAGAGCCAGTTGTTGTTCACTGCAGGTATTTAGCTTGTAGGGAAAACTCACTGCGCCTCCCCTCTCAAGATTTCAACCAAAAACCTTATTTCATTTTGTAGCCACCTTCATTTTCAAATATAGAGCTGAATTCTTTTTTCTGTTAAATTAAAAGAAACAGTTACTTGCTGTGTTCTTTTGACCTTCTGGTTTTGAATGAAAATAGCTTTACCTAATTGTCTGGAAACATGTTTTCATGCTTCATAAAGCTATGATGTCTTTATGTGCCAGAACTGGATAGAAAACTAATTTAGGAAGCTGTACTAACCATGCATGTGAACTATGAGGCTAAAATAGAAATGGCTAAACGGTCTTAAAGAGGGGTACCTTACTAGTAATGTACAGAATACCGGTAATTGTGCATTGTATTGTTTAATACATGTTGCCAGCAGCATGCATGGCTTCTTTATTCTTCCTTCTGGCCTAATAGCCAGTTCTTAAGTTTCTGTAGCTTTTTAATCTGTACAGCAGCTACAGCAGTTCTGTCCCATGCTGCTGCTGTGCTTCTAAGCTGTTTCTGGTCACCTACAAGTGGTTTTCACTCAGAATAGGTAAATAGGCTAGGGCTCAGTTTCAGGAGCTTCATTAACTAAACATCAGCTGCTGGAGACTGTATACATGGGTTCTCCCATTACACTGTAGGTCAAAATCATAGATACCAGACTAGAATTCTTTCATTCTTGTTTGAAGTTCTAACTGTTGTTTTCATATTCAGCTTCGGATTTTGGCGTCATCACAAGGTCTGAGGTCAAAAACAATATCAGTCATGCCTCATTACAAAAATGAAATTTATTGAAATGTATCAATGCCACATTGTCTGGTCCATATTCTTTTGCTCCCCTTCCTATGTGTATGTGGATTGGCTTTGATTATTGTTGATAAATCAGTAATAACTGACTGCCATCTAGTTGAGACCTGGCACATAAAACCTCATGGGTGGGATCTACCTAATGAGCCATCAGCGGAATGCAATGGCCCCCTGAAATTGGCTCTAGGGTTATTCAGTGAACTCCCAGAACAGCACACACAAGGGGGAGCTGAATGATTGCACAGGCAGAACATTCATTCCAGTGCAATGCTGAATTCCATCTAGTATTCCAAAAGATCTATTCTCTGGCTGAGCTCTGGAGTGGAAATGGGTACAGTCAAACCACTGTTCCTGAACACTTCGGTTATCATACGTTTCAGCTCCTGAACGCCGAAAACCCGGGAGGAAGTAAATGCTCCGGTTTTCAAATGATTTTCAGAAGCCAAACATCCGATGTGGCTTCTGCTTGAGTGCAAGAAGCTCTTGCAACCAATCGGAAGTCACACCTCGGTTGTCGAACATTTTGGAAGTCCAACAGAATGGATTACATTTGGCAATCAAGGTTTGACTGTATCTGGTCTGATAATCCTGGGAATTATGCCCTATTTTTCTCTTTATCCAGTCTTCAGTGTTTGCTACCACAAAAGAAGAAAGTTACATAGAATTCTAAGAGACAAACTAAGCACCAAAGGATAATTATGGATGCAGGAGCGCGCCAGAGTTCAGGAAGACCTTGTTACTCAAACCATGTTGGATGGAGCCAGAAAGAGCAGCTCCTGGCTATTCCTTGAATATTAAGAGATCTTGAATATATACAGTTACTCTGTACATTCTAAACATGTTGATGGATCACATGGGTTCTAGTAAGCATAACACCCAAATAAACTACATAAGTCTGAAGTTAGCATACCTTCACTCTAAAGCACTGCCTTTGAAGGGTTTCCTAACAAGTTCAAACCTAGCTGTTTGCCTATTTGTGTGGTGTGGCTGCTTCCCAAAGAACAATAGTTATAAGTACATATATATTATTTCTTATTAAATCTACTATCTTTGTTATGGAAAAAATGTGTTCGTTCAGTGGAAAATGCTGCTGCTGTATATGTCAGCTAACTCAGAAAAGTTTGACTTAGGCCACTTAATTATATATATCTCCTAAGTGCTTTAAAATATTAAATGTGATAAGAAGTAGTCCTTTTTATTTTCCAGTGCCGGGATTGGACGAACAGGAGTTCTTATCACTATGGAAACAGCTATGTGTCTCATTGAATGCAATCAGCCTGTTTTTCCCTTGGATATTGTGAGAACTATGAGAGATCAAAGGGCCATGATGATCCAAACTCCTGTAAGTTATTGATACATTAGAACAAACTGCTTCCAGTATCACAGATGCCTAACAATGACTTTTAAATAGGTGACACTTAACTGAATTTTAAAGAGAGAACCAATTTAAATTTTTAAATAAGTATTGATTTGTATGTACCATATTTTTTGCCCTATAGGACACACTTTTCCCCCTCCAAAAATGAAGGGGAAATGTGTGTGCGTCCTATGGGGCAAATGCAGGCTTTCGCTGAAGCCTGGCGAGCGAGAGGCGTTGGTGCGCACTGACCCCTCTCGCTTTCCAGGTTTCAGGAAGCTATCCGCAAGCCTTGCGAGCCCGGCGGCAGTTCCCGCAAGACTTGCGGATAGCAGCCTGTTCTGGGGGCTGGGGGGGGGGAATAATTTTTTTTATTCATTTCCCCCCCCCCCAAAAAAAAAACCACCGAGGTGCGTCCTATGGGCGAAAAATACGGTAACTTGCAGCATCTGCTTTGTCAAACAGATGTTGTTTGTTGCTGGTAGTGGTAGACAGTTATGAGAGAAACAGATACAAAACTTTTAGCCATACATATAGCCCCCTTGCATGAGGGAGCAAACAAACCAGGAACTCTTCCATTAATTATAGTTTCTAATGTCATGCATGCTGGGAAGCCGTGGTTAAAGCCATAGTCTGAAGTTGGCCTAATATCCTGGCATTTTCTGATGCCTATATACCATAGTTTTTTCCCATTTTCTCCAAAATGAGAAATTATAGTTAATGTAAGACTTTATTGATTGCTCATTCATTTGCGTTATAAGAGGAGCAAAGGGGCTATGCATGGAGCTAAAACATTCACTTGTATTGGCTTATGCTAGCCTGACCCCAGCCGTTGTGTCTGGTGTCCAACACCTGCTTTCCCCTCCTTCTGTCAAACAACAAAGGAAATGATTAGCAAGGTCAGAGCTGATGCTATTCATCTTCTGTGCACACAGTACAGGAACACCATCTGTGGACTCCAGATGTTTCCTCCCCTCTTCATAGCACACTTCCATGCATGGAGTAGGAAAAATGTACTTGCAAGAATGTTTCTGCTTACATATATCTTTTTCTGGATCAAGGTGCACATATTTGATGCAGAACAAGCAGTTAACCATACGCGAGTTTATTTAGAGATCATGAAATGAAGTGAAGGTTTGCTTTTAAGTTCAAGAAGGAAATTAAAACACACATAGGAAAAGTGATTTAGTGTTCTGTTATCGCCATCCTAAAACTGAAATCTGAATCTTTCCGTTTCCCCTGTAAATGTTCATACTTCTGCATGTTATCCACAAGGTGGCATTGTCCTAGGTTTCATGTTTTAAATGTGAATTTAGATTCACCCTATATATTAGAAATTATGTAGCTACTGTCTTGTGCGAACACAAATTTCTTTTTAGACCTTTGTTTCTCTAGATGCACTAAAAACCTGCTAATAAAAACCTGAAAAAGTAGCCTATGGATATTATAGAATATAGGATGTTATAGAACCTAGAATTCGTATTTATTCTAATGATCAGAGTGAGCAACTTGAACAATATTTAAAGAATGTGTCAATGGGAGAAAATCTCAAGGCTGCTACTTAAATATAAATTTCACATTCATTCTTTGTTTTTTCTTTTTAATTTGCAGCCCTTGAAATGTAAGTTTATATATTTGTATATGAAAACTTTTAAACTGTTGTATCAAACAGTGTCACTCAAGTACTGAAGACTTCCATCAGCAAAATGGAGAGGGAAACAGTTTTTAATGAATCCCCTTAGCCCCTTAGCCCCCCTAAGGTTTTCCAGAGCAGATTTAGGAGGGGTGAGAGGAGAATAAGGGAGATTTTTAACAATTGTTTGCTGATGGATGCTTTACCATCAGTTGTTCCACAGGGTTGGAGTCGGAGAAAAGCACAGAGGAAAGCTATTCCCCCCCCCATCTTACCCCCCGAAGCCTCTCCTGCAGCATGCTGGTCACTGGATCCATCCTGTAGTATTTTCAGCACAAAATTCTTCAAGTCTTTTAAGTTTATCCTGATAGTTCATTGTTAGTTTCCCCAGTTTGTTTTTCTGTGACTTATAAATTATTGCACTGTTCTTTCTAGAGTCAATACAGATTCGTTTGTGAGGCTATTTTGAAAGTGTATGAAGAAGAACTTGTTAGACCTTTAACGACTTCGCTGCATTAATAGAAAACAAAAGATACCTTTCAGAAGAATCCATACAAGACACTGGTGTGCCATAACATTACTTGCAAGAAATGGTGTCTGAAAACAATGAAGAAATGAAAAGGACATGGAAAAAACTTCAGCACTATTGCACTTTATGTTGAAACTGAAAATTGGTCTCTAAAACACTATGATTTTTCTGTGTTGGAAGACTCTTTCTTCATGCTTTGCTTCGAACAAACCAGACTTAAGGAACTCCGTGACTTGCCACACATCATTGTAGTGCCATACAGTCCCTTTTTATTTGAACTGCTACAAAAAAAAAAGGCTTGGAACACTTTTCACTCTTTGGTTGACACCTATGTCTTTTTAAAGCAAAACAATACACACAAAGCCATTTCTTCCAATGCTAAATTTTGCTGTGTTAAGATCCTTGCTGTTTTGTTTTGTTTTTTATTTTGGTGAAACATTAGCAATATTACTACTACTAGACACACTGCCTACTGAAGCAGCACATTTTGCCCAGTACCGTTCTAAGGATCTAACCTGATTGATAGTGGAAAGCTACATTTTCGTCTAACTCGGCAGTAGCTGCATAAAGGCCCATTTAACCAGCATCTTATTTAGGGTGGGATAGGAGGGGCATTTATTTTTGACCTGGTAGCTCTGTTTCTCAGCATGTCACAACATTGGTGTGTTTTGTAACATCTGACGACATTACCTAATGGGAATGAATGCATGTGTTTTGTCTTAACCCCTTAAGTGCCTTGAGACAGTGTATGTCTTTAATGACAAGGCACTTGTATTGGCCCTAAAGGGGGAAGTATCATCATTGTAACATTTACTTTAGCAGGTTCACACTTTAAAGCATGGCCCTTGGTGCTTAGAATATGGTACTTAGAATACGATAGGGGGTCACAGAAATACCATTCCTTCTCTTTCTACAAGTACCTGCATGCTACTATGGGTAGCAAGAGCACCCCAGCCTATTAAATAAGTAATAATTGTTTACTGCTATGAAATGAAGTAGGAAATCTGACACATTCCTTTCAACTGGTAAAATATTTGCAACATCAAATGTAAAGCCAGTAGATAGTTTTAGAATTTCTTTCTTTTAGCCTTCCACTGAGAAAAAAAAAAGCTTTGTAATTGAGTACGCTATACCTTTTTGATAGTTCTGATAACTGTTTTAAAACTTCAAGGTAAGCTTTCCCCATGACCTGCTTGCCAGTTACATTTCCTGAGTCCACATTTGTGCTTTCTTGAGTCATGTTTGTGCTATACTGTGTTATGACAAGACAAAAGGGGAGGAAGGTGCATAAAATGCCATCAGCTTGTTCCCAAAACATTTATGCTTTCCATATGTTCTTTGGGATCTCTGTGTACTTTTGTGCTTTTTTATTTGTGTGCCTCTTTTTTTGAGGTCATTAGCATGTATGCAATTGGAGGCACTTAATTGATACAGAATCTGAACTCATTCTAGGGTCATGTAAAGGTTTTTGTCTCCTTTTTATGAAAGAAGATGATCTGAGACAGCTTATTGCACAATATGCATTTAGGATTCAGTTGTTTCTTTATGAAAACCTACACTGCCCTGTATTAAAAAGGTTTGAATAATTACTGATTTTTTTAAAAAGCAGAATATGCAGACTATAGATGACAATATGAGGTTTGTCTTTTCTTTAAAAAAAAAACACACATTTATTCTCCTCTATATGTATTGGAAGGGGCTGCAAATCTGCTGTATAAAGTTTGTACCCAATGCCCTGAAATTGGTGGTGCAAAGTTGTAGCAGCTCTTCATCATGATACCAAATGAAAGAGAAACTTTATTTTTTTTCCAAAAAAACAAAACCTCATCTGCTGGCCTGTTTGTTTATTTTTAAAGCAAATCCAGTAGTCTCCATTTCTGGTTTTGAAATTATTGCATTATTATCCTTTTAATATAACTTCTTGAGTCAGTGTAGAAATGAATGCTAGTGTCAATTCCTTTCACCCAAACTGTAGTTTCAGTAGGATGAGGTGTAATGGGCTTCTTAAAAAACACACACACCCCTCAGTCCCTAACTGAGCATTTGTCCAGGGTGTAGGAATACACTTTTGTCTGCTCTCACAAATTGGAATGAGTGCTTGATAAACTGCTACTTTTGACAGCTCTGAAATTGAAGCGGGATAGTGGATTCAAATGTTCTACATCAATTGATAATTGAAGGACCCAGTAGCTTTTAATAGTTTGTTTCTGTTCAACACAAAATGAAAGGCTGAAATGCATTTTTAAACTATGTTTCAGACAGTTTCAGATTACCCAGCACAATGTGAGTAACTGCTAACAATATTGCATTGCACTCTAAACCATCCTTAGATGTTAGTGCAAGCAATGTAAAGTCCTTTTTATAGAAAGCCTCCAGTAGTTCTAACAACCAGTCAGGTGGCAAATAAGAATATAAATAATGCTATATACTGCATATTCATATTCTATTTTGAACCGCTTACTTCAAAAATGGTTTAATACCTAGAGAAGCCTTTCCTGCTTTTAATTTGGAAATTGTTCTGTGCCATAGTGTTGGTTATTTGCAGGACTAATTTAAGCATTTGTAACACATTAAAGTAAATACTAAATTACTGCATCCATTCTAGTGAAACATGTGTTACTATTGCCAATGTATGTTACTGTTGCCAACATATAAATGAAAACAGCATTGCCCATTTTATAAACATACAAGGGAAATTACTAGAGAGTTGTATATCATTGATATTTTAAATACGCTGATTTTCTTATGTGAGGTTGCCAAAGCAATTTGAATCCATGAGAAACATTTATACCACAATGTATAGTTTTGTTGGCATATATTTTTGGTACTTAGGATGTTGATCTGACATATAGGCAAAAACATTAGCTGCCTTCAGGCCTCCATCTCCCCTGATATAAGCTGATTTAGGGCTTGCTGGTTAGTGGCAATGAAGAAATATGGAAAGAGATTAGTTTGGTAGGGTAAGCAGCAGATCAACAAGCCACAGGAATTTCCCTCAGATGCACACATAGTAAAGAAAGGATAACAAAGCATTATCATGCCATAAAAGTGGATCTTCACAACATGCATCTTCCCATAGTGGTATAAATAGCCTTTTACAAGTATTTTTATATGGCCTAAAAGTTAATACTGTTGATTGCTTTGCATTGGGTTATGAAGATCTGTATCAAGCTAAAAAGAAAAGGGAAAAAATATTTTTTGTATGTTTTTCATTCTGTACAAAACATGAATGTATGTTTCAGGAATAATGACATATAAAATGATGGGTGTTATGGATGTTGGATTTTATGACTAATTATTTTCTTACTATTTGCTAAAAAAAGATGGGTGAGAAAAGAATCATATGTAACACTTCCTGTTGTTGTCGTTGTTGTTGTTGTTTTAATTCAGGTTGTTTTAATTGTAAATAAGAGCCATAGAGAAATGGTTTAGTGCCAATGTATGTTTCCGATGTATGTTTTTTGTGTTTTTGTTTTTTATCTTAAGGACTGAAAACTATGATTATTTAAAGTACTTTTGAAGGTTTCTAATGCAGAAATCTAGGACTCTTGAGAGACTTCTTAAAATTGCTTTTTTGCCTTTTTAGGTGTGTGGCTTTTGGGGTGGTAGAGGTTTACCTTGGAGAAAGTTAAATATTAAGTACCCTCAGTGTCAGTCATTCTTTGAGCAGCATGGCTTTAAGTGTGCCAGCTAATCATGCCACTTAGAGCCTAGTCCCTCCAAATCATTGGAGTAGACATCCACTTCCAGTGCTGCAGTAATGTCCCTATGTTAACATAAGAACAGGATTCCTGGTCGTCCCTTAGTGGTTTTCCTATACCCAAACATGCATCATTTGAAACCAAGATCAGCATAAGGCCACAAATTAAGTCTAAAATATAAGACATCTTCACTGATGTAATAAAGCCTATCATATTAATACACTGTAATCCAGCCTATTAACATACTAGAGAAGTAATATCTTACAGGGTAGCAGTATCCCACAGCTCCCAATTTAGAAATGCTGTCCTATCACAGAAAGCACAAAATGCAAGTGCAGAGAGCTGGGGAGAGGTTTTTGATGGAAGTAGTATGGCTTGCACCTTGCCACAAGCGATGTGCAGATTTAGGTTTGTTGCATCTGTGGAAGGTTGAAAAGCAGCAGAAATGCTTCAGTTGCAGCTGTGCATGAAGGCCCAGAAGAAGGAAATGTCGTATTGTAGAATCTCAGCAGTTTTTTCCATCTGGTGGAGCAGAACTCTATTGTTTTTTTTGGGAAGGGGCTGCTTGATAGGGGGCAGAGTGTAACTAAGAATAGGCAGTGTGTGGTTGGCAATGGATGGTTACCCAAGCTCCTGAAAGTCTTAGGAGTTCTTGCCATATACTGTATCTTGCAGGTGCTGTTCCTCAGTCTTTGACTTGGCTGTTGGAAAGCAGTGGAGACACCTGGTACTACCTGCACTTTTTAAATTTCTGGCCTTAAACTTGCCTTTATAGTTAGATTCACAGATCACTTAGATCAGCATATGCTGTGCAAGAGAAAGTTCAGCATATTATGCAGTCTCTCCTATTTTTACGTCCCAACACGTAACAAAATACAGACTGAATCCATGGCATTGTAAATATTCATGCGCAGAGAGAGGGGGAGAGAAGCAGCCCGAGAAAGCAGCTTGGGATGTGCAGGGGAATTGCTCATTGCCCTGGTTATTAAAATAAGCCTCCGGATGTTATCCACAAGGCTCTTGGGGTGTTGAAATGAAGTTGTATGTTGACCAGAGGGTTCAATGAATTGTGTCTCCTTCCCTTTTTGCAGTGCAACCGTAAGCAGTTGATATTCTTCACTGCAGTCCTTGTTGGGCTGAGAAGCTGATTAGGGTGGGGGAGAAAGCTTCAACCAAGTGAAGTGACAGATGCCTTATATGAATACAGTGGCTTGGATCCAAAGGCATTCTTGTGCAAGTGGAAAGCACTTGACCACAATTTCTGCTGATTTTCCTCCTCCTCCTACAGACCCTGTACCACATCACTTGCCATGCTAGAAGGTCCCTTGACCCTCAGGAGTATAATTTGGAGGCTTTAGTGAAGAGGAATGGTGGGAAAGCCCATATCTTTGGATGCAAGCTGATAATTAAAAGTCTTGTAACTTACGATCTGGGAATAATCTTAAATTATGTGTCCAAGATTTCCTGCAGATATCCCTTGGGTCTCTTGTAGTAGCTTGTGTGTATGTGTGTGCATGCATGCTCTTCCTAATTTTAATACCCAGCTGCCATGTAGAAACAAACACAAGCCTTTGTTTCCATCATTATGCAACACTAACTTTCAGTTTGCGCTATTACCACTTGCAATGGAGGAAAGGAATTTTGGGTACAGATGTTAAATTGTAACCAACAAGTTCATTGTATAACAAAGCAGTATACTGATTTGTTAAAACTGCAGAGCCAAGTATGGCAATACTGGAAGTGACGTATAGGAAAATCAATATGTTCGCTTTGATTTAGTCTATGCCGCCAAATTAGAAGAAATACAAACCAAAGTTAAAATGGTTGCTTCTCAGTCTTCGGAATGGTATAGTAAAAAGATTAGGAGAAAGTCTTCTTTGCCTATCCAGAACTTTGAATGCTTAACTTTAACAACCCATAGGCTTTCACATCAGTTGCAATCTGAGTTTTTAAGAAAGTTTAGAAAGTATTTGCTTTCAATCATTGGAGGGCAAGTGGTGAAATTGTATTGCCTTTAAACCAGAGGTGACTAATCTGTTGCCCTCCAAGATGATGTTGGGACTCTTAACTCCCAACAGCCTTGGCCAGTGTGGCCAGTTGTCAGAAATGATGAGTGTTGTAATTCAGCAACATGCGGAGGGGAACAGGTTAGCCGCCCCTGCCTCAAACCAAATGTTCTGGCCTTTGAGAGATTTGAAGACCACTATGTTAACACTTTGGAAACGGCTCTTTGGAAACAATGTTAATACTATGGAAATGAAGAGACCTTGACGGACATTATTTGGTGGAATTACTTGATATTTAACACATTTTAAAATATTTACTTTTTGCCTAAATTTCTTGAATTTCAAATAGTAGCACTTTATCTAATGCTTTACTACTGACAGAGGTTTTGGAGAAAATAAAATTTGCTACCAGGTTGGAGAGAGAGATACTTAATTGTTTCCTGTTCAGAGTTGATTGGGATTGTTCCTCGTGTGAATTGTTTTATCAGTGCGCTACGCTTCTGACTTGTTTTCATCTGTTTTAAAATGAATTCTAGTAAGCTAAACACTGTCTACACTACCACACAGCATACGGACCTTAAATATCAAGGCCTGAGTACCATTCTGTAGTTCTCGTACAGCATCCTGTTTTGTGGTATTATAGCAGTGCAACTGTTGATAAACATATTTCTGGTTTAGGTTTTAAAACCGTAATCATCATAATAATGATACTAAAAGTAACCCCCACAATGTAGCTGCTTACAAGTTCTGATTGTTTTTTCTCGGTGGATTTCATTTAATTTAGTAGTTTACTGTGCCTAGGGACTCCTGGGTTGGGCAGAGAGTTTTTCTATGTGCTGCTTCTTGGCTCCATCCTTGTTGCTTCCAGACTTTAAAGACCTTTGGGAGTAACCTCTGAGGAAGAATAGGGAGTTGTGGTTAGGGGAAACATCAGTGCTTACTTGGAAGTACTTCTGTGTATCCAGGGAGCTCTCCGAATCCTGGCTTATATATTTATAGCTGCTTAGCATTACTAATATTTACATAAAACTCTGGAAATTGGGGGTTGGAGGTGGGTATTTAAGTTGTAAATTATAAAGAATAGATAATGCACAAAAATAGTTTTTAAAGGGAAAAAGTTGCAATTCCTTATACACAAAGGCTATAATATGGTTGGAGCAATTAAAACAATTGGCACTAAGTTCTTTTGTATTCCTCTATAGGAGTATGTCCACAAACTTCCCGGTGCAATTTGAAGGGGCTGGGCTTCAAATTTAACATGAATTTATATGGCTCTGATCGTCCTAGCAAATACTAAAAAAAAAGAAAAAAGTGATTTGTCTACTTTCCCCACCCCTTTCCTGTCACAGGTGCTATAGTATATGTGTAAATGTAAACCTAATACTGTGTCTTGATCATAATCCACAATCCTTTTGGGTGCCCAAATTCATTTATGTTTGTTGCTAGTGGTAATGAATTTGCATCCCCCCCCCCCCCGGTGACGTTGCATTGTCCAATTCAGTTGGGTGTTGCACTGCCCAGTGAGCTGGCTTTCAGCATCTCAGTAGGTCATCTCTAATATAATTGTGCATCTTCTGTTTACTACACAAGTTTATCTGATATAAATAGATTTCTCTTTTGAATTTATGTGTTTATTTTATTTTTAAGGGGGAAAAAACACTATTTAGCTAAGAACCTCTATGCTAAGCAGCAGGAAATGTGCTCCGTTGAAAATGACATGCACTTGAATTTGGTCAACACTGGACAATGAAAAGAATTCAGCATTCATCACTGCAGCTACTGTATGCTTTAAAAGGGCCTTATGTATCTTGCCTGCATTGGGGTAAAATGAGAGTTCTTGCCATTAATAAAGTACACTAATGTTCTACATACTATACCAGCAGCTCCCCAGAAATAAGAGAAATATAACATTTAACAAATCTTGTTTTTAGTCTTAAGAGCAACTTCATTATGTGAAATATATGCTGTTATACATATTTTGTGGATATATTTAATTTTGATTGACAAATAGTTGTCTAGGTACAAACTTGAAGAAAAAAACATAGTTTACTTGTGGATCTTAATTGTTTAATTGCAAAATAAAGATGTGCTTTAGTAATTTAAAGTCTGGAGATTTTTTTTTTATTACTGAAAGTTGCTAGATATTCTGCAGCAGTACTGATAATTATCAATGGGTTTTTTGATCTTGGTCTTTGGACAGATTTTTTTTTTGCATGCAAACAGTGAGGGAATTGCTGCTTCATTTGGTTGTAAACTTACAGTATATGGAAATTCAGTGGTACTTAAGCATTGTTGATCCCATTGTGAACATGCTGCCCTTACCAGAGTTAATACTAAAGGTGATCTAACCTTGGGGCTATTTTGTGTGCGCACACACACACCTCAGTAGTGATAGAAGAGTCTCCTGTATAACATGCTACTGCTGACCACTTTGCTGTTTGATCATGCACATTTATCCTAATAAGGAATAGTAATACTAGTTTGGCATATCACAGATAAAGACAGAATTAGGTTGAAAATAGTGAAAAGCCAAGGCTATGTTAACAATGAGTTTTGGAAACTTAATGTGTTTGTTTGCTTGCTTGTTTGCATTTATTTTCCATCCCCAAGCTCAAGGTGGCATACGTCCCTCCCTCTCATTTAATCCCCACAACAACTCTGTGAGGTAGGTTAGGCTGAGAGGCAGTGACTGGCCAAGGTCACCCAGTGAGCTTCATGGCTGAGTGGGAATTCGAACACTAACCACTTTACTATACTATACTAGCATTAACTATAGAGAAATAGCAGAAGACCACAGCAGGGTTAAATTCCTTTCCTCCCATGCCGTGTTTCTATTCATGTTTGATGATGAGGGCATACTGGCTACTATAATTAAAAATCAGCTAGACAAGGCCAAACAATGTGACAAATCAGTTTCTCTACCTTGGTGTTCCATATGCCTTCTACAAATCACAGGTTTCTGCTTCTTCAGGATAGCTGGGGAAATATTTTAGCAGGGGATGGAAGACTACAATTCTCCATTGCCTTACTTGGTGAATCGTGTAATTTGCCAATTATTTTTATCTTAATATTTCAAGAAAAAAATCTCACATCTCTTACCCTATTTTATATACAGTGGTACCTCGAGTTAAGTACTTAATTCGTTCCGGAGGTCCGTTCTTAACCTGAAACTGTTCTTAACCTGAAGCACCACTTTAGCTAATGGGACCTCCTGCTGCTGCCGTGCCGCCAGAACACAATTTCTGTTCTCATCCTGAAGCAAAGTTCTTAACCCGAGGTACTATTTCTGGGTTAGTGGAGTCTGTAACCTGAAGCATATGTAACCTGAAGCGTATGTAACCCGAGGTACCACTGTATATATATTTTGCCACATCTTAATTCTGTATCCCTTCTCAATAGAAATAGGTTCCGTGCAATCTAGTCCTGAAATTGTTTCAAACAGTTCTTCCATGTATTCTGGTAAATTGGTATAATCAGCCTTTTAATACCTTATCTTTACCCCTATATTTCTCTTTTGTCATCCAGTTCTTCAATTACTTCTTGTGTTTTATCTTTTTTCCTTCATTTCTTCCTACAAGTCTTCAGACTGACACTTTCACCTTAGTTACATGTTGATCAAATACTTTAAAAATATTCTTTCATTGTGTTTACAATGTGTAGAACTAGTGCAGATTTGACCTTGATCTCACAATGCCCAGCCAGATGCCCACAGAAACCTGCAAGCCGGACATAAGTGCAACAGCCCACTGTGATTTCCAACAATTGGTATTCACAGGTACAATGCCTCTGACAATGGAAGCAGAACACAGTCATCTACTTGCTACTGATAGTGTTGTTTTCCACGAATTTGTCTAATCCACTTTTAAGGCCAAGTTGGTAGCTATTACTGCCTCGTATGGGAGCAAGTTTCATATTTTTAACTATGCAACTGATTCAGCTCCATTCAGATGTCCACTAGTTCTAGTGTTAGGGAGAGGAGAAAAACTTCTCTTTATCCAATTTCTCCATGTTGTGCATAATTTTATAAACTTCTATCATGTCACTTCTTTATTCCCACTGCAATCCTAACACTGCAGGGGAAGGCTGGTGCATAGCCAAGGTAGGCAGGTGTCTGTTCAGAGATGTAAAAGATTTTGCGATGCCTCTCGGGCAGCCCAAAAGACCTCCACATGTATTAACGAGAGAAATTTAATTATACCTGCCTTTTAAGTCTCAGGTAAAGGGCACAGGTGATTAGTTTGGACTTCAGGCTCTGTATCACTGAGAAAAAGGAAAGTTCCAGAAATGCTGACGTGCATATGACTTACCCTACAGCATAAGGCACACTGTGCTGCCTTGCTTACCTTCAAATGGCTTAATTGAATGTTAGGCTGAACACACCTTTTTGGCTGGTATCTGCTAGCACAAGAAGCAACATTACTATTTGCTGAAAATCGTCTTTGGATTTGGGTAGTAGGTGTATGAAACTGGTGCATGTATTTGGCATGTGTGAGGGTCTTCTACACCACACATGGCAGCGAACCCACTTTTACCAATGAATGTACACTCAAAAAAGTGAGCTGTGGCCAATCCTAAATCTCAGGGATGGGGAGCCTGGGGGTTCTCCAGCTGAAATAGTGAGTATGCCCCTACTTTTCTAGGTTGCTTCCAAACAACCTGTTTGTTGAACATCCGAATTTGTTTGCAGGGAGCTTGTAAGACACCTGTTTTATCAGGTGTCGGGCTGTTATACAGTGCCATGTCAAGCAATTGTCCTGCGCACTTTCCTGTCATTCATCACAGAAGCCTGGGTTTTTGTGGAAGTGGGTTTGTTGCACAATAGCACCAAAGTCACCCTCCATGGACAACCTGAATTTGCCGGTAGGCAAATGAATCGTAGCAGCAAAACAAGAGAACGTTTGGAAGCACTCCTAATAAATTTTGCTTAATGTGGGTTCATTGCCCCTTAACATTGTCTTTATGGTATCATATATAGCTGGGTGGGTGTGAATGTGGTAATCCTATGCACATTTACCTGTGGGAGAGTAAGCCCCCTTGAACCACACGTTTATTTCTAAGTAAATAGGCATAGGATTGTGCTGTAAATATTTTTTGATCATATATGCTGGAGCAAGGAACTTCTGGGCTAAGGGAATGTTGCTTCCTCAACCTAATTCTATGTGATTTAGGGATCCTAGGGAGGAGAAGGGGGCACGGGACGGGCCTTAAGCAAATGGAAGGAACAGAAAGCCCTCTGCCAGCTATGAGGTCAGGCTTCTGGCAAAAGGGATCTGTCCCCCCTCCCAGTTCTTCACCCGCAGCGGCTGCTGGACGAGGGGCGGGAAGAGGAGGGATGGCCCTGCCTACCTACCACCAGGATGCACCGCCACGGATTATCCGCCAGGGAAGGCAGCCTTCTATACATGCAATATGTGCGTCTTTACCTGCGTTTTTTGCACGATGTATTCGAGATGCACGGAGTTGCGCCGCGTTTCCCACTTGTTCGTGTTCTCCTGGGCGCACTGCTTAGCATTTTAATATAAATCGTTGGCTGCGAGAGCTGACTCGGACAATGTTGCTTCTTCCTGCTGATTTAAAGTAGAATATACCAGCGATCGGGTCTTGCTAGGGAATATTTAACCACGGACTTTCTCAACTCGCCTCCCCAGTTGATTGATTGATTTTATATACCGCCCTATATCCAGAGGTCTCAGGGCGGTTCACAGAACACGGGTTTAGCCCCCCTATACCTGGGAACATTAGGGCTGCAGCTCCAATATAAGCCAGGGAGGCGCTTTTCCCTCATGGGTAAAATATCGGGACCTGTTCGGAGCCGGCAGAGTGTCTTAAACAAATGCATTTGGATTTTTAAAAATGTGACCGGGGGGGGGGGCGGCGGGTTCGTGTGATGCAGCCCGGCTGCCTCGTGCTTTCTGGAAACGAGAGGTGGCTGTTGACCTGTTTGTTTTGTTGCTGCCTTTCCCTCCGCTCTCTCTCGCGGCGGGAGCTGGGAGAGGAGGAGGCCCGAGCAAGGGAGGGGAGGGAAAAAAAGAAACACAGGGCGAGGTGGAGGAGGAGGAGGAGGAGGAAAGAGGCGGCTCCTTGGCCTTACTCAGCGGCCATTTGCCTCCGCCCCTCGTCGCTTAGCCGGGAGTCCTTCCCTTCGGAGGCGACGCGCCGGTCGGGAAAAAGCGCAGCTGGGCGAGGAGAAGAAGAAGAAGAAGAAGAGGGAGGCTGGTAGGTGGCTTTGGGCGTCTGGGTCTCGCGGAGGCTGTCGACTGTTTTCTGGAGGGGAAAGGCGGGAAAATAATGTCCGGGTTGGAGGGGGGCCGGGGGGGGGGAATGTGCGCTGAGAAGGTGCGTCTCTCTCTCTCTCTCTCTCTCTCTCTCCCTCTCTCCTCCCTGTTGCGTCTCGCCTGTTGCTTGCCTGGCGCTTTCCGAAATATCTCTTCATTTAAAAGCAACATCCAGCCCTCTCTCTTTCTCTCTCTCAGGGTCTCGTTGCCCCAAAGCGACGCCTCTTACTTCCCAGGCGTTCCCGTGGCTCTCCAGCCTTTAGCGCCCGCCCCAGAAGTAGCTATGCCTTTCCGAGTGTGGGGCGACGACGACCGCCCGCCTTGCTGACGCTGCCATGCCTTTTCCCAGCCCCTCCGTCCTCACCTTTTCCCTCCCTCCCGTCCATCCGCCTCCCTCGACCAGTTGTAAGTTTCTGCGACCTAATTATCACAGCCATAGGAAGCGACGACAAAGGGGAGGGGGGGTGGCGGGCGTCAAATCCCGACAAAGGTGGGATTAAGGATGGGTTGAAATGGGAGGCGGGGGCAGAAATCTGTCAGGAAGGGTTAAAAAGTGACCTTTTTCATGGACTGGCTTCCTGTTTACCTTTCCCTGTGTCTTAATTCCCCTATAATCAAGCGCTGTGTTTTCATCGGCTGCGTGTTTAGGTATCTCATCTGAGTTTTGACGGTGCCCTCAAGCTTCCTACCTTTGTTCCCTTCATGTTGTTTGGGAGTGATATTTTAGTTTACTTTTTTCGCCTGACAACGCTACAATCCTTAATATAAGGGGGATATTAATCCCTGTGCATTCCCCCCATCCACCCAATTTCCATTAGTGCATATCAACCATACTTGTTTGCTTCATATTCCCCATCTTTTAGCTGTGGAGGGGAATAATGGAAGATGTTTCATCACCTTAGTGTCTAAACAAAGAGGTGTCATTAGTTCAATCCCAGCACTGTGAGACCTGAAAGCATTTATTTCTTTGAATGGACGTGGATGTAGTTAGTTATGATGGAAAGGTACTCTGTACCTTCTTGGGCATTATTTTCTTCACATGGTCCCATATCTATTTCCTTTCTGGTGTCAGGATGCTATGACCACATTCTGAATGTGTGGTCCTCCCCACTATAGTCAGCAAGTCATAAACAAAATTTAGCTTGCTGGTGAAATAAACCACAATCCCTGGTTTGGGCATAGCAACAAGCCAAACTTCATGGCTGCTTGTTCGTGCAAGGAAAAGAGTGAAGCAGCTGTGATCATGCAGTGAGTTCTTGTTCACAGTAAGCCATTAACCATGTAGTGTGCAACACTTGCCACCTCCTACCCCACCCTGCTTCTCATGTATATTCATTTCCTTTGTCATAGCCAAAGGAATTTCCACTTAATTAAAACTAGGATCCTCAAAATATGAAATGAGCCCCTATGTGGAGCTGAACAGGTTTTTTTGTGGGGTGTGGAGTTATATCATGACTCAGTTCTTACTGATTACTTGAATGTGCAAGGAGGTAAAGCATAGAACACTTCTTCCCAGTTTCCAGTCATAATGTAGACAGCTCTGAGGCAACCCCTTTGTTTTATTGACAAATGATGCAGAGACAATACTGCCACCCGCCTTTAAAATGCTCAGTTTTTGCAAATATTTTTTATAAATCCCTCTTCTTAAAACCTGGTTCAGAGTGATATTTCCCCCTTTTCTAGAGACCAGCCCTGTGCCTGAAACAAAAATACACTCTGAACCCTTCTTGTCTGGTTATAGTTAATGTTTGGAGAGACTAACCATAGTCTCGAGCTATATATTGAGCCTCTTCCCTAAACTGTATTGTTTGTTATTCTTACCTCTACCTCTTGACCTGTCCTGCTATTATCTGTTGGGTATTGGGGAAGTGGTGCTTTTTCCAGTACTACTTTAGCATCCTATACACATCATAGATATGCTGTCCATGGTTATGCCACAATAGTAAAAATATTGTGTGTTATTCAACCAAGTTTTGCTCAGAGTAGACCTGTTGAAATGAATGGACCTAATTTAGTAATGTTCATTAATTTCAGTTCGTCTAACTCTGTGAAACTTAGTTGAATGCCACTCATTGCTGTTATGTGGGTTTCCTCTTTTACTTTAGACATCATGAAACATCTTGTCAGGAGAGGAAATTTAAGCTTGAACAGTTCAAATAGTTGCAGTGCAAGCTGTTCTCTGTTTTGAATATTTGTTGAGGGCTTGTTCAGAAACAATAACATACTGTATGCTTGCCAGTTCTGATATTTGCAGGCTTCACAAAACAAAACTGATTTGTTGGTTGCCTAACCTTGAAATAAATTGGCAGTGTTGTTCAGTTTCTTTAAAAAACAAACAAACCACAGAAGAGGTCTTAGTTTTTATTGTAAATCACCTTGGAACTTTCTCAGTGGAAAGTGATGTACAATTCTAAATATTGGGGAGTGTTGAGGTTATTGTGCTTGAGGTTTGAGGGGTACATTTTTTAAAAATAATAATAAAATAGGGAGATACAGTGGTACCTCGGGTTACATACGCTTCAGGTTACATACGCTTCAGGTTACAGACTCCGCTAACCCAGAAATAGTGCTTCAGGTTAAGAACTTTGCTTCAGGATGAGAGCAGAAATCATGCTCCGGCGGCGTGGCAGCAGCAGGAGGCTCCATTAGCTAAAGTGGTGGTTCAGGTTAAGTACGGACCTCCAGAACAAATTAAGTACTTAACCCGAGGTACCACTGTATGAGGTGGCTTTGCAGTATGATGTTGCACTGACTGGCAGACCCCAGACCTAATTCCAGATTTTGTTCAGTTCTCATTATTGGCCTTTAAGAGCCCCTCTGAAGTTCTATATCAGTCAGACACATGTGTTTTTATTTAATAAACACACCAGTTGCACAACTGGTTACTACAATGACTATGTCATTTCAGCTTTAGCTTGTTCACATGTTGAACAAAATTCCTTGCATGTATTTTACTGGTTTTCTGAGCTGCTCTTTCATAAGCTTTACATGTCACATAAGAGATCATACTGTAAGATATGTGCATCTACCTCGAGGTGAAAAGTTGCTCTCGGCAGGTGTGAGTTCCACATCATCTTCAGTCTATGTGTTTATGGAAAGGGGTACAGGGTGGCTCAGCAAACAGGTGTGGCAATGAAAGTGGGTCAGGCATTCTAGTATCTGGTAGTGAGTACTTGTCAGCCCCAGGTTGTATGATGTAGGAGGTTGCACAATAAAGGGCTTTGAACAATGAAACGCCTTAGAATAAATATACGTTCTTGTTCTCCAAACCTTCCACTAGCTATCCTATACGGGAGGGGACAATAGTTCAGTGATACAGCAGGTGGCAAGCATACATAAATGCCAGCTTCAGTTCAGCTTCAGAAGCTTGAATGAAAGAACTTAACTAGAAAAGATCTCTGTCTGAGACCTCTCAAAGCTTTGTAAGTCAAAGTAGACAATATAGAAGCAGGTGAACCAGTTTCAGTATGAGACCGCTCTGTATATGTATAAGAATTCAGAGATGCTATTTTCTAAGCTAGACTGAGTTATTTAAAAGCCAAGGAACAAACCCAGAATTAAAGGAGATAAATGCTTCTTCTTGGGCAGAATTAACATTCTGAATAGAAGTAGATATTATTGGATTATATTGATATTACTAGGGGCTTATGCCATAGTCAATAAATCTGGAGTAGTTTAAAATTTTAATCTTCCAGTTGTGCTAATTTAACCTTTTAAGAATTCCAGCCTCTCACGGTGATAGCATGTGGCAGGCAAGCCCAGACAGACAGAAGGTGGAAGGCGTATGTGCCAGTTTATCCTTTTTGGCTCATAGTGGAGACTGAAACTTCTGTCAAGGGTCCAGATTGTTTGGATTCAGCTATGAGTCATGCAAGGTGCAAACTTTTGAGTGCCCTTAATGTGTACTGTATGTGGGTGGGCTAGCTAGCTTCCTTTGTCCTTCCTCGAAACCTTCCTGTAATCTTTATGCAGACAAAATCTGCTTTGTACCAAGCAGAACCTAACATGTGTGAGCATGCTCTTTGTTCTTGAAACAGAAAAGTGAATGTGGAGGCTGATTTTGAAGCCTCTAGGCCCGTTGTGTCCAGTAAGCTGTGAATTCCAAAGTATTCAAGAACAAATGTTGAACTATTTAAACAACTATGTACCATGCTACTGAGAGGTATATTTGTCTTCTCACTGTTTAGGGTGTAGCTCTATCTTACTTGTCAAAAAGTTGTATTCTAAAACATGTATTTAAAGCAGAGCCTCCTTAAGTAGCCCTTAAAATGATTTCCTAGTGCCATAAAAGTATGAGAGACACTGTGATCTACCTACATTCTTTCTCTCCCTCTCTGCCTTATGGGATTCTGTTGTAAATCCGAACTTCCTTCTTCTTTGTCCCTAGTCCTATTACTAATGTTTTGCAGTCATTAATTGCATGGGTGCTGCAGCCTCAGAAGGATCTGGGCATGCTTTTGAATCAAGCACCTGCAAGTTGACAGCTGAGTTCTTGAGATGTCTTATTTCCAGCTAGTGTCTGAAAGCAGCACTTCTAATTGCTGTAGGGCTGCTAAGTTCTCTTGGCAGGGGAACTGACCCTTTCAGGAGCATTACAAATATCTGCTTTTCTGCTTCTTTTCTATAGTGCATAATTACTTAGAAATTTAGTGAGATGTGAATATTTACCTGCCTTGATTTTGAAATAGTTCGTTTGAAAGCCGTTAGACTTTTTCCTTTTGAAACATTCACAACTTTTTATTGGCCTGTTTAGTAACGATGCTGAGTTTCTTTCGACGAACGCTTGGGCGCAGGTCTATGCGCAAACATGCTGAGAAGGAACGGCTAAGAGAGGCCCAGCGAGCTGCAACTCACATCCCTGCTGCTGGAGATGAGAAATCCATAATTACATGCCGTGTCTCTTTGCTGGATGGAACTGATGTCAGTGTGGACTTGCCGGTATGATAATTACATTACTTTTTCAACGTGGTTGAATCATGTTTGAGAGAATAATTGTGTTCTTCTTTATCTCAGAGTTGAATTAGATCATTGTGCTCATGTCATGGTTTTCAGCCATAGTAGCCACAGTGAGCTGTGTATTACTATCCTCAAGGTTGGATTACTGTAATGTGCTTAACGTGGGGATGCCCTTGAGCAGCAGTTAGTGCAAAACATGACAGCTAGACTGCTGTATGGTGCAGCCTGCTGGAAAGATATTAATAGTAGTTTGGGACTGCCAGTTTGCTAAATTCAAAGTGCTTATACAGCGGTACCTCGGGTTACAGACGCTTCAGGTTACAGACGCTTCAGGTTACAGACTCTGCTAACCCAGAAATAGTACCTCGGGTTAAGAACTTTGCTTCAAGATGAGAACAGAAATCGTGCTCCAGCGGTGTGGCGGCAGCGGGAGGCCCCATTAGCTAAAGTGGTGCTTCAGGTTAAGAACTGTTTCAGGTTAAGTACGGACCTCTGGAATGAATTAAGTACTTAACCCGAGGTACCACTGTAATTGTAACAAGATACACATTTTATGTAGTTAATGTGCAACACACTAGCAGATTGAAATTTACACATTTCAATTTGTGCTCAATTTCTCTCTTAATCCAAAGCCTGGACATTCCACTCTATGAACTTTGATTTCCAGCCTAACTGAAATTAACAAGGAAAATATGACATAGCTCCATACAAGGGACACAGTTAATTTCATAATTTCACTGTTTACTATGTACAGAGGGCACCAATATAAAAGCAGATTGAAGCACAGGGACCAGCCTTTAAATTTCTGGTTTTTATTATTTTAATGTTTTCCATGTTCTACTCTGGAAACATTTGAGTTGAAGGGTTAATACACACAAAAATATATATCCATGTGTAATATCTAGATAGAGAGATAAAGAGATAGATAGATATCCTTGTCTATTTTTATTGGTTCCTTGGTCTGATTTTAGAAACTGCAGTGATTTGAACCATGAAGTCATACCAACACTGTACTGCTATATGGAAAAGGGGAGGATAAGTCGATAGTTACATAACCCTATATTTGTCATTCTTGGCAGCAAGATTTGGAACTGGAACATCTGGCAGGAAGCTGAGCTGACCTAGCAATATTGCACTGGAGAAGCATAGTATTTGCTCTAGGAAATATTTGCTTAAGCCAACACATATGAGTGTGGGCTGCCCACTTAACCGAGGCAGCTTTCTGATCACTGTTCACTAGTGAATATTACTGATCAAGCTGCATACACCAGCTTAATATATCGTATTTTTCGCTCTATAAGACGCACCTGACCTTAAGACGCATCTAGTTTTTGGAAGAGAAAAACAAGGAAAAAAATTATTCTGAATCCCATAAGCCAGGACAGCAAGTGGGATCGCTGCGCAGCAATCCCGCTTGCTGTCCTGGCTTATGGGATAGCCGCGCGTAGCCTCTCCTGGGCAGCGGATGAAGGCTTCCACTGCCCGGGAGAGGCTGCCCATGGCTAAGCAAGAAGCCAGGACAGCCAGTTGCGCACGGCTAAGGCTCCCCCAAGAGCCGCGCTCCCTTTAAAGAGTGGGCGGAGTGTGAAACGTATGTAACCTGAAGCATATGTAACCTGAAGTACCACTGTATATAAGTGCAATTCTTTCTTTCTCTCTCTCTCTGAAGAAAAGTGTATAGATTGTGCATTACCATTTGCCTGTGTTGTAAGCTACAGTGGTACCTCAGGCTACAGACGCTTCAGGTTACAGACTCCGCTAACCCAGAAATAGTACCTTGGGTTAAGAACTTTGCTTCAGGATGAGAACAGAAATCGTGCTCTGGTGGCGCTGTGGCAGCGGGAGGCCCCATTAGCTAAAGTGGTCTTCAGGTTAAGAACAGTTTCAGTTTAAGAACAGACCTCCAGAACGAATTAAGTTCTTAACCCAAAGTACCACTGTATAGAGCAGGCACGTCCAACTCCCAAGAGAATGCAATCTACTCCCAGTACAAAAAAAGCTGGCAGTGATCTACCCATTGTCATTGCTAATAGTTGTTAAGTTTTTTGGGGGGGGACAAGCCAAAGTTGTTGAGCTTTTTGGAGGGCAGCGCTACAGACAACATTGCTTCTACTTTCAGCGTCCTTTTACATTTACGCCAGCTAAGCAGACAGCTAGCACCAGGGGCAGAAGGCGGAGTCATTACTAGCCCGCGATCTACCACTAACGTGAGGCTATTGATCGCAATCGACCTGTTGGACATGCCTGCTATAGATCAACCAAAGAGGGCTCCTTTGTTTTAGTTGTGACTACCTGCTTTTTTCAGAAACCTCAGGAGTTGTTAGCAATGATGTGGTGTGGAAATTTTTCCACTGCTTTGCTGTTCCATTGAAAATGTTCTGTTTATTATTATTTCACTGGTAACAATTATGCGTGTTGTTTTGCCTCACATTGTAGAATGTATAGTTACCATTTTGACAGACAAAGGCTTGTGGGGTGGGGTTATATTGCAAAACCCATAGGATTGCTGTATTTAAAAAGTTGAGGCACAATACACACAAAAGATCACTTGCATAAAATCTTACTGTGGTGAATGCAGAGATTGTGAATTATTCTTTTCTTTTTTCAGTAAATGCAGCCCTGTTCTCCATGTCAATTACTTTAAACTTTCTGGCCACAAACAGATTTCACTTTGCAGTATTTTTGTGGGTTTCTTTTTCTTTCTTTCTTTCTTTCTTTCTTTCTTTCTTTTTTGCTATTTAACCTCTCTGGGTGGCTGGGCATGGGAAAGAGCAGGCCGGAGATCCTGGGTGGAAAATTCTAGTAGCTGCATTGTGGAAGGATGTTTAGGGACATTCCTTCTTTCCTAAAACTTGTTAACATCAGTACCATTTTTTCTGCACCCAGCTAGACGTTTTGAAGCGTCTAGGAGCAATTTCACAATGCAATAAAACAAATTTTTAAATGCATCTATAAAAACAATTTCAAATCCAATACAGATACTGACGAAGATAAAACTCTTCTCTCAGAGAGCTTGTTGAAAGTGGAAGATCTTAACAAACACCAAACAGGCAGTAGAAGTAGTGCCTGATATGGCCTGATAAGATGGTACCTGCAGGAGGCCCTGCCCTGCAGAGCACAATGGATGATTGGATATATAAGGGAAGGAGATGATATTTTTGTCCTGGTCCTCAGCTGTATAGGGCTTTGTGCATCAGTACCAGCACCTTGTAACTAGCCGAGTAGTTAATTGGCAGCCAGAGCTGCAGCACCCATGTACTTTTGGAATAGGGTTCTTAGCCTTCCTGAAACAAGCTACTTGACTATTGTGGGCTTTCATGAGTGCAATGTAAAGTTTGCTGTCAAACTTAGCGTCTCAAGAATTGAGACACTAAGAACATTGTCAGAGCACTGAGAAACATAAATATTTTTGGTGACATTTTTAGATTTTCTCTTCAATTCCGTTTCAAATGAAGTGATTCTAAATGAAGTTATTGAGTGTTTGTGAGGTTATGTTGAACAATTTGTGTGGCACTGCAAATCATTTTGTTCGGTTTCTTTGCCTACGCATATTCACATTATTTGTGACTGTAGAGGCCAGAAATGAAATCTGCAATTCTGTGAAGTTCATAGGTTGAAGAAAGGGCCTCTGGACCTCCAGAATTACAGGCTGCATATTGTTCCAATGAGTTCTTAAATGTTTAATGTGTTTATTTTTTCAGTAACTTTGGATTCAGTAATGAATATTAAAAGAAGTTGGGGCAGTGGGAGATTATAGATGAGGTAAAACAGTTGGGAAATAACAGTTATCATGCAGTTCATAAGGGTCCTGAGTTTCAGGACTAGATCAGTAACTTCTGGTTCGTTAAGGTCAGCGATCTAGAGATAGTGATTGCTGAGATTGAGTTTAGGGGAGAAGAAAGATGCTCATGTAGTCCTGAACCTGGCTGTTACAGTGCTGGGAAGGAGATGCTTTCCCCTCTACTATACTTTTGGGGAGAGTGGGGGTGGGGAAATTGAGTTTACAGGATCCATATATTCATGGTACCCATCTCTGAACCCTAATTCCATCTCTGGATAGTTTTAAGCTGTTAATTTTTCTGCTGAACTGGGCACGGAGTTATTAATCAGAATTGGAAGAAGCACCCCCCCTTCTCCACTGATATGATTTAATTTTAATTGTGATTTTGATATAGTTATATTAATTTTTGTGGTTTTAATATATCTGTAAACTCGGGTCTACACATGAAGGATGGCATAGAAATTAATCAGATAAATCTTGTGCTTCCTGGAGGGCAAGAAGCATGCTCAGTCTTCTTCAGGCTATTTTTGTGTATATGTGTGAGAGAGTATAAAGTGAATATGCAGAAACCATTGCCTTCGGTTTTGTTACCAAAATGATAGTCAAAGGCTATCAGGTTTGCTGTTAGAAGTAATATAAGCAGTTGACAGAATTGGTGTCTAGAGAGTAGCAATGCATTATTGTTTTTACTGGAATTTCTGAGTGCATGCAGAATTGCCCTCAAAAATAAGGTTAATCATCAACTAATCAGCCTCTTACTAACACAAGTTCCTCTTGTAATTTCAGAAAAAAGCCAAAGGACAGCAGCTGTTTGAACAGATCATGTACCATCTGGACCTCATTGAAAATGACTATTTTGGATTACGATTCATGGATTCTGCACAAGTAGCAGTGAGTGGCATGGGGTTTTTTTTTTCTTCTTACAGTAGTAAAGTTAATTAAATCATACCAGGCCAAACACAAGATTTGTGCAAGTGTTAAGTTGTTCTTGGTACAACAAAATTTATAGATGAGTTTAAGAAATTGTCCTGAACTTCAGTATAAAATCAGTTTCCCTTTTTCATGTCCTCTGTCCTGGTTTTGATAGATAAAATTATGGATCAGAGAGTTGTTGGTTCTAATTCAAATCTCAAAAATGAGAATATGTTTAATTCCCCCCCCCCCCGCTTTTAATTTGTATTGAAGTAAATCAAACAAATCAAGACAATAAAATAATAGAAGTTCATGACTTCTGTTTCTTTCATAGTATGAAAAGTATTTTTTTAGTGCCTTGGAGTCTTTGTTGCATGTAATTCATGTTACACACATGTTTATTGGATCATAGTTTAAAGGTCCTGGTTTAAAGGTCATAGTTTAAAGGCCGCTTTGGACAGAACCATTAGAAAGGAGGGTCAGAGGGGGGTAAAAACCCATTGGGCTTTCTGTGGAGGTGTGTGTATGACCTCTCAGTGCCCCAGACCTGACCCATAAAATCTTAATGCAGCATCATAGAAACTTTAAGGCAGGGGTGGGGAAACTTTGCCCCTCCAGACCATGCTTTTAAAACCACACTTATCTGCTGGTCAACTGATGGGGGAGAAATAAGTTGATTGGCGAGGGGGTTAATTTTGGTGTTGCCTTCAAAGCTCAGCGTCACCTACCACCACTATGATTTGGCCTTCCAGGGGTGGGGAGATAAGGATCTGGTCCACGAGGCAGAAAAGGATCCCCACCCCTGCTTTAAGGTCATCTGAGAAAAACTACCATTCCAAATGGCAGATCTGACTTCAGTGCAGTTGCAGTTCTGTGTGTTCTGAGAATGCAGGGCTCTAGTAATCCCATCTTCCAGGATTGTTAGAATTCTTTTTTGGTGTTCTGGTCAGGCACAAAACCTTTCTGGTTTTTGTGTGTGTTGCTGGACTGTTTCTACCCAGTCTTAAATTCATGATTCAGTCAAAAGGCATATGCACCAAGCACACACAATTTAGTCATGATCTTGGTTAATTAAGTGTGTCTGTATATATTACATAGAATTTCACAACTGAGATTATTTTGGTAGTTCTTCATTGCATTTCCACCACCTCACATGCCAGTGCAATGAAAAACTCTTCTGACCTTAATCATATTTTCTTGTGACTTGTTCTTATAGCCTAGGGTTCCATGAGCCTCACTTGATACTGTATGATTTACTTGCTTTAGGCAATTTATATTTGTTTGCATTCAGCTGGTCATTGTGCACTTGGAAGAGTGCATTGCTCAGTCTAATGCAATTGCTTCAGCTTTCTGTTTATTGTGATGCAGTGCTAATGTTTGTCAGGTATATAAAAATGGTGTTAAAGACCATGTCTTTTTTATTTTAATGAGCTCTGCCTTTTATACAAATAGTTGAATCTTGAATGATGTTGATGTAGTACAGGCTAATTCTGTGAGTATAATTTGGGAGTTGCCTTTACAATTCAAGAGACTTTTTTGTTCCAGTGTCTCTGTTGCTTCCCCCTCCCATTGTATTTTTGGTTAACATTGAGTTAGAAGGGACCCTAAACAACACCAATGCAAATAATTCACCTTAGTGCTGTATATTCAACCTTAAACCTACTGCCCAGGAAATCATAAAAAATAATAAAAATCATCCCAGGAGGAAAAAGGCTTTTGCATGTATTCATTTCGTAATTACAGCAGGAGGTTCATGGCTTGCAGGGGTGGCTAGCAGCCCAATAGTAGGGAGATCTGTGAGTAGCTTGGCTCAGGCCAAAAAAGTTGCAGGACACTTTCTCAGATTGTAAATTTTTCAGTAGGGACTATCCTCTGGCTTAATCTTTTGACCCATTACTCTTACCATAACCTTGCCTTGTTTCGTGAAGTGTGTATTTCTGCAGGATTAGAGTTCGTGCCTGACCCTGCTGAATTTGACAGCTGCGGTAGGAAAAGTAATATATTCCAAGCATTGTGTTGCAGTTTACTTGGAGTAAAGTATAGTTACCAAGTGCAACTGCAACATGAGATCAGGTCTCAATGTCTCCCAGGCTTTGTTCTGTAAAAGTAATTCCCTCCCCCTCTTCTGTGTGCCAGTCAAGCTGAACTCTTGTAGATGGCGCTGGTGTTAGGAACTGAGTTGAACTAAGTGGTGTCGGTGCCTGTCTCTGGTCTGTTAACTGCCTTTCTGTGGAATGTGGAGGAGGTGAAAGAAAACAGATTGGAGATGAAGCAAACTTATACTTTGCCCTACAGTCTGGGAACATCTTTCTTTTTTTCTTTTTTCTCTTTTCTTTTCTTTTCTTTTCTTTTCTTCCTTCCCTGTCCCTGTTGTTTGTGTATACGGCACCATAGCACTTGTAATACTCTACTTTGGTGGATTTGTTTTCTTACCAAAGGAAATGTATGTTGGATGGGTGCAGACAACTGATGGAAAACTATCCAAAGAAGGCATGTTTATGGTATAACTTCCTATAATTGATTGATTGCATTGAATGAAATAATCTTATTTCGTTCCAAAGCAGTAGGACAGTTCCATGAAAATATCAACCAGCAGGCTCTTTTTTATCTTCCTATATAGCTAGCATGTTATGTATCTTTTTAAAGATAGTTTTCCAAAGTTTTATTATCTGGCAACAGTTCTACACATGAGTGAAACATCCAGAAGCAGGGCATGCAGAATGATTCAGAATTTCTCTTAATTTTTTTAGTAACTTTTAGCTAAATACTTTTCAATTCATTTAACAACCCATTATTTTATTGGTAGTTTCGCTTTTGCTTTTGATACCTGAGAATAAATGGTATGTTAGGAATAAATATTAGTGAGCTCTTGTTTTGTAGGTTGCGTGTGAGTGAGTGACTTGTCACAAGCAATGTTGGTCACATTAAGCTGGTCACAGAAAACGTTTTCCCCACAGGGATAAATAAACAGTATGAGAAGTTTGACACTTGCCCATGAAACATTAGCTGTTTTTGTATGTGGCTGCAGATGGGGAAAATTGATTCACACTTTAAGAGAATACAGTTATCTAAGTTACAGATATATTCTTGAAGTTGCAAATCTCTTGTGTTGGTCAAATACTTTAAAACACAGTTCTAAAAAGGCAAATGTTAACTATTTGGCATGCTTCTTGGTTTTTGGTTTTTGTAGGGAAGATCAGTCCAGTTCAACCACAAATAGTTTAATGTTATTTGGAGTTCAAATAATATTAGTTAACACACAAATTATTATGTAAACAAGCTTACAAATATAATGGTGGTAATTATGGAATTACCTAACAACAACAGGAACAACAACAGCTGTCATTTAATTATGATTCCACTACTGCTACTCCGTTGGTATAGTTCAGGAACAGTTTAATCATGTGGTCTTTGTTGGTTTAGATGAATTTTGTCAGGTTTCCCAAATGCTTAGAAATTTGATGGTGTAAGATGGGTGTATGTTGTTTCATACTGTTTGTAATGTATTTTAAATTGCAATCCTGGGGCTTTGGTATATTATTAGTATTAGTATTAGTATCATCAACATTTGCTGCAGGTGGGATTAGAGTTGGTATAGCTGCTGTCAATTGTGAACATCCTGTGTTTAGAGGTGAGCCCATATGTATCACAGGGCTGCATGTGCCATTTTGGGTCAGTCTCAGTCTGGGGGAGTGAGGATTAGGTGATGTCAAGTTGTACTAGCATCAGATCTGACAACCATCTCCATTATAAGATGCCTGTCGGCACACTATTGACTACAGCATAGGGTGGGGAGCCACGTAATGTATTCTGAATGATAGCAGTGGTATTTAAAGGAAAGCCTGAGGCCACAGGTGGTAACTCAACAGTATTATACTTGGAATGGTATCATTACATATAAGGATGTTCTCACCTAGGAAAAATACTTGGCAGATTTAAGGAAATACCCAACCCGTAGTTAACATATTTTGTGAACTTAGCTTCTACATCCTTATGTTCTGAACTTAATGTGATCTGCAAATTTTTATCTTGTACTGCTTGCTTCATTCCAGCTGCTGAGCTCTCTGAGAGGAACATGTATAAACAATTCATTCTAATGCTTGTGTCAGCACTTGAAAGAGACAATGCATTCCACAATACTAGTTTTTAAGCGTAACTGTGAGAAAGTTTGTGTGCTTGAATAGAAAGGATGCACTTTTAGGTGAAAAGTTACATTGGCATGCCTTTTCCTTTCTTAGATGGGAGATATAATCTTTTTCATATCTCTTTGGTAAGATGGCAGCCTGAAACGCATTGAAACATATGTTAGAATTCTGACAATCCCAGCAGCTTTCTGGCTCTGTGACTTGCAAAGATACATTTGTGCTGCAAATTGCGGATCATGATTTCAGCGCTCAAGAAATTATTAACTTGCCTCTTGAAACGTATTCTAGCAAGCTGTTACAGTCAATTAACTGTCGGTCAGGAACACTGAATGTGTTGCTCTTAAAATGCTTTATACTGCTTAGAACTATTTTGGCTTGTTCTGTTCTATGAATTTATAATTTGCATACTATATTTTTATGTTGAAAGCATAAAGTCTATAATTATTAATTTTTCTTTCAGCACTGGTTGGACAACACAAAGAGCATTAAAAAACAAGTTAAAAGTAAGTGAAGTTTGTGTTTTTAAAAATCTGATTTACTTGACTATCGACAAAGACTTTGTTTCCCCAAAATATACCATGGCAGTATGAAACTGCTCAAAGAACAATGTTGTAATGCCAAGTTTCTGGCATTACAACTGATCTTTGACTCACATTACATTTACTACATGATGTATTGAAAGCTAATTCAGTACAGGGCAAAAAGAAAAAAAGGGGCTCCAATTGTTTAAAGATTCTGTAGCACATTTCTTTTTGCACTTTCTGCCTTAAGAGTATTACTAAAATGGATTTGGTGGACTATATTTTAGTAATCTTTGCTTTGCTGACCTATTGTGATGTGTATTTGTATCTTTTCTGTGACTGATATACATTGACTTTTTTAAAAGGAACTGTTCTAGTAATGTAAATCAAAAGGGGGAAGAAACTTTGAAGATCTGGTATTACAGGTGACCTGAATCAGTGGGTGTTGAGGAGGTGCATGAGTAACATCATATTCCTGGTTTAGAATTTCTCTCATTGGAAGGAAATGAGGTGTGGAGTCTGCTGCAATAAAATGTTTAGCTAGCTATCTTCCTATGACACAAACTAACAACAGGAGGTACTCCCCAAAACTTAAGACTGCCTGGGCAGAGTTTATAAGGATTTGATTGGGGTACAAAGCTAAGATTGATGGATTTCTCAGTTCATGGAATAGAGCCTTGTAATATTGGGATTAACCTAGATTTGTCTGTTCTTCTTGGCAAGACAAATCAACTTAATGTAATGAGACTGAGTTGGCTTCTGGTATATAAAACTACTACTGTTTGTTTAGCATTCTCTTTTTTTGCTAGTGTGCTCAGTATTACAGAAGGGATTCCCACCCCCTTTGAATTCTGATTAGTGAATATATTTACAAAATAATATCCTTGCTGTCAGAAACCTAATATATTCACTTTTGTAGTTGGTCCACCATACTGTCTACATCTTCGTGTAAAGTTTTACTCTTCCGAGCCAAACAACCTACGTGAAGAGCTCACCAGGTACGTTGTATGCAGTGATACAAACTGGAGATCTCAAATCCAGTACAGGCAATGAGCAATTTATGTGCGTCTATCACACACACATGCACAGCACCAAACCTGGAAGTGACCCTAAAAATCACTAGAAGGGTGGGGAGGGGAAGGGTGGAACATTTTACACGGGTCCCTCCAATGCGTGCAAGGGTCGAGAACATAGCGTCCTGTGCAAAACAAGGATTGCTTGCTTGTTTGCAGTACATTTGCTTTTTGTGCTATATCTTTCATACTAATCTGCATATGATTGTTGGTGGTCTCTCTTGGAATCAAAATTCCAATCCACCTGGTTGTATCTCACTACTGTAATGTCCCTGAATGATAAAATTGCAGGGAAGGCATTTGGGCAGAATCTCACATACATTGCCACAGTTTCAAGGTGTTCCATTCCCACAGTACAGTGAATAGGACTTCCGAGCACTTCAGGGAACTGGCAGTTCTTTGGTGCTGGGCGTTTTCCTTTCTGCTGTGAGTAATCCTTATACCCAGTCCTTCTGCTCCGGCCTTTGCTGTAGATTGGGTCCTGATAATCTTTACGAAATCATTAATGAAGTGTAGTTTTGAGGAAACACTGAACTTTGATAGAAATATTTTTAGACATGTTTGGGAAATCCATCCACCTCCTTTCAGTATTGCACACTAGGAAATCGGAGAAAACAGAAACTACAAATTGGATATTCTTTAATTAGAATTTCATTCTCTTGCGATGAAATATACTGCTCCATGTTTCCATACTTGAAGTGAGAGACCACAGTGCGTTATCTCATAATTAAGTCTAGCTGCTGATATTTGCTGCTCTTCTCCAGTGCTGGAATTGTTCACAAACTCATGGATGTTTCTTGCTCTTTCTTCCTGAAATAGATATTTATTTGTTCTTCAGCTAAAACAGGACATTTTGAGTGGCAAGTAAGTACTGTTGATAATTACGCTAAATGAAGGGGGCTTGTCTCTTATCAAATATGTGCAGGAAATTTAGGATACAAATATAGAACATGTGCATCTCCAAGGTGCTGAAAGTATTAGTAGCTACTTACCATGCTTTGTAGCAGTGAACATTAATGGACTCTGGTAGTTATAATTAGCCATTTGTTTAGATTCTTTCCTCAGATTTAGTATTTAAAATTCCACAATTGCATCTTAGAAATCTTCATAATTTTTTTTACCACCTAAAGCAGTGGTTCTCAAAGGGTGTGGCCCAGAGAAATAAGTTTGAGAACCACTGGCCTAAAGACTATGGTCAGGTTTCTGCAAGGATGTACAAAAGAGGAGGGAGGTGGTATGTTGAGAATGGGGATATGCTGCTGTATGTGGTGCGTAACCTATGTGATGTCAATTATTAATGGTTCCTTTAATTCAAATGCAGACTTTTTGGGACAGATTTGGTGTGGCGTAATTGAAGAATATATTAATGATTCCCCAATCCATATATTTGTAGGATCTAGGCTGACTTAGGCAAGCTTATTTGCTCCTTTAATGTAAAGCGTACATTTCTGAAAATCCAAGTGTTATAGGAACATGGGCTTTAAGTATATTTCTGAGTAATATGTCAAGTTCGCTGAAACGGTTCACTACATCTTCCCCTTCCAAATCGTTGACCCATAATCATTTCCTCATACTGCCGTTGAAATTTGCTTGACGTTCTTTTTTTTCCCTTTTCATTGCAGGTTGGAGTGTCCATTTGAAACAGCTGTGCAGTTGTCAGCTTACATGTTACAAGGTGAGCTGCCTTAAGGGAACTGCCTTTGTGTGGGTGTATTGCTTGAGGTGCAGGACTGATTCGAATAAGACAAGGTTTCCTTTACAGATAGCAAACCTTATGTAAACTGCTGGTCACATTAATTGCCAGGGATTCAGATAAATTACTGTACTTGAGCTATTTCTGGGCATTGTTGCTTTTTCGCTTTAGGGATATATTTTGTAGCCAGAGGATTATAACAGCTGATAGGGCTCAGTCATGTGAGGCTTATCACTAAGATCTTAGCTTTTTCTTGCTACTGTACAATCTAGCACGAGTGGGAAGTATGAGTGGAATCCTGGGGTGTGGACTACCTTATAGTCCTTGTGTAGGAAAAAGGAGGGCAGGCGTGAGAAGAATTAACTTGCTTAAGTGAAATAATTATTTTTCCATAGATGTCTCAGAGCTTTGGTTCCATTCAGAAAAACACTGTGAACCTCATATTGAGATTTGTTGGTTATTTTGGCAAAGCAAGCTCAGAATTCTGCACTTTGACCTCTACATTTGTACTTACTGAAAGAGATGTCAGCTTGGAAGTGTTTATTAGGGATAGTTTGCAACAGAAATTAAGTGTTTTCTTGATTACCTTGCATGATTCTCTCTCTCTCTCTCTCTCTCTCTGTGTGTGTGTGTGTGTGTGTGTGTGCGCGCGCACACACACACCTTTATGTCAACAAAATCCTGATTTCATTTTTAAGAGTAATTGCATTACAATGGGTTGTAGTCGCACAGCCTTTGCCTATTTGAGGACTTTAAAACCCTTTTATATAGAAATAAGTCCAACTACATTCATTCAATGAAACCTCTAAGTAAGTGTGTCTAGAATCATTATTGCAAGATCGTTACTGCAGAGCAAAAGGAATTTTCTGTGATTCTCATAGTTCTGATTGTAGATAACTGTGTTGGAAGTAGATACTCATAAGTTCCTAATCAGTGATCAGTGGCTGTTAGTCTTGTATCAAATGTAGTTTTTAAAGTTATCTATATTTCCTGTGGGACTTAGAATCTTAGAAAGTATTATACTGTTTTACCTGGCAGGCATATATGTCGCAAAAAGGTACTTCCCCACACAAAAGGAGCGGGTGCCACTGTGGTCTAAACCACTGAGCCTCTTGGGCTTGCTGATCGAAAGGTCAGCAGTTCAAATCCACACAACGGTGGTGAGCTCCTGTTGCTGTGTCCTAGCTTCTACCAACCCATCAGTTCTAAAGCATACCAGTGCAAGTAGATAAATAGGTACTGTTGGGGTAGGAAGGTAAACGGCATTTCCATGCACTCTGGCACTCGTCAGGGTGTTCTGTTGTGCCAGAAGTGTTTTAGTCATGCTGACCACATGACCCCACAGCCTTGGTACAAAAGGTTATATATGTGAAAATATTTATAAATTAATGTTGATCATTTTTTTAATGTATGAGGCAACGAGGAACACACAAAAAATGTGATTTTCTGTATTGCTTAGATAGGAGAGGGGGACAGACTTTGCGATGTATTCTGACAATCTTTCAGAGGAATTCATAAATTTGCTGTTTGTTGGGATGGTAAAACCCAACTCTTGATTTTTTTTCCTACTAACAATCTATAAGTAGTGTTCAGTTGACAGATAAGAACTCAAGTAACACTGGTAAGATAGTGTTGGAAGATACTGGGTTTGATGGTATGGGTAGGCAACTCATATATCCGTGTAATAAGAGAAGACACTTTTGAATCAATTCCCCAGAACATAGTAATTTTGCAACATGCAGCAATGAAGTGTTGGTATTCATGTTTCTGTAGTGGTGGGATGCAGAGATCCAACTCTGTGAAGAGGGCTGCAGCAAAGCCTTAAAGAATTCATGCCTTGATCCCATTTTGGCATAGATTCTGTTTATAAATTTGCATGACAGTAAATGTTCGATTCCAGGCTTTGATGACAGTGCCCAGTACTCAGTAGAATGCTGAGTAGATCCTATTTAAATTAGCTGGAGGTTAACCTAGCTTTGGAAGCAAGCAAGCATCAAGTAAATTATGGATTTAGAAACTTCCTTAACTTCAAATTGAAAGACTCATGAAAATGCAGCTTAAAATATTTATTCAATAAGCTCAGTTGTGTTCAAGACCCAAGAAATCTATTAAAATATTTACATAGCACAAAATTTAACAAACATGTTATATTATTCAGTGCTTCTTCTTACATTTCCAGCTGCTTCTTTTTACATTTTAAAAGACTGCATTAAAAACTTCATGTTTGTGATGGTAAAAAAAGAAAGTGATCTCACTAAGCATCTGCAAGTCTGAGTATCTTAAAAAAAGAGGAATGAAAGAAGTTAAATAACAATGCTAGTTCCCCCGCCAACATACAGTTTCAGCAGTAAATGAAAATACTCTTCCATATAAGTTTTTGTTTGTGTCTGTAGTTCTTCCAAAGCTGATTTAAGATTCAGTTTTAACATACCTGTACTAAGATCAAAATACTGATTTCCTATTAAACTGTAAATATTTAAATGAAGTTTTAATTATCTTTGAATAAATGTTCAGTGTGTCAATGAAATGAGTCATTGTAGGCACTTCGGATTTTGCCATTTCCAAATTTGCTTTTGCTAGAATTTTCTTGAAGTATTCTTCTCTTTCCAGCTGAACTTGGTGACTACGACCCTGCTGAACACATCCCTGATATAGTTTCAGAGTTCAGGTTTGTGCCCGAGCAAACTGAAGACATGGAACTCGCCATTTTTGAGAAGTGGAAGGAATACAGGTAAAAAATCTCAAATGGTAAATTGCCACATCCATCCAACGCATACCATTGTATGCATTGCTTTCTTTTGCTGAGTGAAAGGGGACTTTAAATTCCTATGAATACCTTCCTGAGTGTTGGTGTTGTATTTCTGTTGAGACAAACTAGAACATAGTCCAAAAGCTGTCTTCATTTTCTGAAGCAATCACAGCAAGCTACAAGACACATCTAAGACCAGATAGTATCATCTGGACAATAGGGTATGCATTTTATGCAGTCTACAGCCTTAGCACTTCTTGATGTTATCAATACAGGTCTGTAAGCTTCCACAGCTTAATTTAGCAGTTCAGTATTTTCTTAGCCCCTTGATTTCAAAACAAAACTCAAGTTGGCCATTATTAAAACTGAGTCGAGATGAGCACTATTTGGCTTGCTCTACATATATCAAGTTCCCCTTTTTTGTATTCTTTCTGTAACCTCACTTTTTTATCAAGGCATGTTATTTTTAACTTCATGTGATTTTTGTGTAATATAAATCATTTCAGGGGGCAAACACCAGCTCAGGCAGAAACAAATTATTTGAACAAAGCAAAATGGCTGGAAATGTATGGAGTAGACATGCATATAGTCAAGGTAAGTTTATGGTTGTAGGCCGTGCTTTTGGGAACGTTATTTTTAGTACTTCTATAAACATAAAAATACCTAAACTTGCAGTCTTTGTAGCAATGAGTGGGATCTGCTTCTTATAATAGCCTAGTCTGCTTACCTATACAAGTTACGGAGGACAATTTAGTTAATACATATCTTGCTGTGCATCTGCCAGAAATGGCTATGATCTGAAGCTACTGCTTATATACCCAGCTGCTATAACAACAACCACATTTGTGAGCTTACCAAAGGTTGGCTGCATGGCTGGGTGGGGACTTTAACCCTGGTCTCCCATGTCAAAGTCCAACAATGGATCTCTAGACCAGACACAGTGAATTTATTATCCCAGTGTATTTTGTAGCTAAGAAATGAATTGCTCTGAAATTCTTAATCATAATGTTAAACATATTCGGAATAAATATAAATCGTGGAAGTCTTGAGAGATGAGTGCTGAAAATAAACTGAGATTTAATATTGTTTGACTTAGGACCAGGTTTGCAGCCTAATGTTAAGTAATTCTCAAGAAACCACAAATGATAAAGCATAAATGTAGCTTTCAGTGTAGATTAATATAAGTGAAATGTTCTATGTAACTATGTATGTTTCTAGAATTCATATCTGTCAGCTTGGCTTGATCAAATCCTCAGAGCAGCAGACAATGTCCTTATAAGCAGTGAAAATAATATCCAAAGATAAAATATTTAATAAAACAAAAAATAATAATAGAATAAATGCTTGGTAAGGGGCTTGTTAATAACATCTGTGACTAAGGCCTTTAATTTTGCTGCAGTATCTTAACAGTGAATGAAAGTATAATTAAAGTAACTTGTACCAGCATAAAGTCACATCTGTAGGAATATTCTAATCTAATTTGTATCCCTCTTAGGCAAGAGATGGAAATGATTATAGCCTCGGACTAACACCCACAGGAGTTCTTGTGTTTGAAGGAGAAACTAAGATTGGATTGTTCTTCTGGTAAGCAGAATAATTTATAAAATAAATTATTTTAGGGTCTGCAGCCTAGCCCTAGGCTAGAATTTGTAAGTCTTGTAAGCAAGCACGGTTCTATGTTGGCATTCTCTGTGATTTGCCATAACAGAGCTCTAGGTGTATTGTGAATGGGTGGAATGATTCTTGAAAATGGCTGTACAGCTATTTAGTTTGGGCTTTTGAGAAATTAATGTCTGTGTTAGGCTGCGTGTTTATATGTAAAAAAGAGTGGTTTTTCCTGAGAGTGCAGATATGTCTGGGTATGGGACATTTATTCAGTAGGATGAGTGTATACTTCTCATTCACTGGAAGGAACTAAGAAATTGGTCTACATGAATCAAGCATAAACATTCAAAATCAGAAAATTCAATTAGAATTTCCCTTTAAAAAACTCATTTAACATTGACATTTGTGTTAAAGCACCCCATGGTTAAACTTGTAATTTTTAAATATTAATTTATAGCACAAGATAATAGCTGGTGTTCTTGCCGTTACATAGGTTTTTGTAAAATATGTTTTTACTAGGTGCTGTATGAATTGTGGTGCAATTGCAGTAAAGTACATACATCTTTTACATTTTAACTTTTTCCCATTGCAGGCCGAAGATCACTAGGTTGGACTTCAGAAAGAATAAATTAACACTAGTGGTGGTTGAAGATGATGAACAGGTAGAAGGAAGTCTTTGTTCATCTTGCTTCTATTGTTGTGAGTTAGTTTAAGCATAAGTATCGTAGCCAAAATAAATTAAGGATGGTTGTGGGTGATAACGTAAACATTTTTCCTATTGATTGTAATAGGCACTTAGTGAAAATTATTGTTTGAAAGTGAATAGTGACCTGTCATATTCTGAAGAGACTGTCCTTAAAATTTATTTTTCTACCCAAGAATGAATAATGAATAACTATTACAGATAGTTGAAACATTTACCTAATTGTTGAAACATAGTATCATTTTAACACCAACAGGCATTGTTCATCTTCTTGAAGTAACACAGTGTTACTTGATCTCCTCCACATACAGTATTAGTATTCTTGTATTCCATTCTTCCACCAAGTTACTCAAGCCAGCACTAGTTTGTTCATCTGCCACCCCCTCCAACTTTATCCTCATAATAGTCCAATGAGATATAGGCTGAAAGTTACAAGCCTAAGATCAATCACTCAGTGAGAGCATCATGGCTGAATGAGGATTTTAACCTGGCTACTTCTCCCAGGCTAGGGTTCAGTATTCTAATCACTAATAATACACTGGATTTCAAGAGTGATCTTTAAATTTCTACCAATAGTAATGTGAGTTTTCTTCCTCTTTGCATTTGATAAGGCATATTGCTACAGAAGCAGCACTACCATTCTTTGTTTATATTAAGTATGGAGAAATTTGGCTGACTTTGTATTACTTCCAAGTAAAAATATGTTGGATTTTAAGTGCCTAATTAGTGTGTGTTGATTGATTTGGTAAAGAAACTAGAAAATCAGCCTAAGGGAAGGCAGATTGTAAACACTGGTACTCCAAGCCTTCTTTAAAAAGAAGTAAAAAATGGTTTTAATAAATAAATGTCAACTATCTTGAACAAACCACTTGGAAAATAGAAATGCAATCTTTTGCATTCTGTTTGTCTTCTTCTTGTCAGGCTACTCAAGTTGTTGAAAACCATTATTCTCCTCCCCACTCCCAATCCACAGTCAGCACAAAGTATAGCAGCTCCTATGTCAAGAAGGCAACACATCGCTCAGCAAGATCACATGTCTTCAGTTGTGGCTTGGCATTTTTAAAGAAGTTGTGCAGTTTTCCCTTTAAGTGACTAGCACTGTATAACATGTTTTATAATTGTAATGCTTTTTTCTGTCATAATAACAAAAAAGATAAACTGATCCTCTGCTATTTATCTCCCTGGCTTATTCTGTGTCAAGGAAACAGGAAGAACTTGTTATATCAGTAATGCTATAAAATACTGAGAGCACATTGTTCTCTTCAGTATTTTATAACATTCTTGGTTGAACTTACCTTTGAGTTATGGGTTCTATGAATGCCTGCAATTCGTGACTCTAGCTGCGATAATCTGAAGGTAGCATTCATAGTAGTTTTCTAAATGCTCCTGTGGTGGTCCTTCCCCCCCCCCCCCAGGGCAAGGAGCAGGAGCACACTTTTGTCTTTAGGCTGGATCACCCAAAGGCCTGCAAACATTTGTGGAAATGTGCAGTTGAGCATCATGCCTTCTTCCGCCTCCGTGGACCCGTCCAAAAAGGTTCCAGTCGGTCAAGCTTCATTCGGCTGGGGTCAAGGTTCAGATACAGGTCAGCAGTCCCTTTTGTTCAATACCTTCTTCCCTGACTTTTTCTCAGATAAGGCACAGGAAAGAAAGCTGGTCCATGGTTTTGTTTATAGTAGTCACTACTCTAGATTCCTATTGGCATAAAGGGAAAGGATTGAAAGAGGCACTTAGCTCAGTCAAAATAGTCTGTAGGCATGGAAAATCTGCTGCGTGTTAAGCCTTTCTGCTGCTGTGCTCTGCGAAATACCAAAGCCTAACTTTTACCTTGGCCAAATCCAGAAAAGACTGAATTTCTAGATCTCGTGATTAGAGAAAGAAGCCTGAACTGTTTTTGCATATGCTTATTTATTGGAGGAAATAGATCTGTAGTTACTCAGCTTGAGTATACATCCTTCCCTACTTTCCCTCCCCCATTTAGGGGATAAAGCATTAAAAAACATTAAACTGAGCCCATGAACAGATTGGTAGTCAGGGGAGTCAATGTAATATTGGTGTCTTCAGATCTGATGATTGGGCTCCTGTCAGCAGTTCAGCTGCTCATTTTGAACCAATTAAGTTCCCAAATGCTTTTCAAAGGAAGCACAGTGTGGAACACATTCCACAGTGATCTAAGATGGTTGTAACCATTGGATGTGGAACTGTGGCCATTTCTCTTCTCCAGTAGTTATAGCCGGCTCACCAGTTGAAACTGTATTGAAAAGGGCTATGTCAAAGAGCACTCCCATTCTACAAAACTGCTCTAGTAGGTACTAGTGAATCCTTGTGTTTTCTCCACCGCGTCTTTTGGCTGACTTGCACACAAAGTGTAGAGATGATTTAATGAAAGTGGGGGTAAAGTTTAGCTTCTACAGATGTAGATTTTTGTGGTGAAACTGATATTTTTGGCACAAAATATATACAGTTGCAGTAATTATCAGCTGAGTGCACATGGACTATGGTTTTCATCCTATTCACGTTTCTTGTTTCATTCCATTTTTCCTTGTCTCTGCTTTGTTCTTGGATTTTATACTATATCATCTGGTAAAGATCATGTCTGTTTAATATGATTATAGAAACTAATAGTATGTATATGACTGGCTTTAAATAAAACAAAAGCACATGAGAACTAAGCGTTTAGAAGAGCAAGGATAATTGGGTGCTGTCGCTTACATCAACTTTTCAAATATAAATGTTTTCTCTTGTTCTTTCCACTTCAATCTAGTGGGAAAACAGAGTACCAGACAACAAAGACCAACAAAGCCAGACGATCGGCATCTTTTGAAAGAAGGCCTAGCAAGCGATACTCAAGGAGAACACTACAAATGAGAGGTAGCTTGACTCATTGGTAGGCGGTGCCACTCGACTTGATCCAAATTACTACTTTGACTTACACTAACTAAGAGAATACCTGATCCCCATGCTGTAGCTTAAACTGTTTTTGAAACTAAAAGGTGCTTAATAACTATTGTGGCATGAGTGTAGAGCCTGATGTTTCAGAATATCAAATCCACCCCCTTGAGTTCCTAGAGCCAGTGTCTTTGGATCCTTGCCCGTTCTACAAACAGCATACAATATTGTTAATGGGGCAATTGCCTGGACTTTCCTTCCCTGTCTTCCAACTTATCCATTGCATTTACTAGGGCTGTGCCAGGCACCCACAGTTCGGCTCAGGGCCCAATTGGTGATCCTGATCATGCTCAATCTGGGCTATGAGCTGGACTTGGGGCCTTTCATAGTTCTAATGTTTATTCAGCATTTGAAACCCTAATGAACCATGTGTTTGATGACAAGGGGACTCTTACCTGCATCATCTTCTCTCCCCCACCTGTTGCTGCCTGAACACCCTCTCCCCTTTTGGCAACCCCAGACCACTCCAGGTGAACCTAGGGTGCTTGGGGCTGCTTCAACCCAGTCTAGACAAATCATGGATCTGCCAGAATCCATTTGGAATCTTGGATTTGTCTGGACTGGATGCAAGGCCCTAGTATTTAGTGGAAGTGTCTGTGAAAGGTGGTAAAGCTGCATGATAGGTAACCCTGCAAATAGTATATGCCTATTTCCCCGCACATTCTAAGTTTTAGTCTGTTTTAAAGTGTGTCCCTAACACTTTGCACAAGTATCTTTGGAAAAAAATAATGCAAGCTTTTTGATATTGTGTAATTTTTTTGTTTTATTACAGGAAACACTCATAAATCTGAAGAAACTAGGTAAGAGGACCTGTCGGCATTAGGCTTCCACAGTAAAGATTTATTCCATGAATATGTCTTGGTCATCTCTATAGGATTATCAGGAATATTCTCTGATAATATGTTAAAAGCCCCTTTCCTGTTGCTTACGTATTTTTTCATGAATTAGACACCATTCAAATTAAACAGTAAAACTCATGCAAGGCAGAGAGCTTAAAAGCTCTTTCCATGCCACATTTTCCTGCCATGGAAAGAGCTTTGTAAGCTCTGCCTTGCTTACCAGGCTCTGGGAAGGTCTTGCACAGACTCTGGAGATCTCACAAGACCTTGGGATAACCCTGCAAGATTTCCCAGGAGTCCACAACCTCCGAGTGCCCAGTACACAAAGCTTGTTTGGTGTGCTGGCTTTGGAAATGTAGGCATGGTCACACTGGGCTTGTTCTGACTATACACAATTTTGGCTTCACATGCTATCCCCCAGAGTGTAACCCCCCCCACAAGATGCGATCCTACTGTACTTATTTTTTTACTCCTTTTCTTAGTTAGTGAAAGAGGTAGGTAGCCTCATGGGAGTCTGCCATCTTCCCTCTACTTATTTTTAATGGTGGTATTAGGATATCATGGTATGTTCACCGTAGAGCTAATCAATTCTATGTTTGACTATGCTTGCTAATTAACATTGCTGATTAAAATTGATTTTAAAAGATGCATGTCGTTTCACTGAAAGTTATTAGATCAGCAATGAATTTTTTGCTGTTGTTGAAAGAAGTGCTCTTTCATACCTGCTTTTTATGGTGTGGTGTTTGACTTAACGGATCTGTGCAAGTTAGCTTCATGTGGAAACCACAACAACCATGCCTTGATGGAACTGGAAACATACACAGATAAGATAAATTAATGTGTTTTGGTTCCAGGCATCAGGGCTCAGTATTTCACTCTTACCATCGTTGAAAATTTGGCTTTGATTTATTGCACTCCTACTCCTGATTGATAAGATTTGCCTTGATAAGTTCTGCCTACCAGAACTTCATATGGATTATGATGGCTTAGGAAAAAGTCCAGCATATGTGTGAGATCTTAGTGTAAAACAGTCAAAGTAAGGGCTGCTTTGGAGTCAAGTGATGCATACAAATGTAAATACAGAAAATGCTGGTTTGGCCTCAGTTTTATTTATTTATTAATGTCCCTGTTGCTGATCCTACTTGGAGCTGGCAGACCCAGATAAGCCTTAAAATCCTAACAGTTTGATCTTTGATAAATTAACTTTAAACTATTGGTTTTTTCCCCCATTTCAGCCTTCCGAATAATGTTTTCAGCCAAAATAATGGATCACAGCAAGTAAGTTTGTCTAAGCTGTTTACTTAACATTTTTCTAAGTCTTTGCGTCAAAAGTAAACTAATCTCAAATGCAGTTGCCTTGACCTCAGAATTTAGAACCTGTAGTAAATGGAAAGTTGGATCATTTGGTTCTCTTGGCCATAAATGTTAAGCTAATATGAAAATTTACAAACCAAAGTAGAAAACCTTGTGTTCTCATTTTCAAGGCTTAAAAAAACCCAATGAAGGCAAAACTACATTTTTGCTTTGTATTTTGTCTTTCAAGAACTGGAGTGCAATGCCCGCCCTACCCTCAGTTACAGCAGTTCCTTCTGGGCCAGTCTTAGTTGAAATAGAAAATCTCCCACGGAGTCCTGGGACCAGCCAGCAAGACAAGAAATGGTGCGTCACTCTGGTCTCACTTTGCTCTGATTTGGAAATGATGAGTTATTGGTCATTTCACATACCTTTCCTGCAACTGATATTGTTCATATTTGTGTCTTCTAAGAAGAATATATTGTTGTGGGGGTCATAGATTGTTCTTTTCAGCCTAATTTGGATACTTTGTCAATTCATAATTTGCAGTCCCAGTGTTGCTGGGTAGCACCTTGCTATTGTGCACCCTCATTATGTGCTCCCGCAGTGAAGTGAGTTGAATGACTTGTCCTTCAACCAGGATTGTGCTCTAAGTTCTGGCCAGATGAGAAAAGCCATACTTTTCATTACTGCAGGCTTTTCTTCAAAAAAAATTATAAAACCATCAAGCTTCACAGCTGCAGGTTTTTGGTTTTTGGTTTGTTTTTTGCAGTGACCAGGAGGGGTTCACTTAAGAAAATGGAAAAGGTTGCAAATAAGAGCTTATATTTCATTTAAATTCCTTTTCCTGATGGTCCAGGCTCTGGCTATCCATCAAGATAAGACCATATTACTTAGCTTTCAGCCCCATTCTGACTCAAAAATACTTTTTGCTTCAAAGGGGACAATTTAATCTTGGAGAAAAACTTTTAATTCTCTCAGACATTTTTAAAAACTGCAGCATTACAATGCAGTAGACTTAAAATTTATCTTAGGCTGTTCCATCCATGCAGTGAACCTTTGACATGTGATCATAATCTGATTTGTTTTGCTTTTGTACAACTTATTTATTTGATCTCATTTAATTTGTATGCTATTTAATTGAAAGAAACATACTTCGAAGTGGTTATAACAGTGATACAGCAAGTATCACTAATTTGTGGTCCTAATTGTTCAGATGTATTTGTCTTTTATGCAAACTTAGCTAATTGTATCTGTTGACTTAAAAATGCTCTTGACTTTGGCTTTATATCTTGAAGCTGTTCTGAGCTATGATCAAAAACATAATCAAAAGGTGCTTTCTCTTTTCTCTTGCCCTTGATTTATCCAGTGTCTGAAATTGGAGGTTTTTCTCTTGAGCTCTTGGTTGCTCTGTCAGTTTCTTCCTTCCCACTGGTGGTGATTGTAAGGTGGTGATACTTTATTTTTTAAATTCTGTTTTGCCTTATTGGTATGATGGCCTGTCTTGCATAAGCTCAGTATAACTGCTGTGCACATGCTTTTTGGTAACATTCTTGTGTGTGGTCCTTAGACTCCAGCTCCAAACAGCTCTGACTATGCTTTAACAGCCTTCTAGCGATTTATCAAGGAGTTGCTGCTTCTAAGAATATAAATGGTGTATTTAGAAATGTGCACAGCAGTGATTGTGCTGTGAATTGCAGAATTTGGAAAACTTCAATTTGCTCCCGTTCTCCTTCTAAAATGGGTGGGGAGCTGTGGACCTCCAGATGATGTTAAACTCCAAATCCCATTACCCCAAACTGTTACAGTCAGTGATCAGGGATGGTGGGAGTTGCAGTCCAGCATCATATTGCTCGAGAGGTTTTCCCTTTTTTATACCCAGTACAATTGCGAAGAAAAGTAAGTGTGTGGTAACTTCAATTAAGGCTATTGCTACATGTAGTTCCCTTCATTAATATTAATTAAAATTTCAAAGTGTGTATAATCACATATAGTATATACACATCTCTTCCACTGAGAGAAATTGCCAATTTGGCTTCCCACCACAAGAGCCTGCTGTAAAATAGGCATATATGAGTCACTAGGGCGGTCAGATACAAAAGACAGCAGAGTGCCTGCACTTTTAATAGCTGTGTAAAAGAAGGAATTAATTATAGCAGGTACAGTTGGTTGCCCTAGATATACATATGGGCTACACACTCCTATGCCACTGCTATGTAAAAAAGGACCATTTTGGAAGTACGGTAGCTGTTACGAGCTACAGAAACCTTAATAGATAAGAAAGGGTTGTTTTTCACCATAGTTCCTGTTCCATCAACCCCTGGATATTATAGCTTTTCCATCCATGTGTTGCAGTGGTCTATTCCAACCTTAGTGGCACAAGGAGAACTTTTTAACTGTAGCAGACGTGCATGTTCGATAAAACTTGTCACACAACCTGTCTGTTTATCCTCGCCCTGTGTGCCTATACTGGCTCTGGGCGCTTGGAGGAAAACATGGACCATGTGTTCAGAACTTCAGGTGTAAGTTCGCTTCAGCAGTAGCCCAGTATGTGATATGGGCAGTATATTGAGTAGATCCTACATCACCTTGGGATTTTGTGGGGAAATCTGCATTCTTCCATTTCAGAATTAAATATTCATCAAGCAGCCTACATTTTTGTTATTCTGCATGGTACGGCCCAGTTCACAGATGATGTTAAAACATTAGTTTAATGCAAAGATTAAATGCTCATTTTTGGCTTACTCCTCATAGTAAGCCACCAGTGATGGTTCTTGCACAGCACTAAGCCAACATCTGGTTTTGTTTAATGGTGGAACAGCACAGCAGCAGTGGGAGAGGAGTAAAATGGACACTCATGAGAATCCTGCCCCAGTATGCTGCTTGTTCACATTAAACAGGTGTTTGTTTCTAACTATGATTTAATGTTATACATGAACTCGGCATGTATGTGTGCATTTTAACAGGTTGTGCTGCTATTCTCAGGGGTCAGGGGAAGGGGAAGCAGTAAAGAATTGTTTGGAGCTGTATGGTCAGTCAAGTGTGTTGCGTTCAGTCTGAAGTTTGGAATGAGATTAAGCTGGATGCATTGATGGAATGTGTGTCTCTGCTTGGAGGAGAGTGACTTGAATGTCTCGATGCTGCCTATGGGGCTTTCCTGCATCAACCTCTTATCCCTTTTAATTGGTCTGGTCCCACAGCTTGGCTTTGGTCTTGCTCCTTTCACTTCATCAGCCTTCTTTAGAGAATTTTTATTTAAGCTCAAAATTGTTAGAACTATGGTGCATTGAACGTCTTAATTTGGTAAAGGATCTGAACATTTTTAAAGGAATGGTTCTTTGCATGTATGGAAACGTGGCTGTGTTTCATTATGTCATTTTTAGACATAATTTGAGCTGCAGTGCTGACAGTGCCACTCAAAAGGATAAGCAATGCAACACCATTCAGAGAGTTTACTATGAGTTCACATTTTTTATTGTGGAGGTTCCTAATCTATTGATTGTGAAGACAAGGATATTCAGTGTAAACTCCAAAGTTAGGTTTGCACTTAGGTTTTACAGGATTGTCAAGGTTAATTCCTGATCATAAGGCACTATTGAAATCTTGCTCTGTGTTTAAGGGGCGAATGAGCAGCCTGTGTCTTCTCAAATTCACATTCAATTTTAAACATGTTTGTTGCTGCCTTGATAGTGGAACAGAGCAGATATGGGGCTAGGATGTCAGGTGCTGGTGATCCATCTTCAGGGATTACCAGCTCCCATGAGAACAAAGAATAGGGCCATCTTGAGCAGACCTGCCCAGATGTTCCAAGTTCCACTCCTACCCTCCATTAGGCTAATAGACATTAGTCTAGGCTAACAGTGTGAACACCTGTAGGGTCTTGTGTAGCTGTACATGCAAAGACTTCCACAAACTCTGGAACCCTGAAATTTATTGCTGGCAGCCATTATGATGAGCTGTTCATAAAGGTGGTGTTTTAATTCATACGGCAATGATCCAGATACTCAACATAAGAAACAGGAGTTGATTTGATTTGAAATTGCTTCTAAAGAAGGCTTCTTTGCAATAGGCTTGGTATCTTGCATGCTTTTCAAATCTCCTTTACTCTGATGTGCATATTCTTCCTGCGATGCTGCTTGATTGCATAGTGATGCGATTTTAGTGGAACATTACAACAGACAGAACTGTCATACTGTATTTTCCAAAATGGAAAAGTTGATCAGTAGCGGTCTCACAACCATACTGATAGGCTTTCCCCCAGTCTTCATTGGATAGTTGTTGTACTGTCAGTAGAACTACAGGCTTTAGGGCACAAGCTTTGAATATGGTTAAATATTCAGCACACACATATACATGCGTACACCCACACACTCCAGAAACCAGCCAAAGACTATCAGATACTCAAACTATCTAAGAAAAAAACCCTGAGAAAACTCCCCTCGTGTATACAGTAGCACCAAAAGTGGCATGGTACTGTTGAAAATAATAGTTATGACTGTTACTAATTATTAGATTGAAGGATTTAAGAATTCTAAAAGTCTTGTTCAGTTGAGTTGCCTTCCTTAGCTGGCTTTGGCAGCAACACTCAATTCAATCAAGTGTTCTGATCAAATTTAGTAGGAGTAAGTGTGGGAGACAGGAAGCCAAGCAAAGGTTTTTACTAATCTGCATTCTTAGGCAGTTTCCTGGTCAAAACCCCCACAGGCATTATAGTTATCTTTTGCTGTCATCCAAAATGGGCCTTCCTAAGTTTTCTTTGAACACACTAAGCTTTTGGGAAGTGCTTCATTCCATTTTAAAATCAGTGGTTATGCCAATAGGTAGGTGTAGAAGTTCAGATCTATAGATGCATTAATGCAGTTAATTTTAAAATACTTATTATTAGGAAATTTGGAATTCAGAACATAAAAGAATGTGATTCTGAATCCAGCTAAAAAGCAAACTTCCTTGATGTGTAATATTCAGGAACCAAGTATCCAAGATATCTTCAATATGGAGCAACTCCAGCTATGCTCATAGGCATTAATTAGCAGTAGAGCGGAGGAGAAAAAACTAGCCCTTCCTCTTTCTGAAGCGCTAAAGATTTTCTGTCATAACAAGATGGTTTTCCAAGACCATGCACTAATCAGAACTGGGCAAGTCCAGGACAGCTTCATTCATTAACACACTGTGTCTGCGTTAATGTTGAAAATTGCGCATATCTAAGAAGATTGATTTTGCAATTTCCTAAAATGAAATTTGGGTACAGAAAAAATGGCAGAAACCAGGCCAAGCAAGCAGGATCCAGATCAGTTAATTCTGAATAACATGTGCATGAAATACTCTTGTTTTTCCCTGGCCATGTTCGCATGCCATGTTAAACCATGGTTTAAGCATTATATGGATAAGCCTTCCTGAGCTCAGAGCGTCAGGCTTCTGCATTTTCCCCCTCCCCTCACTTGTGCAGCAAGGATGAGGACTTCTTCTGTGTTATCTTTGCTGCTTACCATTGCATATGAACCAGAGGTCCTGGTTTAAAACAAACAAACAGTAATTAGTTACACACGCAAACTTCATAATCATGGTTTGAAGCTGACTTGTTCAGAAACTAGTCATGCGAACTGGGCCACAGTGTTTATGGTGAGCTTCTTTATCATTCTTCCTTGCTTCAGACTCAAAAACTATTTTCTGATACGTCAAAGTAGTTCTCCTGTTAAGAATAGTATGTTTGTCCTAAATGTTTAACAGTGTCATTTAAATCCTTTATCGCTGCTGTGCCTATCAGGTATTTTGCTTAAAGAAGGAATATAGTGTTAAGCCTGCACATTTAGGCAAATCTATAGCCATTCATATTATAGTAAACCATGATAAGCCAGTGGGCTGGATAGGTATCTGCATTCATTTCTAATTTCATTTTCTGAATGGAGTAGATGCCATGTGAAAAAGTGGGGGAGTATTCAAATTAACTGTTGCATTGGTCACCCTGAAACCAGCATGACATCATAGCAGCCGTGGAGGGTTTGACTTGACAGTCCACAGTTTCATTTCATTAAACCACGCATTGTGCTTGCCGCTAAACAAGTTTGTTCTTGCTAGTCTGCCACTTCCTCAGCTACCTCTTGCTCCTTCCATTCTCTCTCCTCATTTGTGTCTAGATACTAACTGTGCCTCATCCCATTCCCCAAACCAATCCAGGCCCCATGATGCTGGTGACTGCTGTCAACGTGGTGGAAGTGCATGGAACGCGTGGTCCCCACCCTCGGCCCACTCAGTGGATAGACACCACTACCGTGACTTTGTCCGTGACCGCAATGTGAAGAATGCAGGAATGTACAGACAGGCTTTTGGTTCTGGTGTCCAAACCTCTGTGACTGACCTGTAGGACTTTTGACCTTTAGGAAGCCTTGATTGTTCCCTGTGACACCCTGGAACTTTGAAGGACAGGAGAAGACATCTTTTAAAAATAATTAACCTATGTGCTGAAACACCTGAATATGAAGGAATAGCTTTCTAGGTATTTCTCTTTCCACTTAAGAGAAAATACCTTAAGTTTTTTCTTAGTGGAAGAAAGGTTTAAATAGCTTCCTTGGTTGTAACAAAGCTGCATATTCTAACCATAGAAACTATATTTTGTTCTCAAAGTGTTTCAAGTAAGCATAGCTACCATGAGCAGTTTAATTGTGCTTGACATGATCTTTTAACTGTTTTATATTTTTTAAAAATAGAGGAGATGGCAACTGGCAGGTGAAGGCTGCTCCTTTTTAGTTCTTCTGCACTTTTAATAATGTGCCTAACTGGATATTAAATAGAATTATACTTTTGATATTAAAAATAAAAAGCTTTTAAGGAAACCTGAAGGACCTCTAAGTAGGTTGTCTGAGAGTGTCTTTCTGAGATGTTTTTCTTGAATGCAAAAACCTGTTCAATTGTGTTTCCTGGAAAAGCATGTCAGCTTGCCAGTATCCTTATTGATGTGACCAGTTCAGGTTGTATGATGTAGCTGCATGTGACCAGTTTTCTTCTGCTTCGAAAATGCTAGTTCAACAATGCAGTAACAGCAAAAACAAAGAGGTGCCTCCCTGCAATCTCAGGGGCTGAGAATCATGAGCCATTTACATCTCCTTCATTACTCCCTTATCTTCTTTGGAAGAAAAATTGTTCTGCAGCCTTCCCAGCTTCCCACATGTCAGTTTGAAGTCCATGACATTAGATAATTCATCCCTTAGAGCTTTTCTAATTTGAAGGCACAGGCATCTAGGAGGCTGCAGAGCACTGGAAAAATGTTTACTATAAAGAAAAACACAGAAAACTAAAGCCAGCTTGCAACAATAAACTAAATTCAGTCCTGCACCAACAAAATTCTAAAGAAAACAGAAGCCTCTTTTGCAAGGGAAGAAAAATTAGGAGGGCACAGATGTTGGCACAGCTCTACTTTACACTGCATAGATGCAATGTTAAACCACCTAGAAGGGTTGTAGAGGGTTTATTTGTAGTCACTCCATTGAAATGTCAGATGATGCATAGCAATGATTGCTCTGGATTAGAGAAGCTTGGAGTTAAACAATAACAAAGCTTAAAAACAAAAGTTGAAAAATAACCAGCTTTATCAAGCTGCACTTCGTTTGTGGTTATTTGCTTAAAGATAAATAAACATTAAAAGGAGTCCAGGGCATCTAAGCCAAGTCAGTTACTAGCCTCACTTTTTGCCAGCCCCTAGAGGTATCAAAAGACTTTAAAAAAGGCTCATGCTACCCTGAGCACAGGGCAGGGTTGGATTAGAAAAATGTGTCCCTCTCCCAAATCCTGCTACCCTCTGCCCTCAGTGTTACACTGCCTGTGCGGAGCTCCCTCTTCCATTTTGTTAGGGGGATCTCTACTTATGGAAGCACACAGACAATCCCTAAATGGAGCATTCCAGGAAGGGGGCTGAGCTGACCCAAAATCTTCTGGATCTCAATATGGGCCCGCTGCGATCACTTGATGCTTTTGCCTGCCTTCTGCCCAGGCCAGTTTAAGTGATGTGGCTGTGTACACACTTGCAAACTGCTCATCATTATGATTGGAAGAGGGAGACATTGTGAAACATAGGAACCTTAGAGGCTACAACACATCATTTCCCCATCCTGAATGGAAACCTGCGCACACAGCACAGAATACTTTCTCAACATTTGTTAAGTAGGGTGCATTCTAAACGTACTGTACCTCCCAAGTCTTAAAACCCACCGGCAGCCATCTCTTTGGCGCATACCTCTTTATATGTGTGGATCGGGGCACTAATTCAATCATGGTATTAGAAATGTACTAGAAAAATCACACCTCGTTTTATTTCCTAATATCAGCCAGCCATGGTGGACATGATGAGAAGCAGATATTGTGGTCAGAAGTTCCCTCTCTCACACACACCATTATGGTTAGCATAGCACTTTGTGTATCTTTGCCGGCTACAGGATGTTCTCCTCCCTGTTAACTATACTGTGCATTCTCTTGCGGGGAGAGTGCACTATAGTTTGGGAACCACAGCACTACAAGGTAATGTATTAATCTCCATTTTGTGAAAATCAACGAATGAAATGGAAGTTGAGAACCAGTGAAATCAATAAAGCAGCCTAACTTCTTAGATTGTTTTCTATGGGAGAGCAGCAGTTCTCTTCATCACAGAAGATAACTTCTTTCCCATTCCACCCTCTGGGTCTCCTCCCTCCCTACTCCCCACCTACATAAAATGTGGCTGAGATCTGCAAGTTATCCACCTCAGACTTGCACAAAGCTTTGGTGAGAATTGCACTAGAGATTTGGGTTGGGATGTCATCAATATTCTGATGACACTTGGCTGCATCTTTTGTGTACATGTTTTGTTTCCAGAGCAGTGGTGTTTCTGAAAATAGTGATTAGTATCAGAACTAAAGTGGATGGGGGCAACCAAACTTAAAGCAGACATGATAGCAGTCCTGTTGCTTAGAGGGTCTGGAAGTAGAGTAAGCTGCTCTGGATAATGTTCCATTCTCTTAGAGATCAGGTTCACAAGTTGCATTTGCTTCTGGATGTCCCAAGTGGTGGGGGTGCTTTTTATCAGCTTTAGTTTGTATACCAGCAATTACTGGTTTTTTCAAGTCCTTTGCCCACAGATTGTATGCCATGTATAGTCTCTGTGCTATTAAAAAGTGGAGAAATTGGGTGGGTGGGACATACAGATGAATTATGCATAATGATCTACAGCAGGTGAGTGGATCTGACATTTGCTGCTGCACTGCAACATGCACAGGTAAACTGGGTCAAGCAACCATTAAAAATAAAAGTTAAGATGGCAGAGATGCCCACCCCTTCCAGTGCATAACCACGTCCTTTTTCTTTTCCCACCTTCTGCAGGTTGGAGAATGAGCTTCTGAAATAGGAACCTTCTGTACTATTGGGCCTCCCATAAGATTTAGAACCCTGGATAATCAAAGTTCTAAGTCATGGGGGGAAACTCCATGAGTACAGGATCTCCCTGCTTTAAAAGTTTGCCCTCATGCACCAGAGGGCATAGAGACAGATGGTAGGGAACCTTTGGCCCTCCAGACATTGCTGAACTGCAAGCATGACCAATGACCACAGGTGGTGGGAGCTGGTAGTTCATGAACATCTGAAGAGCCAAAGCTTCCCCACACCAGGGGATAGAGTTTTGAGCCTTCCCTTGCTCTCCTTAGCTGTTTGTTATATGAAGAAACTGAACAGCCAAATAGAGTCAGTGAAGAAGGTTTTTCTTTGATACATGGTAACTTCATGAGATGATGATCATGAAATGTAATCAAAGGTTGCAGTTTTCACAGTCTAGGTTGGGGAGGGTATTATAGCAAGGGTAGTGTTTTATCATGTGTATTTGGGAAGAGTGCTGCAGGAAAATGGAAGTGAAAGATGTTACCACAATAATTATTGTGACATGAAGAGTAAAAGAGAAGTGCTGTGTACTAAAGATTGTAAGGAGGATGAACAGAACACTTCCATTCTATTTCTTAGAATTGTTGTTGTTGGCATCAGTCTATCTTGAAAGACAATGGAGCGCACCTCTGGGGGCAAAGCCAAACCGCCAGAGAATCACAGCTGTGGCTGTGGCTGCAGTAACTACTGCCTCCTACATTGTTTTTGCTGTGTTAGCAGCACCAAAGTGATCTCTCCAGGGCGCAAGCCTGGGCGGTGTGTATGGACGTCTTGGGACAACATTAATTACATAAGATTGCCATCTGTATCCAGATCTTTTAAAAACAACTGTGAAAAAGCATCTGCATTATTAGCATGCCAGCTTCATTACAGATCAGGAAAAGCGCACATCAGTGGTTGCCAAATTGGAGTGCTTTGTTTAAAAATGCAAATAATCACTTGCTTAGGTGTTTGTGGTTTGCCTAACAGGAAAAGGTGGGTACCACAAGAATGTTCACATTCTAGAAAATAATTGTGTAATATCTGAGAGGGCCTCAGTCATAGATAGCATGGTGTTATGCTATTTATTTAAAGGATTATACTCTGCCTGGAGGAAAAAGCCCTCTCAAGGTAGCTTACAGAAATCTTTAAAAGCACATGCAAATGCCTGACCAATCCATACACTGTGATTTTTTAATTTTATTTTTAATGCTGGGTTGGAGCTTAAGGAGCCCTGCAGTTGTACTTGCATAGCACACAGCAGAAGGAGGGAACCCTTTTTCAGCTTGAACACCACATTTCCTTGTTGGCAACTTTTGGGGGTGCTGCATGGTGGATGGGGCAGAGCCATAGGTGAATGGATATGACCCTTCTCTTTTCTAGTCATGCAGAAGTCAGAGGTTTCTGAGCACTCATCTCTCTATCCAGGCAAGTAAGAGGCATTGTCTCAGTTCAAGGACTTCATTCCAGCAAAGCAAAAGGACTTAGGGAGGGCCTAGATCAAAAACGGTGTGGGTTGTCCTAAGGGCTGCATCAAGAGGCTCCTAGGCCTAAAGTTCCCCACCCTTGCTGCAGAAGCTTGCTTTGAATTGTTTGTGCCTAAAACCTTGTTTCCTTTTCATATCCCATGTAGTGTGCCCCTGATTGTTGATTTACTGGATAACAAGGAATTGTTGGAAACTTGTATTGACAATACTACTGATTTTCCTCCTGCCGGAGGGTCAGCTGAAGCTTTGGAACAAACAGGGCTTGGCTTCACTCCTCTTGGCACAAAGGAGCAACCCTCCGACAAGGCGGATCCTCTTGGTAAGGAAATTCCTGGTAGAATGGGAGTTACTGGGACATTTAAAATACCTGCTTACTTGTCTGTGATACTGCAAAGTATCTGATATGTATCTGGAAAGTATCTGGAACGCTTTAACGTTCAACAAGAATTGTGATCCTTCCTAACCTCCCAATGTGAGCTTATCTGCAACAGACCGCAGTTCTTAACAAAACAGTAGGATTTCCAGATGCTTCCAGCTGGTGCATATGCAATACTCATAAGTATGGTTGCACAGACGATGTTAAAAAAAACAGATAAATTACAGGAAAGTGTAATCCTGGCTTTAATAATTGACAGAAATGACAAAAGATTTTCAGAGCACCATTCCAGTCTTAGGTTGACTTATATCCTATCTCTATTTGAGCAGGTGAGGATGCATCATTGAAACTCAAACGGCTGGAAGCAGAACTCAACCCTTTGCTGGTTTCCCAGTCCAACATAAACATCAACAAACAGGTACTGAGTGTTCATTCCTCCCAAAGTTACTGAGTGTAAAGTTTAGGTTTCAGTGAAATTTGTTACTTTCCTGCTCTTCAGCCCTGCCTATATTCTGTTTTTGGGAAACCCCTGTAAAAGCTGAATAGATGCACGTGTGAATCTGATAGAAATTCTCTGGGGTCTTCCTGAATAATCTAGACTGGTTTACAGTCTGAGAGGTAGCAGTTGGCACCATATCTTTTTGGGAATACAGCTCCTTTAATTGAGAACAAATTTCCTCCTAAGACAGACAGCTTCTTGCAGGACAACTTCAGCCCCAAGGAGTCTCCATGCTAGTACATGAGAAACACTCCAGGTTACTGGCTCCCTGACCAAACAGAAGAACCAAGTGCATTTCCATGAGTGATGTGGAGCTGAACATCTGCTCCCACTCTGAGGCCCAGGTCATGTTCTCTAAAATAATTCACATGCAACAGTCCGTCTTAGCAGCATCAAGGAAATACTGTATGCGCTGACAAGGTCCACTAGATGCCAGCAATTCATGGGAACACAGGGGATATTTTTTCGTCCCCTGTGTTCATGCATGTCACCATCATAAACTTTTAGGGTTTCAGCAATTCACAACACACTTTTTTCTTTTGCCTGGTTTGGTGGGGATTTTGGTGCTTTAAGTCTACAAACAAGCATGTTAATGTGACCCTTGTCATCCAGCTGCATGCATACCTTCTGCAACCAACAAACAGATTATATCAGTGGGAGAGAGGGAAACTAACATCATATTCCTCCTCCGCTGTTCTTAGAATCAGCTCCAGCACAGAATCTTCTTTCCTCTAGCTAGCAGTGATAATGAAGGGAAGCCTGTGACTAGTTACTCCTCCATCATTCCCAGATCTAGCTAAAACTCAACAACAGCAGAGAGAATTCTGCATGGCCTTCTAATCATTTAATTGCTGTGAGACCACCGTGGGAGCCAATTTTTGGTTGAAAAGAAGGATGAAAAGGCAATGAGCTAATAAATAATGGGTCTTTTTTGCTCACTCTTTAGTTGCCAGGAGTAGCAGAGCATTGTAGCTTACTGAGAGTATTGAGGTACATGCAGGTCCTCATGGTTGTTTCTGTTTTCTGGGCTATGTTGAAGCACCTCACGAGGAAAAAGTAGTTACTTCTGAATGCTCACGTTTTCCTCAATGGCTTTCATTTGCCTTGTGCACAGTTCATGGCTAGTGTATTATAAAGATTACACAGTCTGTAAGAAGATTAGCCTTGGGGTTCTTTTCTGATGGCTCTTCCTCATAAACAGAAGTAAACACACTCAATCCTGATCAGTGTCTAAGTCTGTTTTTTTATTGTGCTTCAGCTTTAAAAGATGAAGAAAACAAGACCTCAAGTGATTAAGGAAATGAAGGTGTCTCAAATGATAACTAAAAATATGTGGACCCCCATGAGTATAGGTTATTTGTTCAACTTATGTATTCAGTTTATATTAACAAACAAATGCCATATGAATAGAACTAATGATTTTGTGCACGTTGGTACTTGCATAAACTAGGTTCTGTGTTAGGGAGTCTTTCACTGTGATTAAAAATGTGGAGGGTTATAGCTGCGTTTGCATAACTTATGTGTTTTTCAATATCAGACTATCCTATGCAAGGAACCCTTAAATCCAGAACAGATCACCATGTACTTAACCAGTTTTGTTACCATTAAATGGATTCTTTTAAGAGTGCCAAGTTATGTTTTATTTACCTCAGTGAAGGTGCAACTCACTTAAGCTTTATAAATCATCATTTCCTTTGCACCCAGAAGCACAAAGTAACACAGGAACCCTGTGTTACTCGCTGCCCTTTCAAATGCTTACAAATCGTGAATTTAATGCTCAGATAATATACAATAATGCAGATGTGGCCTAACTTAATTGTAGCTTTTAAACTTTTTAGAAAAGTTTTTTTTTCAGAAATGCTTGTATGTTTTATTTCATTTTGTACCTTTTTCTATAGGCTGGGGGTGGCTCCACAGCCATTTGTAGCGTCTGTCCCTCACTGCTCAACTTATTTCTTTCCCACACTAACCTTAACCCTCCTTATGTGCAAAATATTCATATAGCAAATAAGCAATTGTACCCGAGGGCTAAAACTTGCTAATTTTCTGGACTTCTCAAAATGGTTTAATATTTTACTATTACTTATGATAGCATAATGTAGGGATAATGCTGAAGTCTTGTGGGAGGACAGACCTTCCAACAAGCTCAGCAACAAGATGAGAACCACAAATCATTGGCTCTCTATTTAGCTGTAGAGGTTTTATCTCACTGCAGTGGGTCCTATAACTTCCCCCCAAATGGAATTCTGAAATACCTTCAGATTCCTTTCATAAACTGATGATGCAGATAGTTTAAAATTTAGTTTGCTTTGCCAGCGTTTATTTTCTTACGTTAGGACAGCAGTGAAATATTTTGTTGGAAAATAATCTCCCTGTTTCATGTTTGAAACTGTAGTATGAATGGCCCTATTCTTACAAGAGAGTTGCTGTTGTTTTTGGCAGCTTGCTGGACTGGAAGCTTGCAGCGTTGGCAGTGCCAAGATCTAGACAATCATGCTGGCACTGAAGGGAGCAATTAATTTCTAAATGCACAGGCATTCTAGTTTCTTGAGTTTCTGGAATGTAGGGAACAATGCAAGCAAAACTTCATTAGTGATTTTTTAAAAAATGGTATTTTGTAAGATACTGAGCAATAGGTGGAAAAAAGTAGCTTGAAAACATGACTAAACTCCACGGAGAAGCACCTCAGAACGACTCTGCTGCTCCTGGGACCAAGTCAGCTCTTCTGAGTCCTGCTTTCTCTCTGGAACCCTTTGTGGTTGAGTTCACTTTTAAGGGCATTCTTGGAAGATTAAATACAACAGCAGACAGATTAAATAATCTGGACTTTGCTCAGCAACCATTGTGTCTCCAAATCACTATAATTCTGGTTGGAAGGCAGAAAGAAACCAGAGAGGCAAAAAGAATATTGCCTCTCCCCATTTGGACATCAACAAGGAAGAGGAAGGAGAAGAGGAGGGAGCTCATTTGGATAAAATAGTATCTTAACAGGAAATGGATTTTTAATGTGGAGGTAAAATTGGAAAATTACTTTTTGCTACAAGCATTTACAAAGTTTACGGGAATCAGAAATACCCCCCCCCCTCACCCTGGCCCCAATACCTTTTATTTTGTTTATTTATCAATATTTTATCCCACCTTTACTCCCAAGGAGCTCAAGGCAGCATACGCAGTTCTTTCTCCCTATTTTATCCTCACAACAACCCTTAGGTAGGTGAGAGACTGTGACTGGCCCAAGATCACCCAGTGAGTTTCATGGCTGAGAAAGGATTTAACCCTGGTCTCCCAGGTTCAACACTCTAACCACTATACCACACTCACTCTCTGTGTTTCCCTTTTTATCCCAGTTGTATACCTGCACTGATAAGCATGTGTTAATGAGCACGTGCCCCTCCGATTTAGCTCTGGTTTCTTAATACAGTGTGTGTTCCAAAACATTAGCAAGCAGACCTTGTTCCTAGTCAGAGCTTTTGCAAAATGCTCCAAATTGTATATACTGCTGTTGAAACCACACATCTCTGATTGCACAGGCTTTTCTCCAGTACACTGTATTCAGTCCTGCTTGTCTGTTTGAAGCGTAATTATTTACAGGTTCTGGTTTTGTGACCCCCGTTTGTGTGTCCTCTGTGCTGCTCCCGGTGGCTATTAATCTACCTAGATTCTCCCTAGAGAGATGCTGCTAATTAATGCACCTCTGTCACTTTGTAGCAGGAGGTGGTGAAGCTGACAGAGAAATGTCTCAACAATGCCATTGAGAGCCCAGTGAGTGCCTCTGTACGGCTGCCTCCAGACATCAAGAGCAACATTCTGAAGGCCCAGGCTGAGGCAGTGAACAAGGTAAGTGTTGTAATCCAAGCATTTGCCATTGTGATCAGTAAATGCACATTTCTGCAGTATTTTCTTTGAGTGACTTAGATCTTGCTAATATTCCTTGTGCCTGGTATGCAGATATTTTTAGTGGCTCCAGTTTTTGGAAAGCTAAGAAAATCCTGAGGGTGAAACTAATCTCTGTCGTCTTGCGCCCTCCCACTTTCTGTCTGTGGCTCTCATAGAATATTGATGAGTAGAGCTTTCCATTGTAGATGGCGTGCAAACCTTTTTCTCAGCAAGTGGTGGCTTTTTTTTTTATTTAGCATGAGAGAACCGTCCTTTGGCCCCTCACACCTTTCCACATGGTAGTGTAGAATTTTTCTTCTTTGCTGCTCCCCTCCATTCTAAAAGTCTTGCAAAATCTGCAGGTTGGAAGATTTGTTCTTGCTCATTCTTTTTATTTTCCCTCTTGATAAAAAATACCCTCGCAGAATAAAATGTCTATCTGATCTATAGGCTTCACCTGACCGTACTTTGCTTTGGGGCAGAAAGATGTAATTACTGATAACAAAAAGAGCTGTGGAATACCTTTCTTTCTTTATTAAATAAACATTTTGACTAGAGTCGATGATGCGCATTTGCTGTAGTTACAATGTTAAATGTTAGAATAGTTTCCTGAAAATCTGATGGTTCAAGCTCTCTGTCCCCTTGTCATAATTGGACCTTATAAGTCACAGGTGCTGCCACATAAAAAGTTGCTGCATTCTCTAATTCTCATTTCCAAAGCTGTCAGTTTAATATTACTCAGGAAATTATATTTAACAGGCACACTGTAGGATTCAGAGCCCAACTTGACTTTCAGATCACAAGTGATTGAATACGAATAAGTACTTGGGGTCATACTTGATGTGCTCATGCTGTACAGAAGCATCAAAGTGAGATATCTCTGAACGCTAAGCAGGCTACAAGATACAGTATGGTTTTCTATCTCAGTATCTGTTCTGTGCAGCCTGGCTCCCTGCTGGTTTTGAAAGTGTAATAACTTTTGTTAATCAGGGCATTTGGAGATAGCTATGGGGAGTGAGTGATTTGTATCTGCCTGTTTTTGATGCAACTATTTTGACCTTGCTGTGTGGTTGGTGTTTTGTTTTTGTTTTGTTTTTTGTCTTTCTTCCTTTTATTGTGGAGCTTAGTATTATACTTATTTTGTATTGTAAACCACTTTAGAAAGCCTAATAAGATGCAAAGGTGGTGTTTAAATTTTAAAATAAATATGTATTGGTATATGTTGCCCATGTAAAATGGGACTGTTTCAGTTCTGATCATTAGAACTCTATTCTGTTTCCTTTTCACAGTAAACATGTAGCCTGTCCTTGACCTGTTGCAGAGGAATGGCCTTGCTTTTTATAAAATCATAAATCTCTGCAAAATTCTCAGTTTCTGAAGTGTTCTGTTATGTCTCTTTTCTTTCAGGTCATGAGGGAGGACAGCATGTCCGGCAATAAGAACACCAACCTTCAAGATGCTGCTGGCAGGTATAGGCACTGAGGGTGAATTGTGCTGAGGGATTCAGGTATAACTGCGCTCATGGCAGTGTGGGCAGTTTGCTTCAGTTACTCTGTGAATCAAGAAGCCACATGGGAAAGGTTCCCATAAAATTGGAATTAGCTAGTAGTTTAGAAAGACTACTATTTCTGTTGTTATCACGAATGCTTAATTTACAAGTAGGCTTGACTGCTTGTCCCTTGAATTTATGAACCCAATGAAAGTGCTTAGCCCTTTAAAGAGAGAGAGAGAGATTACTTTTCCTCATTACTAGATTGGGAACCTGAGAGAGGGAGGATATCACCACCTGGCCTGCAGATCAAATGCAAGTATATGGAGGGTAGAGGAATTCCCATGGCTTAGTGTCACTTCTTGGCTGCCCTTCTGAGAGAGGCAGAAAAGGAATTAGTTTCAGTGCACTGGTGTGTGATGTAAATGCCATGGGAAGTCCTGGCACCAGCAACTCTTGGCTTCCCGCAGGCTAAGGATTTGCAAAGATTTCTGTCTGCTAAATTGGTACTAGATTGGGTGCATAAGATCATAAGGTGGAAAGAGAGGTGGAATTCTGCAATTCTCTAATCTTGCACAGCTCCAGTGTAGAATTCAGTATCCTGAGAATGTTCGCTTTAGTTTTAAAATACTCTGTTTCTATCCATTCAGGCTGTGGGGATCTGTTTGAATGCATGTGGGCAATTATATGAGTGTGGCATTTTTATTCCACCTTGCATAGAAAGCTGTCTTATACCAAAACACAGTGTTTTCCTGTGTAGCCTAGTATTACCTATTGTGATTTAACAGCAGCTGCCCAGGGTCTCAGGCTGAGATACCTCCCCTGCTATTGGATTCTTCTAGCTGGAGATGTCAGGAATTCAACCAGAAATCACCTCTATGTGCTCCCACCACTGAGCTGTAGTTTCTCTAAGATGTTCAGGGCGGTGCTACCTTTATTGTCAGAACAATCCTCTGAGGCAGGCTAGGCCAAGCACGTGTGACTGGCCCAGGGCCACACAGGAAGCTTCGTCACTAAGAGGAGATGTGTGCTTGGTTTTCCCTGGTCATAATTGAATGCTGCTCAACTCTGCTATACGTATAGCTCTCTCAAGTGTGTAATCTTTCCCTCTGTTGTCTAGCAGAAGCGTAAAAAATTACACAAAATAAATTTGTTCCTGGTATATTTATATACAGTCAACTTTATTTCATTTGCTCATACTTACTTCTCCCAGCTTCTAGCAGAATTATGCTTTATTGAAATCGACATTGCACTAAAGCCTTGGGCGCATGGTTGAAAATAGCCTAAAGCAGTGTTTCCCAAATATGGGTCTCCAGCTGCTTTTAGACTACAACTCCCATCATCCCTGACCACTGGTCCTGCCTAGCTAGGAATGTTGGGAGCTGTAGTCCTAACAACAGCTGGAGACCCAAGTTTGAGAAGCACTGGCCTGCACCTTGGCTTTTTATTGCTAATGCAAAGGTTTGTTCACTGGAGAATAGTGGCAAAGGTGGTATGATTTATATATATGAGATCTTAGAATTCCTGTGACATGCTCATAGTCAAACTTTTGGGTCTGGTTTGTTCAGGAGCATTCTTCTGTCTGGAAAAGTTCAGAACAGCCCTCTGAGAGCCCACAGCCCCGTGTTCCAGGAGTCGAGAGAGAGGCTGAAAGTGATTCCTATCTCCAATGCCTTCATTCCGTAAGTCCTCTGGGAAGGGAGTATTCTTAAGGCAGGGAAACAGCAGGAAGATTGCATAGAGATTAAGTCTAGGAAAGAATAAAACAGCTCAGCATTTGAGTGGCTCACTCAGTTAATCCTAGCCAGGTTAGTCATTTTGCTTGTCTGCCAGAAACCCAGGAACAATTAGTATGGTTTATTTATTCACAGTCTAAACAATCAATACCAGAGGAACAGAACTCAACCTCTTAGTGGAGTGCTTCCTCTGGGACACTGTTGCGGTCCATCCAGCCCCATAACAGTGTTACCATCCTATTTATAACACAAAATCAATACGAGAAATAATTTTTAAAGGCATTATAAATTCAGTTTTGCATTTCTTCACAGCCTTTTCAGTTGTGGCACCCAGAATTTGGAGCAACCTTCCATCACTGTATGCTTTAAGAAAAACAATGAAAATAGTTTTATTTCTGTGAGTTTTTTCTGGGAAATTGTTCTTTTTTATGGATTCCACCACATCTACTGCTCTGAAATTTGATTGTAGCTACTCCTGGATTTTTGTTTATTAGCCACCTTTATGCAGAAAAGTGGATAAAAAGCCTTAGGAATAAAATAAAATCTTAAACTCCCTCAGCTTTCTGAAGAGGACCAGTATTGTTTCAGCTGTAGCCCTGCACTACTTAGTAAAGGGCAATATCTAAAGATAAAAGATTGTGGTGGTGTGCTTCAGGGCATATTAGAATTGCTTCATTCTAGCTGCATCATTGCTTACTTCCATGGAAACCAATATGCTAATGAAGAGTCTTCGTATCTTTACTAATTGAGTTCTCTCATACATTCACTGAATACTCTTCTCATGGCTTATGGTTGGAATTATAACCAACTCTGCTGTGCCCCTAATTTGCTCATTTTTTTTGTTTTGTTTCTAAACCATTAGTCCTTTATTTAATAACATGGTCCTTGCTGAGTTTGCAAAAGGCAAAGGGTTCCTCTCTGTCCTCCCTTTCCTCCTGCCTTTTTACTGAGTGAGACAAATTTTTACACCCTGTAAACCCAAAGAACGGTCACATCTGAGGTTTCACTGCTGGGAGAAATAGGATCAAGGAATCATTTGCGCATAAGAAGGAATGAAATGATTGAATGTGAGAGAATGTAAAAATATAATATCAGTTAAGACAGTTGTATGAAACCACAGTGATTATCAGTCTTTTCATGGCTTCATATGTTAAATAGATCTCTGAAAGCATTGTTGCCATATAGATTGTCCTTTTTGCAAGTGCCTGAGAGTGGACAGAGCTTTTGGCATCCACTTGTCTGACCATTACTTGGATTCCTGTAAAGGAGTGTGTGCTGAATACTCTGGAATAATGTCTTTTTGCAGCCATCTGTCCACAGCACAATGCATTTTAGGGGGCTTGCCTGAGGCAGCAGGTGCTAAGATGCTGTCGTTCACATGACAAAAGACTTCAAAGGCACCCTTTGCTCCCAGGCAATAATCTTTTCTTTGCCATGAGGCACAGTGATCATTTGTCATGTCTTCAGATTGTTTGTGAAGAGCAACACTGGTTATTTTGCACATGCTGTGCATGATGGTGGACGTGTTTTCATCTTGCAGGAATGAATTAAATGAGGATAATGCTGCCTCTAGCCCTGAGGATTCTTTGAGTCCTCCTAATCTGGCTCCTACAGAGGAGGCTGCTATTGTAAAGGTATGTTGTATCATTGTGGGGACTAGTGGGTTTTCCTGCATGAGTCAGTAATAATTGCAGCACAGAAGAGTAGGGGCTGCATACAAAACACTTAGTTGTGCATTGAAACATGCAGCAACATTCCTTTTCTAACTGCAGCATTTCTTGATTCACCCAGAGACTTCGGCTTTGTTCAGGTATACCATTAAGCCATAGCTAAACATTACTGTATGTGTGAACTGTATGCACTCCCCTTCTCATCTCTCTCTTATTCAGGGAAAGCCACAAGAAGATTGGGTGCGTCTGCTTCTGTTTCTAGCTAACTGCAGTTTATTATGTATGAACTCCGGGACAAACCATGGTTCGTGTTATCTATGGTTTATTGAAACAAGTCAACTTCAGATTGTAGCAATTTTGACTTATTTGTTTCAGTAAACCACAGCGCTAATCATCAAACTTCCAATCTCCTCCTCTTGGCTGTGCCAAGGGAAGAGGGTTCAAGCCCAAGGCTCATGCAAGAAACTCATAAGAACATAAGAAGAGCCTGCTGGATCAGACCAAAGTCCCATCTAGTCCAGCATTCTTTTCTTGCAGTGGCCACCCATATGTGTATCAGCAGCCCACAAGCAGGAACGGAGCACAACAGCACTCTCCACACTTGCAATCCCCAGCAAAGAGAGGCATGTTGTATTCTGACAGTGGAGGTGGAAACAATAGCTATTGTGGCTATTAACCATTGGTACCTTTATCCTCCATTGATTTGCCAAATCGTTTTAAGCCATCCAAGTTGGTGGCCATCTCTTCCTCTTGTGGGAGCAGATTCCATAGTTTAGCTGTGCACTGCGTGATGTTTAAAATTATGGACAAGCTAGCATTCTGAAAGCCTTCCATAAAAGTCACTATTCTCTCAAACTGAAGAGCTTGTGTATAGGAAACCTTCTTTACATGTGGTTTGAGCTTCCCATTGCATGCAGTTTAGGGTAGCAACAGTGGGATTCTTTGCTACTGTATTTTATTGTTTCAATGGCTTAATGAAAAGTGTATTCTTGTATACCAAACCAACAAATAGGGGAAAAGATTCACAAGCTTCATCCTCACAACTTGCAGCTTTTTCAAAAGTGGATGAGATAGTAGGGGGGAAACCAGCAGTTCCACCCGGTGACAGATTGTAATTTAATTAACTTGTGTTTTGCAGAACTCTCCAGAGGACTTAGAGATTTTGTTAACATCACAGGCAGAGAATCTAATTGACTTTACAGAAGCCATGCCTCGGGTAAGAGTGGAAATTAAATGGAACTCAATGATTTCATTGTGCTGTTGATAATTTTAGAAAGAAAACATGATTGATTTATGCTTCCATCATTTGCACACAAGGCATCTGTAGTTCCAGTTGATACTTGTCTAAGCTGGTTTCTCGTGTAATAATTCTCTTCTAAGTGAGCCTTTGGGCTAGTTGAGTTACATTAGAATACTGTACTACATGTTCATGCAAGCAAAATTCTGGACTGTGTGCAAGTCCTGCCTAGGCAGTAATTTTTTTTCTGCCAGCCCATGACCCTCCTTTCTTACTGGTATCTTTAAAACCTTCCTTTGTGCCAAACAAGTATCTGACAGAACAAAATGTCTACACGTGGTGAATGTAAAGAGAGCCATTGAGAATTACATTACATGCAAACCAATGGAAGGAATGAGTCCCACTGCAGCTGGGTGGTTTTGGAATAATTTTCTGATATGAGCTTGCTTCATTTTAAGAAATCTGGTACAACTATTCTGTGATTAGTACTTAGACTAGAACCCACTCTCCTGATTCTCCATGAGTGAAGAAACAAGCCATCTGTCTGCTCTATTGGCTTCCCTGGGCTCCTTTGGAGAATAGGGTGCCACCATTCATTCATTCATTTCCTTTTCCACAATGGATTTAAGGCCATGGTTAGTCTCTTCAACCTCAGTGATGTATAGAGAACACGGCTACCTCTTGGGATAGTCTTTCTTCTATCCCTAGGCATTGTGAGGAGGGGGTACCAGTGATACTACCTGTGCTGCTGTTAGCTATGTGATCTCTTTGACGTAATGAGGTGATATAAGAGAGGGAAGAGCAGTGGAGAGCCTTAGGAGAGCAATAGACAAACACTTCCTGTCTTTCTGTGTTTCTAATATCATTTTTGCTTCTGGGTTTTAGGTGTCTTCACCACCAACAGTTTTGCCCAGGTGGTTGGTGCCAGTAAGTATATTCACTAATTCTTAAAAGTGATATATATGCTTTTATTTTTAAGCATGCATTCAGGTGATTGTTTTAAAAATAACTCGCGTCTAACCAATAGTAACAGTAACTGAACAGTATATTTTAACCCGAATCGTGGAAGTCCCTTTAAAAAAAGAAAAGGCTTTACTATGGTTCTGTGCAAAAAATATCTGAAAACCCATAACTTATATTGCATAGCACTGAAGAGTAAAAACTGCTTTTGCCATTCTCGTTTCATCAGTGTTTCCTTTTAGTGTTTGTGACAGTTATGGTGCCTTGGGAGCCTAGCTCTACTCCAAAGCAGCTGTGCTGTCTCTATATTCAGGGTTTTCCTTCTAAAGTAGATGCTAGGGCAGTGGCAGGCAAGAGACAGTGACATTTCATCATCATGAGAGGACAACATCTGATGATATGGGCAGCTCCTCTTACTCATCTTCACGATGCTGTCTTCTTCAGTGACCAGAAATAACCCTTCCTGGCAAGTTCAGTATTTCCTTCCCCTGCCCTCCACCCTTGCAAATTGCCTCCATGACTTTTGTCATCCAGAGTTTGGAAATAAGCCCAGCTGGGAAAACAAAAACAAGGTTGGGGCACTTAGCCTTCTTCCAGCCCATCGGTCCACCTCTGTAAGCATCTCCCTGTAGCTGCAGTATCTTGACAAACACATTTTTGGGACCATGTATTTGAGGGAATACATGGACCAGGTTGCTTTGTGTGACCTTACTGACCTTCCTTTGGTTTTTGTTCTGTAGAGTGGACTGGTTTCCAATGGGCCTTTAGGGAATGATGTTGCCTTATCTCTTAAGGCAGTGAAAGGTAGCACTGAGGCACTGACCATCTCTGCTGGCTCCCCACCTCCACTTTACTCGCCGCCCGAAATCATGCCCAGGTAAGTCTTTTCTCCTCCTACATTGGGTTAAGGGAATGCTATGCTACTTGAATTCTAATTTGAATCTTACTTTATTCCATGTGGGGTGTGTGTTTCTTACTAGTCCAGTTCTCCTATTAAGCACTGGGAAGCACAATAATATTTTGCAATTCGCTATTCTTTTACCAAGCGACTTTTACCAGTGGCTTTCTGTCAGTCTTTGGGGCTCAAATTTGTCAGTCTGTGTAACTGCTGCTGCATTTCAAAGAAATGCATGTACTACTGGGGCATTTTGTCAGAAGTGAGCATTGTAGGCATTTCGCTTATGAGCATATGCACTTCATTGCAGATACTAGTAAAGTTTTATCGTTGGCTGTATGTGGCAAATATGATTCTACTAATAGCGGGCAGCTCTTAATTTGATCATTACAATATTTACCCTTGGTGTTTCCCATGTAAAATAATACTGCATTGGCTCTGATAGATATGAATTACCTTACCTTGTTTGGAATTGTTTGCTTTCCCATCAGGTTATTGAATTGACTGGTTGAGTTCATTCAGTTGCAGGAATCCTCTTCTGAGTAGGACCCTCCCCTTAAATCTCCCACACAGATTGTGTGTTGCTTTCATTTCAGCCCTGCTGCAGAAGATGTTACAACAAGGCCGAAATGTTTACTTACCACTGAACTCTGAGCTTTGACAAAGTCTCATCTTCCTAGCATCTGCAACGTGCTCCTGGAATGGACTTAACCTGGAATTGACCCATGCTCAGACCATGGTTAAAGCAAAATGCCTGGCAGTTTTACTGTGGATTCATGCAACTGGAAATCTAGTATGAAGAGCTGCTGGGAAGCCTGAGCACCTTTTGTAAAGTACACTGGAACACATTCTGACTCGTAATGAAATCTGCAAGGTTTCCATCCATAGCAGTGCTTTTGTCTATAAAGCTGCTTTAGGGGTGTAAATAAAGTCATCACTGTGATGAACGAGTTAGTAATGGGGAGGATAGGAACTTCTAAGGCCACCTGCTGGTTGTTGCTATAAAAAGCAAGTAGTGCTAATGGTGTTTTATAGAGCAAGCTCTTCTTTCTTAACATCTCCTTTGAATCCTCTTTTGTACTGATATCTGTCAAATGTTCTTGGCCTTAATCCACTTTCTAGACTTTGCACTTTTGCTCACCATGTATGAAAAAAACTGAATATGCAGCACCTCGATAGGTTACCCAACTGGCAGGTTCTGCTCTCTCTAGTCAAAGAGACAAAGCAATTTTCTACCAAACACTTTTAGGCTACCAGAGTGTGTGAGTGTAACTGTTCCACATTTTGTCCCATTCTCTATAATGTGTGTCTAAAATACTGCTAGTGCGTAAACCTCTGCTGCAGAAGAGCTTCAGAGTGGAAAGGCATGTTCCCTTGCGGCTTTTCACTGGCTTCTGTTTGGAAAGTTCCTTCCAACGAAACTGAAAATTGTTTTAAGGTATGTTCTATGAACTTGTCAATAGCTGATTTCTGTACTATAAGTACAGACTAATTAGAATTACTGCCTTTTTCCTATGTTCCACTACAATTTTTTTTCTTCAAATGAGGTTGCAATTGGCAGGTTTTACATCTTGGTTTTCTAGTCTTGTTCAGAGACATTCCAGTAGTTCACCTATTGTCTTCAAATTAGACCAGTGACTGGACATTTAGTGAAAGAGTCTCCCTCAGTATATTGAAGTGCTAATAGTTTTGGACCAGTGGGGAAATCTTTTTCTACTACAAACTCAGGGAAATTGCTGTTCATTGGTGGAACTATGTGAATCCCAAGTTTAACTCATGCTTAGCATTTTTTTGTTTGTGGACCAATTTCTCCATGGGCATTGAGAGCGAACAATAAAACTTGGTAGGACACAGTTATTGGTTAGGAAACAATTCTATTGTTAATGTTCAAAAAATAACTTTAATCTTTTGGTTTTCAAAAAATGTAGAAATGTGATCATCTTTATCTTCCCAAAATGGCTCTCAACTCGCCGCCCAGTTGGAAGGGTAGGTTAAAAGAATTGGAGCAAGTTCTCTTAAACTTGATTTACTTAGTGTTGTATCTGTTTCAAGAAGCCATTTTATGGTGCAAGAAACCTTCCTTGTTTTGGGGGTGGGTTGACACAGGCTAATGAACCAATTCACTATGAACAGCTTGATCACCCTTCCCTTTCCCCATTCTTTACTCGGTAATTGCTGCTTTTGAAATAAGAGCAGTTCCAATGCTTTTTATGTGTAGCATTGTGAGAACCAAGTTTCATTTTTAAAGTAGGCTCTGAGTGTAGATCTGAACACTTCACCTTTACCAGTAGCTGAACTCCTATGTGCAAGATGCATCAGATTAGCATTTGAGATATCCTTCATTACTATCAGCAAACTGGAGAGGAAACTGCCTAAACCATTTCAAACAATCTGGAGGTAAAATCCAAGTCACCTCATGAGTTTTATCAGTAATTTTAACAGAAGAGTGTATTTTAGATGCTACAGTAATTATTTTTAATATTCCCCCGATTACAAGAGAGTGGAAGTAGAAGAAAGGTTAATCAATGGTTTGCTATCTAGAATGTTAGTGAAACTTCATTGAGTTTCCTAGATTGCAGGTATAGCTAGTTTCTAAAATGGTGCATGTTATGGTTGTTAGAGAATGACTACTTAACAACAACAAAATTTGTGTTACTCTGTGTGATTTAGAGTCCTATGCAAGCCAAGCCAAAAACAAAGGAAAAATGGAGAGATGCTCAGATGTAAGAAATTGTTCTCATTTCCACTACTGTAAAATTCTGAATTACTAGGGAGTCTTAGACTACAATATTGCTGACCGCTATAGCTATCAAATGTATTTTAAAAAATATATAGCCAAAATTGATTATTCATTTGACTGATGGAGGAATACTGTGCAAGACACAGATCTCACAATCTATATTTATATTTTATTTAACAGTGAACCTACATGACTTGCAAAGTAGACAGTCTTTTTCCTAGAAACAAATGCCTATTCCTGTTCACAGTAAGAAACTGGGTGTGGTATATAGCCCTTGTTATTGCCATGCAGTTCATGATGAGATGTCATCAGTATCCAATGGTTGCGTTGTACAAAAGAAATAATGCTTATTGTGTCGTTCAAACACTGTCATATGAAAGGTGCAGTTATCACAGAGGGAACTCAGTCTTTCATAAATGCAATATGTGTCAGTGGAGGTGAGCAGTAAAGTTGCTCACCTGAGCATTTGGCTATAAGACACTGGCTTTAGGAGTTAATTAAGGTTGACGGCATATTTGCAGATTACTGTTAACTGATGTTAGAAGGATTGTGCTGGTTGAGAGCAACCACCATATTGAGAAATGCTTGGAAAGTAGCTTTTGTTCTGCCTATTGCAGGGGTGTGGAACCTGGTGCCCTTTAGATGTTGCTGGACTACAAGTGAGTTGGAGACATCTGAAGAGCCACAAATTCTCCAACCCTGGCCCAATGCATGCAGAATTGCACTTTTGTTTACAGCAACTGATCATAAACCAGTTCATGGGCTGACCATGCTTAGAGTTCATACATTTACCAAATGGCAATCCTATCTACATGCTAAAGGAATAAGTGCCAGCCTTGGCCTCCAGCTCCCCAAACCAGTAATGTGTGAAGCAACAGCTTTAGATGGAGTCCTATACAAGTGTAAAGCCAATGGAGAATCATGCCTCTGTGTCTCTACTGTAGACCACATGTCTTGTATGTTACAGTACATGCACAGTACAGTTTGTAAGGAGGCTCACTCCTATCTATCTATCTGGTGAGCTAGACCTTGTGTTTCACTAGTGATTATGGCTGTTTTGTTCTGTGGTGCAAACACTGAATATCAACAGTCATCCTCCTGGAGCAAAATGTTCAACTTTTTTCTTACTGTGAAATTGATGGCCCTGGGGGAGGTATGGCATTCCGCATGCATCAGAGAATAGGGAGCATTTTACTGCAGCACCCCCAGCAGAAAGGTTTGGTGACTGATTTGTTTATCCTCTTACTTCCCTCAACTGGACAAACTTACTTTAAAGTATGTAAGATTTATTATTTTGAGTTAGAGTATTTTGTTTGTTTTTAAAAAAATCACACCCACTAACTGCTGTATTTGTAATTCTTTTTAAATGATGTAGAGCTTGACACTAGCTCTGAGTATAACTTATTTGTTTTTTTAAGTATTATATATAAGGAACACTGTGTTTCATGGTAACATATATAAACTGTGCTACAGTAACTGCACTGAACTGAACATCTGTATATGGGAACTGTGATTTGTAGTCCACTTGGAATCAGTCACAAACTGTTGTAGTTTATTTCTAAATATAACACAACTGTGCAAAATGACTGCCTCTACCTGTTTTTCTTTTACAATAATTTTGCAATGTGCAAACAATCTGCTTCATTCCTGCATTTTTGCCTGTCCCTGGCAACCCCCCCTTGTCTTGGGTGAAGTTCTGTGTTTCTCATACAGAACTGACAACACACTATTTTCTGCTGACCTCTCATATGAATGATAGCAAGTAATAGTTGCACCCAAGGAGAGAAGTTCAGTCTTAAGATTTCTACCCACAATTTTGTCTGGAAAGTGAATTGGCTTGCTGACCTAGAATTAGGCTTTAAATTTTATTCCAGAATCCAAATTGCTTCTTAGATCAACAATTTTGACCTCCACTTCATTCTAAGGGGGTACACTGATTCTTAAAAGTGTTTTACACAGTTGCTACAGGTAAGGTGCCACATTAAGTCTAACTCAAATGGTGACTAATAACCAGCCATATTGCCAACAATTTATGCTTTTGTCATTATTATCCAACTTTAAATCCTTCATCAATCATGCATTGCTTCTCAGATACAAACAGCATACATACAAAAAATGATGCTTATATAGTTTAATCACAAAAAATAAATGTCAAAGTCTAAAAATATAAAAATAAGATCACTTATAAAGCTCACCATGTGCTGTTTTGTGGCAGCTAAACTTTTAAAGACAATTTGAAGAGCAGCACTTCTGAAACTGATAAGGCATACTGCAAGCTTTTACAATAGCTATGTACTTTGTAATCTTCGTTTTCTGGCAAATGTCAGGAAAGGTTAACTTCAAGGGACCATTTTCCATCTCTGATTGAGCACAGCAGATTTCAAGATTCACCAGTGGGAATGGCCAAACAAAAAAATATCCTTCCTTGGGGACCAGCAAAGTACTGTGATAGTCCCAAACAAGCACCAGAATTGATTTTCAGCATAATATTCAGTTACTATAGAATCGTAGAGTTGGAAGGAGCCACAAGGGTCATGCAGTCCAACCCCTTGCAATGCAGAAACATATATACCCCAGTGTGGGGCTCAAAGCCCCAGCTGTGGCATGCACATACCCCTTCTGCAATTGGTTTTGAAAAAAGCTAGGGAGAGATTATCTCATTTCCCCACCTAAACTCCAAGTAGATCACATCTTCCAATAGACTGGCAGAAGGGGGGGGGGAACACCCTCCCCCCACCCAAAGCCTAGCTACATCTGTGCACTCTGCCCATTAACCCTTCCCTGGCTGAGGGAGAAGCCTGCTTATCTTAACTACAGGGGATTTAAGTTAATTTTGGTTCTTTTTCTATGAGTCTTTCTATAGAGATGATGGGGTGATGTAGGTTCAAGTGGTATGGCAAATCAGCTAAGAACTAAGTTGTCCACTGGTTTAAACATGCCCTTATGTACACCTCTAAAGCAGTGCTTCCAAAACATTTTCTCATGGACCACTTGAAGGCTGCTGAGAGTCTTGGTAGACTGATTAAGTATTTTTGTGCCTGTTGAAGCAACTGTAATGTGCTAGGCTGGCTGCAGTATGATTTTTAATTGTATTTTTATTGTTCCTTTTGTTTTCTCTATATTGTATTCCAATTCATATGCCATAGATTTCAAATTATAATTCAGTAAGAATACAATATAAGGCATTAAAAAAACAATTAAAAATCAACATGACTATTGATGTTCCATCTTCAACTACAAATCCAGAGCCATGCTGCAGACCACCATGGGCCACAATTTGAGCAGCTCTGCTCTATATAAATAAAATAATTAGCTGTAGGAACAAGCAGCAGGCTTACTGGACGCTTTTTCTGCATTCACACTGAAGCTGCTTAATCCAAGTAAAGGTAAAGGGACCCCTGACCATTAGGTCCAGTCGTGGCCGACTCTGGGGTTGCGTTGCTCATCTCGCTTTATTGGCCGAGGGAGCCGGCGTACAGCACTGCACGGAAACGCCGTTTACCTTCCCACCGGAGCGGTACCTATTTATCTACTTGCACTTTGACGTGCTTTCGAACTGCTAGGTGGGCAGGAGCAAGGACCGAGGAACGGGAGCTCACCCCATCGTGGGGATTCGAACCGCCGACCTTCTGATCGGCAAGTCCTAGGCTCTGTGGTTTAACCCACAGTGCCCCCCCCCCGTACCTGCTTAATCCAAGTATGCGGGCCTAAACCAATTCATTGAAAATAGCAGCATGGTTTATTTCCCTGAGTGAGTGGCTCCATGAAGTGGTAACCCTGTCATTCTCAAATACTTAGATACTTCATATTCACATGACATTTTGGTTTCATGACAAAATGGGTAAAATACAACAGGGTGTATTTTTGTTCTCACTCCTTAGTATGTGTATATGGACCATTTAAATTTTGTCTAGCTCCATTTGCCAAAATGAAATTGAAGAGGAACTTGACAAAGGTTTACCTCCAATAAGCAGCAGCACAGCAGAAGACTCACTAATGTCCATGGAGGCAGAAGACTCACAAATGTCCACAGAGGCAGGTGTCAGATCAATGAAACTTGCATTTTCCTCTGTAAAGTCCTGTTCTCTTGGTAGGTTTAGGTAGGATGTTCTCTCTCTCTCGGACAATATGCATGCTTTCTCATTTACACTCAGTTCTGAACTTGAAGTGGTTTGGCGTGAGCAAAATCCTGGCTCTTCCTGAGACAGGTAAAAGGTTTTCATTTCAATTTCAGTGCTACTGTCATTGCTGAATGTTTGGTATGAGGGCTCCTGGTGAATATACTCACAGAAACAGGCATGCTGCTTAGAGATGGCCAGTAGCTTTGAACAACCCATTTCCTTCTGATGCAAATAGCTGAGTGACTTCCTTGAAGAACCAGCAGTCCCTTGGAAGCCATATCCAATCCCCAACATGCAGTGAAAAGCTTTGGATGAAGGTTCTGTTGTCCTAGCCAGTTGTTTCCACATCTGAGATGGAAAATGGTATTTCCACAGAATACTGCTTGACCTGGTATTAGCAATTCCTCCGCCAAAGAGCAGCATGGAATCTTCAAATATTAAAGCTGAGTGTCCCACCACTTTAGGAGGCCCGTGACTAAATACAAGCACAACAGAGAACAAGGAACACAGATCAGTAATGTTTATGCTGATGAAAATGAGGTAGGATTTTAGTTTCTGTTTGGTCAGCACTATACAGCATCATTAATTACGTAAGATAGAGGGAACTGCACTGAATGAAGGTATCTGAATGTATAATGCTCCCTAAATTGGCTGTTACGGATCATTATGCAATAATTCTTGGTCAGCCCAAGTTGAATATACTTTCTTTTAAAAAGTACGAACATTTGTGAAACTGCCCTAATTTTAAAAAGGTACCTCCTCAGAAAGTCTCGGCCTGATTCTGACAGAAATGTGTGGCTCAGTATATAAATGTAATCCTCCCTTATCACAGCTTTGTACCAGTACTTCTGCATATCAGGGCCTGACTTCCCACGGCAGCCTCTTCCAGAACAGGAGACCTTGCCCAAGAAATGCATAAGAAATGCCTTCTGCTTTTCAACAGCGTTCTTTAGATCACAGAGAATGTGACTAGAATGATGTGAACATGTGCATTATTAAAGCATGAGTTCAACAGCTTATAAGCAAAGGTGGGAAACTTTTGACCCTTTGGATGTTGCTAGACTACAACTCCCACCACCCCCAATGAACTGGACACACTAGATGGGGCTGATGGGGGTTGGGAGTCCCACAACATCCAGAGCACCACACATTCCCTACCCCACGTTAGAAAGGGAACCAACTCGCTGTTCCACAAAGTACAAATACAGCTTAATCCACATCCCTCAGAGGCAGCCGTCATAGCTGCCTAGCTCCCCGAGACACACATATTTTTAACCTTTCTAATTTTGGGTAGTTTTACCTACTCCATTCTCAAACTACAGCTTGCTGAAACTGCTGGTGAATAGCTCTCAAAAGATTTTACCTTGTTCTGATACTAGACCAGTTGGCAGCCATGAAATCCCACTTCCAGAAGTCCTTTTGTTCACTCAGACCCATCAGCCCTCCAAACAAGTACATGTTGTTGCCATGAACTACAGCTGAGTGGCCATGTCGAGGGCCTGGGCTACCACCGTAAGATACAGCTGGTGTCCACTGTTTTTTATCTGAAGGAAGAAGATTACAGTCCATTTCTGTTTCAACATAGGGGCAGGGAACCTTTTCCAGCCCAACATCTACATTCTCTTCTGGGGCTTGCATGCCAGTAGGGTAGGGCCAGAGACAAAAATCAACAGATGTGACTAAAGGCTGTGCACAGTTCCCCAGATCCAAATCATTTCAGGTAGTGAGCTGATGTTTAATAAGGGTTTGCAAAAACCTAACTAAACATACGGTTGGGAGGAGAGCAGGGGAAGAAGTTGTGTCTTATCCTCTTTCTCAATGGGGAGCAGGAGGGTTTAATCCTGCAGAGTACTCCTTCACAAGTGCCTTTACCACAGGAATACAAAATTAGAGGTTTCTGCATATACGCCATCCTCCTTCAAGGCATGCAAATAACATCCTGTTGCCGTTACACATTCCAGACAGGCATAAGCACTTGAGGGCATGGAGCAGGGCTCTTAGAGGTGTGGCCTGGGAAGAGTCTAGAGGACCAGGTAGAGAGGCTTGAAAGGTCATATTTGGTCCATAAGCTTCAAGTTCCCCCATCCCTGGTTTAATTCAATACCCAGATAAACATGGAGCCGAAGCCAGCTACAGAATTGCATTTTCATTCTCATTCTAGATGTTTCAAATGGGTTTTGTATCATAACCACCAGCCACTTCAGTAGGGATGGGGAGCAGGATCCAAAATTCCCCTACCCACTGCTGGCCACTTTGACAGAACTCTCCACCTGCCAGTCACATGGCATCAGGGGATTGAGTTTCAAAGGAAGAACCCAAAGTACTCTCTTAAATTCAAGCTGTGGCTGCAAAGAATCAAAGGAATTTCTAGCTTTTCCCTTTCTAACTAATTGGGTGGTTGCTAAATTTGAAACACACACACACAAAATACCACTTTGACAGGTGGGTAGGGTGACAGAAAAAGTGCAAAATTCTACCAGCAGCTGGAAAGCAACAATTGGAAGTGCACTTGGAGTGTACTACCAATTATTCATTTTCAAGATGGCCCTGCAGGTTTACCTGTCTGTCCCATGGCTGATGCCGTATGACACCAAGTGATGGCTGCAGTTTGGGCCAAATCACACCACAGCCCAAGGGGATGCCCGATAAGCCTAATAAGCACACAAGCCAGAGGTTCCTCGCTGCTGGGTTGCAGTAACATGCCTACAGAGAAGGCTCAACTTACTTAGACATAAAGTCCAGAATTCTTGAGAAGCACCCTTAAGGTCAACGTATCCGCCATACATATACATGATGCCTTTGTAGACGACTGCACTGTGGCCCTTTCGATTAACTGGAGCCGTTCCCTGCAGAGAGGATAGTAATGAAATAACTACCATTAACAGTTGTTGCCATCACATCTATCCAAGCAGACTTCCTCCTTACTGCTTCCACTTAAAAATGCATTCACACTGGCCTTGTAAAACACCATTAACTGACACCTTTATGAACATCAGTACAGTGGTACCTCAGGTTACAGATGCTTCAGGTTACAGACACTTCAGGTTACAGACTCCTCTAACCCAGAAATGGTACCTCGGGTTGAGAACTTTGCTTCAGGATTAGAACAGAAATTGTGCAGCGGCAGTGGGAGGCCCCATTAGCTAAAGTGGTGCTTCAGGTTAAGAACAGTTTCAGGTTAAGAACAGACCTCCAGAACGAATTATGTTCTTAACCCGAGGTACCACTGAGCATTTCTGTTCGTACAACCACTTGATGGGTATGGGACAGGGGCTTGTTCTCAGTTGAAGGAATAGAAAAAAAGCAATGAATAGCCATGAGAGTTACTCATATTCCATTGCACTGCATAAGCAAGCATGGTGGTGCCTCTGGAAAGGGCATACTTTCCAAACATTTCTACCCAGGAAGGCAGAGTTAGTTACATGGTCACTCTACTCCAGAATCACCTACTACTATAAAAATTAGGTAACAGAAAATTCAAGTCCAGAATGAGCAGTAGGAGCACTTCTAATAATAAATAGTGCAACGAAGTGCAAGAAATGTATTGTGTCCATGCAATGTTTCCAACCAGAAGAAACCATCCTAACTATAGAGAAGGGCATCATCTAGGAAAATAAACCCCTCTCAGAAAAGGATGGGTTAGCAAATAGTTGGGTGGGAGGGACCTGCATGTTAAAAGTGGCAATTACATCATAGTTGAATATCTGTGCCTCAGATATTCACCAGAAGCAACAACCCTCAGAAACAGTTGCATGTTTCCTTCAGGTTTGTTTGAATAGTGAGTCTTCAAAGTGTTTTCCCCCTGAAAAAAGTGATAATACAGCACTGTTTGCAAAGCTGGTTAGGACAAAGTATGTCTGATGGAGGATGAAAGCAGCTTGGAAGCTCTTTACAACATAGAAATAAAGCTCTGGTACAGTTTCACAGGAGAAAAAGTTGGAAAGGCAAGGCTGCCTCTGCCTCAGTTGGAAAGGCAAGGCTGCCTCTGTTCGCCCTTTGCATCACTACTACTGCTGCTGCTTAGGAGGGAAGGTAGTTCAAAACTTGAAGGAACAAGTGCAGGCTGCCCTCACCACACAAGACCTTGATCCTTGATGTCAAGAGCTGCCTGAACCTAAGCTCTTGGTTGTGTGTGCTTGTCTTCATGAAGTGTGGCAGCTTACACTTCCCTAGTGCCACAGGCTTCCAAATGGTATGCCTGGTTTTCACCAAAATATTCTTTAGTACATGAAGAACCCCTGGTATTTATTAATGAAAAATTATATAGCTACCCTTTAACATTATCTGGGCAGCTCACAATCTATAATTAATACACCATAAGTAATTTGGTATAGAGAGCAGTTATAAATATGCTACATATTATAACCAAAGAAACACTCGTGGGTTGTGTCCAACTGTGTTGCTCAGCTGGCGGTAAAGTCAGTAGCATGGGGAAGGAAGCCATTTTCAGCTGTTACCCGCCCCCCGCCCTAGTACAGTGGTACCTCGGGTTAAGAACTTAATTCGTTCTGGAGGTCCGTTCTTAACCTGAGGTACCACTTTAGCTAATGGGGCCTCCCGCTGCCGCCACGCTGCCAGAGCATGATTTCTGTTCTCATCCTGAAACAAAGTTCTTAACCCGAGGTACTATTTCTGGTTTAGCGGAGTCTGTAACCTGAAGCGTCTGTAACCCAAGGTACCACTGTAATATGCTCCAGTGTGCTGGGGGACCCTTCAAAGCAGATTTTGAAGGGTGCCAGAGGCTGCTGGGGATGAAAGCTGCTGGAAATTGCTTCCCTCCCTGTATTGACAAAGGCCAAGCGATACAACACTCCTATTTTAAGATCCAAAAATATACATGCTATATAGATTATTTAAGAATATAGAAGAAATAAGTATCCCTCCCCTTACAGTGAAGAAGTGATACCAGCAGCATAAAATTACTCTGCTGCTGCGTTTCCCTGGATGAACCCAGTCTGGAACAGTTTTCAGAACATATTCCTAAGCAAGCTGTTGGATCAACAAAGCAACATGTTTCATGTATGATTCACACATTTCTGTTTTCCAAATTTCTTACCTCACTCTCCCCTGCTTTGAGTTGGCGCTCCATCCACTTAGCTGAATCTGCAGTTTCAATAAAATATCAGTTACAATACTAACCACAAGAGGGTACTCCTGCTCTACTTGTAATGTCATACAAGGCCCATTGAACTTTGGAGATGGGAACCAAGAAAGTTGTTCAGTTCTCCTTAACAGCAACTAAGGTAGCTTTCATTTGTCATAAATATCGCCCAAAAGTAGCATCTCAACAGTGTTTGTCAGCAGTGACACTGGCAAAAAATAAGAAGTACCCATGGCTCAGTGTTTTGCATATTTAATGCTACAGGTTCAATCCTAGGTATATTCAGTTATTTATTTTTTTAAAAAAAATCTGATATAATGGCAAAAAGAGACCTGGGGGAGCCACTTTGAACCAGGATAGACAATATTGGATGGAACAGACCACTGATCAGACTCAGCTTCCTATGGTCAAAAAATACAACCATATTTATTGTCCCCAATCCAAAGAAGATGATGAATGTACTGTTGTTATGATGTTATAGTATTGGCTGGTAAGGCTTTGTGTCCCCACCCACCATCCTTGGGAATATGCGGAAGATCTCATCTTGCTTTCTCATGAGGCCTGGACCTAAGAAATGTTTTGCATGCACTATAGCAAAAGAGCAGACCCCTGGTTCTCAGCCACAAGCCAACTATATCTCTTCTGTAATGTTTGAAAGGTATTAGTATGCCATTAAATTGGCTTGAGGCTTCTGGCTGCAATTCATGGTTCCCAGGAACTGAATCCCTGCCAACTATACAGAAAAGACATGATCAACAAATGGAAGAATGCTAGGACTGCTGTGGCCCTAATACTCAGTGTTCTGTCACAAATATATAGCTGAATTACTAAATTTGTGTTTAGTGAAACATTGATTCCAACACAAAGGTAGTTAAGTGGATTTCTCAACCTCCTCCTACTCCTGTACTTTTGCTGGGTAGTTTTGCTGTGAATAATCCTATAGTGAATGAGACACGGGGAAGCTTCTTGTTAAATAGCATGGTGTTTCTTTTTCTATAGATATGTTTACCTGAAATGTTAAAACATTCTATAGTTCAAATGGATTGACTATTGATCTTACTGGAACTTGACTGGAAATCTGATGCTTCAAGCAAGCTCAGGCAGATGTAATGGCAAACAAGGCATGTCAAAAGATTCTCACCTGTCTACTCCACCCAAACAGGCTGCCCTACCTACGTATTTATCAAATCTATATGCAATCCTGTTTAAAGATGTTGCTTGTCTAGTTCCATACCAGTGTCATACATCCAAAGAGGATTCTTTCTCAGTGTGAAAGCAGAATCCACCATTCCACCAAAGATATAGAGGATACCCTGAAAGTAAAATAATGATTTTCTTGTAAAACATACTTGTATCTTCCATAGTCAAATGCAATCAAGTGAATTCATTGTAAATTTCAAATCACAATCTAAGCTGCACTCCAGCAACAGACATATGGAAGGAGTAATGGTCCCATGCACCATGCTCTACACATACATACAAACACACACACACACACACACACACACACACACACACCGCAAAGAAGCTAAAACTATACTCCAGTCTGACCTGCAATGAATCCTCAGAAGTGAATGTTGCATGTTTCAATGGAGAGAGGCACAGAATGGGCTGTGCCAACTTTTGTGATTGCAAGCACACTTAAATATTGAACACACAGAATTAAATCCAAAAGACTTGCTTACTAAGGCAGATCCCGATAGCCACTTCAGGTGGATAGTACTGTGGTCACAAACATTGATTACAATATTTGTTGACTATGAACCTTTCTGCAAGGTGTTAAAGCCTACAGCCGGAGTGGAGAACCCTTTTTAGCCCAAGGCTACATTCCCTCGTGAGCAACTTTTGGGGACCACATGCCAGTGGTGATGAGAGGACAAAGCCAGTGGGGCAATGGATTTGACAGGAGGGCTACATTCCTGTAATGCAAAATGCCAGGCAAGCAAGAGGCATTATCACAGGAAAAAGAAAGACAGGGCACAGAGCAGTGCCAGTGAGGGGAGAGGCCTAAGAGAACTTAAATGCCAGATAGAGTGGCCTAGAGGGCCACATCTGGCTCCCAAGCGTGAGTTTCCTCATGCTTGGCCTATAGGAATGACAAAAATATTTTTAATACACTATTGGGGGGTGTATCTACAATGTCTACTGAACAAACAATAATTTTGAGGCACATCTTTTAAGGGGGCTGTGCAAATTGATTTGTGGGACATACACTTGGGGCTGATTTGAAGTGTTTTGTTACCTCCACAGAGGCTGCAGAAACGCATCAGGTGTAACATTTAAAATGGGTAGTGTCAGCAGTCACAAAGATAACTGAGTCACATGGCAGACGCTGCACGTACTAAGCTGACACACAAGATAAGATGTTTTTTAAGTGTCTGCTTGCCAGCCAGAGCACCACACAGATGTGCTTTTTGACAGCTTCCACATAGGCCAACTGTAAGGTTTCTAATATTTAAACCAGCCCTAGTAGGTAAAAATAAATTGAATAACGTTACTGAAAGGAATGACCTCCTACAGCTGACTTGCTGTTTCATTGTCATTCCCTCTCAACGAAACAACCTTGTCACTAACAGAGAACAATATGCCAAAAAAAGCCACCTGCAAAAAAACCATGGTACTCTGTTCCTTATTTCACCTAAAAGGAGAACAGCAAACCAAATGCTTGTTCACCTTATTTCACCTAAAAGGAGAACAGCAAACTATCATCTTACTCCATTAATAATACTACCCACTCACTAATTTAGTTAAAAGAAAAACAACAACCATACATATGTTTGCAAGTGTGTGTTTGTTCAATCACACTTTGTATTTATAGGTTTACGTCTCAAAAATGTGATCAGTGAAAGGAGGCCCTCAAAGTAGACAGTAGCTGAACCTCTCTAGGAAAGAAGGGCTGTTCCCTCCCCTTTTAGAGTTCTTTCTGCTAACAACAGTTACCTGACCTGTAGGAATACAAGTGTTACACATACCCAGCAGTTTCTCGGGGGGGGGGGGGGGCTGGATATTTTTGCTGCTGCAGGAAGAAGAGAATAGAGATTCTTACCCTGAAGCAGAAGTCTGAGCCTACCAGGAAACTAAACTACAGAACAGCACCAGCCACACAGACTATAATGGGGAAATGACAGGCGGAATCTAGACACATATACAAAATGCTATGAAAATGCTTTTTTAAGAAGTGTTTTGAAAAATATATTGAATTTGCCATAAGCTCACCATCTAGTGTCACATTTGTATAATGCACTTAAAATACACTTAAAACATTATATTTGCAGCTGTATAGCTGAGTCCACAGTAGCAAAGAAGAACTAGTTATTGTATTATACAGGACTAAATCAACTCAAACTTGCCTGATAATCCACCATTGTGTGCTCCTCCAGTTCTTCAGGGCCATCTTCTGAGTTTTCCAGTCTCTCCCATTCATTATTCTCTAGAAAGTGTTTTGATTAAGATTGTCAAGGTGTGAAAGGGACCCATGAAATCACCTAACCTGTCTTTCTCCCAACATGGAGCAGTTATTTATATCAAGCTCTGTTAAAATTCCACAGAGATTAAGCAAGTAAAACATGGACTGTCATCCTCTGTGATGCATTGAAGTGGATACCTGTGGGTCCCTGTGTATTAGAAAACAAGGCAAGAGCTTCAGCTCTATGGACAAGTTTCACAATGGCCAGTCTGCAGCGCTGGAAAATACTGGCTCCATCTGCTTGCACTAGTCTCCAACAAGACTTGTCTGTTAAAAAGGATGCATGTTATTGGACAAATGCAGTCTCGGTTTGCATTTTATTGAGTCTCTCTCAAACAGCTGCTGGCCACAGACAAAACACATAGCTGAGGCAGAAAATGCACATCAGAAATATGGGCTTCCACCAAAAACAGTCACCACTTACCAAGAGTTTCATCCTTTCCCTCCATAACCATAGTTTAACTTGCTTAGCATGAGAATGCAGTGAGACTTCCTGCCCCTCCAGTGTCAGCTGATGTAGAACAGCAGCAAGGAAATGCATGTATTTTACTATATGTTATAGAGGGAGCGTGGACTGGACATATGACATTTTGGCAGCAGCCCGATTTTTGATAATGTGTAATTAAACCCTGTATTTATCCCATGGCCTAGTACCCTGTGCCTGTCCTAGGATTAATATCCACAGATACACAGAACACAACAATGTTCTTTAGAATCCATTTTGGATAGTTGCCACTGAGAATTAAACCCCACCTCCAAATTCACAAACTTTCAGATGTAAACTCAGCATTCGCCTAGTTTCTGAAATGGTAATGACATAAAAGTTGTTGCTCTGGATCACACAAGAGAAACAGCAATGCTTTCTGAACAGGTATGTTCACTTTTCCTTATCAACGCAGGAAACCAAGGGTATGGTTTACCAGAAAAACAAAAACATTTGCCTGCAAGTGCCACAGGTAGTCATCATAATACTTCTACATTATTTTTATTTTCATACATGGAAAATGTTTGCATTAGCTTTCCGTAAAGGTGGGCTTGAATGAAGAATCCACATAACAACCATTATTCTTATTGTTATTAGGGTGATAAAGTTTATTCATTAATCTTACTTTGTTTACTTGGATTGGGAGGGGGCAGGAATCTGCTATAGAAAGAATCTGGTGGAAATTTCATCAGGAAAAACAGGTTTGTGTGAATACAGCATGTAGATTTGGTTTAGTCAGTGGCATAATGATACATGTAACTACAATATATGACATCTGAAGGCAGCTCTCTATAGGGAAGTTTTTAATGTTTGATGTTTTACTGTGTTTTTATAATTTATTGGAGCAACCCAGTCAGATGGGTAGGATACAAATAAAACATTGATGATGATAATGATGATGATTTAGTGAACAGGAAAACTTACCTATCTTGTATCGCCAGAAATCATTCAAGGTAGTATTTTGCCGTCCACCATAAATATAAAGGAGCCCCCTGCAGATGCAGCAGGCATGCTTGAATCGGTCACATGGAGAAGATTTGCTCTGTAGTACTGGCTTCCATGTATACTCTACTGTTTTTCTTTTCATCCCTGGGTTAGCTGTAAGGTATACCCATGTCAAGAAGATTTCTCCAGAGTGTCACAGTCCTAACCTGAATACAGGAAGAGAAAGTCAAGAAAACAAAGATGGTTGATGGAACATACTAGAATGCGAGAACTTCCAGAAATGACCAAAATGTTGTTAGGTTCAAACTGATTATCTAAGGGTTTTATGATATAAGTTAACTCATGCACCATGATGCACTGTGAGTCTCAGATCTGTAGACTTACACTGGCTTTACTGAAACTTCTCTCATTGATTAAATAAAATAAAAACAACTCTGTCCAGGAGCCAAACATTAAAGACAATTCTACAGCAATGGAAACAATTCTTATTATTTGAGCCTGCTGAAGTAGAGAAGTTACTACAGAGAGACGTGCCTCCATGGATTCATTAATGTTTTGATGATGATTCTATTATTTGCAACAGAAGTACAAACTCAAAGAGGAAAATGGGTAATGTGACAAGAACAGCAGCACTCCAAAGTTTGTTAAATATTATTATAGTTTATTGTCATAACAAAAAAATAAAATTATATTTTTCAGAAAGAAAAAGAAAGAGAGGACAGTGAAGGTTCAATGTAGTGATCAAGAAATGTATGAAAGGGGACTCAAGGAGGGAACAGAATTAAGAAATATTGAACAGACAAGGTGCAAGGACAGGACAGTCCTAACCATATCTAACTCAGAAGTAAGTCCAACTGAATTAAATGGGGCTTACTTCCAGGTAAGCTGGGTCAGGACTGCATCCTAGATTAGGAGAGAAAACACTTTGACTTAGTAGAGACAGAGCAGATAAATGGAGAAATATATAGTCAAGAAATAAATAGTTTGAATTCATCAAGAATTACTGGTACTACTTTTCTGATTTGAAAAACAAACAAAACCTTACACTGTTTGCTCAAAGGATAATACACTGCACAAAATCATCCTGTAAAACCAGTTTTTGGCTTCCATTTTGGCAAAGCAACAGTGGCCAAGAATGTTCTAATCACATAAACCTTTGGATAATTTCAGGTTCTTTGCTATAATAATTAGTCACTGTATGCTGGATCTCTTACCATCCCCTGGGCACTGCGAGTTTGGCTATATATCTAGTCAAATGTGTTAACATGTGGTTAGGTTTGCTGCCCAAATTGGAACTGAAACTTCTAGTTAGTAGTCAAACTCTCTAGACATGCCATTTAACATTTCACCATTTTTAATGTGGCATCCATCCACAGTGGATTTCTTATGTTAGCATACACAAATAATCAGTAAGTATACTTTCCTTTCTGAGAGAGTTGGCTCCTAGAAAGATTTGAACCACTTTGTGAAGTTTGCTGGGGCTGAGGTCCCTTCATCCCACCCTGCCAATACAATATTTGAAAGGGGGCCCAAGTTGATGGGCATTGCCATTCAAATGGTGTGCATGTCTTGTGATCAGTTATGTAGGGTGGGGCTGCCCCCTTGTTAGATAATCCACTTGCTATGTTCAAGAAAAGAACATATCCTTCCTTTACTAATTAGATACCTGCTAACAAATAAACTATTGGCTTCTATAGGAATAGACCACAGCACAGTGGTATGACACACACTTTGCATATAGAAGGTTTCAGGATTCAGTCCCTGACATCTCCAGAAAAATAATGATGATGATGATGCATGCTATGTGAAAACACTTTGCTAAGATCCCAGACAGCACTGCAGATCAGAATAGAAAATACTGGGCGAAGTAGACCATATCCCGGCATAGTTCAAGGCAGCAATCTATGTTCTTACAGGCAGCCCCATGTAGAGTATATTGTAGTAATCAAGTCTGGATGTACCAAGCACATACTGTATAACATAACCAAGGCCAAAGCTGCTTTGTGCAGATAAATTCACAGGTGGTAAAAGGATGTCAAGAAATAAAGGAGCACCACTCTGATTGGGGGGAGGGGGAATCCACAGACTGGGACACAACCTAAAGTGTTTTGCTCAGGGAATTTTTAGAAAATATTCAACATGTGTCAGCTCATTCCAGAGCTGCAATACATGTAATGCCCAATAGTTCCAGTGATAAGACAACATAGGAAGTAGAAAGATTGTAGTTGCACAAACAAATTTCCAACTTGTTTCTTCTCTTAAGGAGAACTCTTTATCATTGCTAAGGTAAAGGTAAGGTAAAAGTACCCCTGCCCGTACGGGCCAGTCTTGACAGACTCTAGGGTTGTGCGCTCATCTCACTCTAGAGGCCGGGAGCCAGCGCCGTCCGAAGACACTTCTGGGTCACGTGGCCAGCGTGACGAAGCTCCTCTGGTGAGCCAGCACCAGCGCAGCACACGGAAACGCCGTTTACCTTCCCGCTATAAAGCGGTACCTATTTATCTACTTGCACTTTAAGGGTGCTTTCGAACTGCTAGGTTGGCAGGAGCTGGGACCGAACGACGGGAGCTCACCCCGCCGCGGGGATTCGAACCGCCGACCATGCGACCGGCAAGTCCTAGGTGCTGAGGTTTTACCCACAGCGCCACCTGCGTCCCATCATTGCTAAGGTAGAACTACCCAAAGCGACAGTAAATAACTGAGTATAGTATAAGTATATCAGTTTCCTCTCTGTTTGCTTTTAAGGTTGCTACACCTAACACCAAGATGATTGCCAATCAAAAGTCAAGCCCTATATTATTTATTTAAGACTATTATGTAGCAGTTCCACTGGTTAACACTGCATTTCTAGACCCACTCCAAACTGCTGGTTTTACTCTATAAAGCCTTAAATGGTTTTTGTGACCAGGTAGTTTGAAAGAATCCTTGTATGAACTGTATGAACCTGCCTATGCCTTAACAACAGCATCTGAGGCCCTGCTTGTTGGCCCTCCTTTTATTGGTGGGCAGTGATTCAATCTGAAGTTGTTTGTAATCAGAGAACAGAGATCTTTATAGAGAGATTGCAATAAGATACTTAACATTAAGGACAAAAGTCATCACAGTGGTTACATTACTATTGCTCATATAGCACCATCAATGTACATGGCATCTTACATCACAAACAAACAATTGGTAGGTGCCTGCCACCAAGGACCTAACCATATAAATCAGATATTGGAGAAAAGAACAGAGCAAAGGGAAGAGAAAGAGAAAGGAGAAAGCCTGAATATGAGAAAACACACATATAAATTGTTAGGAGCAGTGTTCAAAACTCCCATTGTTCTAGGCACATTTTGTGACAGGGAATTTTGTTAGTTTGAGCAGTTTCTGAGCTCTGGGCACAGTACTGCGCCTAAGATTTCAGATTAAAACTGCAGAGTGGAAGGAAAGGAGGACCTTTTTCTGTCTCCCCACATCCAGCTACTCTCTAAAGCAGCGGTCAGCAACCTTTTTCAGCTGTGGGCTGGTCTACCATCCCTCATGTGGGGGGCCGGACTATTTTTTTTTGGGGGGTGAATGAACACATTCCTATACCTCACAAATAACCCAGAGATGCATTTTAAATAAAAGCACACATTCTACTCATGTAAAAGCACCAGGCAGGCCCCACAAATAACCCAGAGATGCATGTTAAGTAGAAGGACACATTCTACTCATGTAAAAACACGCTGATTCTCGAACTGTCCGCGGGCCAGATTGAGAAGGCAATTGGGCCGCATCCAGCCCATGGGCCTTAGGTTGCCTACCCCTGCTCTAAAGACTGGAGAAGAGACCCTCTTAAGAATATTAGGGGGGTGAGCAGGGGAAGGACTAGACCATGTGAAAAATGAACATATTTTAGCTGCTGTTCATTCATTTTCAGCTTTGTATTTTTGACATTCTGTTGTTGCAGCCATAACCTAGGTTTAAGGTGCTATTTAGCTCCTAGCTTTCACATCTCAGTTTCTAACACTGGTTAGGAATTGGGATTCCTCTAAGTACAGAGGAAAGCTTGACAAGCTCTGGAAGTCTGGACCAAGCATCAATAAGTGAGAGCAGAGTCAAGAGAAACAGAGGTTAAACTGTCATCCCCTGATGTACCTGTACTACAAGACTGCCGAAGCAGCTGCTAACTTTCCAAGCAGAGCATAGCAAGGTAGCCCTATCAATTCCACTCCTTCCTGCTCTGTGACAATGTTGGCACCCAGAAACAGAGTGGCTACAGAAGAGGGCTCCCTCCCCAAGACTGGACAGGGAAGTATGAACAAGAGTTCACAGAAAAAGAACCATGCCTAACCCTAAGAGCAGCAGGTGTGGGGAGTGGATGTGGCCCTCCAGACCTCTCTGTTTGACTCTCAGGAATCTCCTAGACCACGTCCTTCACCAGTCCTGCTCTAAGCTCATCTCAAGTGCTGTTGCCTGGCTGAAATGCATCCTTCAACCATAACAATGTCTCTTGCTTGCATGGATGGAGAGATTTGTGTGGGTGTGTAGGTGTGTAGAAACTTTCAAGTTCTACATAAGTTGGAATGTAGCCTATTCTACAAAGGGAAGAGTCACATCTGCTGCTATACCCACATTTGCCTCTGGGGGTGCCCTACATGCCCTACAAGCAGCCCCCAGGGAATACTGGAAAAGGTATCCACCTCTGCTCTAAGCATTAGACCAACCAGTGAGGTAATAATCAGATTTAACCTCTTAGCTGCTTTGCTGTTCCTTCCTGCAATGTTTCTGTGTGTCAAAGGTATGTGGCATTTCAAAAATACAGTTCAGCTAAGAAATTATATGCCCTTTAATGTTGCACTGCATACCCAAGTGTCGCCTGAGTTTGATCAGACTTTCCTGAAATCCCAGTTACCTTGGAAGCCCATGAGCAAAGGAAAGTTGTGAATGAACCCTAGTTATTTCAAGAAAGCATATTCTTCCTGGCCCACTGACTTCTACACAAGTGAGCGCCAACCGCCAGTGTAAGATAGCAGGCAGGCTTTTAAGTTTGGAAGGAGTTGCATGTCCATTTAGCTATTAATAATCACCAAATGGTCTTGGGCAAGTACTGTTTCTCACCTTCACAGGCTTGTTTAGATAACTGGAAAGCATGCTATAACGCTATAAAGTTCTACA